CTATTAATATACAGTAAATTATTTATGGATTAATAATTTTGGGTTATTTTTTTTTGACTGATATTTTCAAAGTGGATTTGCCCGATGAAGTAATCATCGCGAATTGGGTTACGATATACCATTCGAATCTCCATTAAATATAGTATATAATATACCAAGACGAATTATCCCCTATTAATATACAGTAAATTATTTATGGATTAATAATTTTGGGTTATTTTTTTTTGACTGATATTTTCAAAGTGGATTTGCCCGATGAAGTAATCATCGCGAATTGGGTTACTATATACCATTCGAATCTCCATTAAATATAGTATATAATATACCAAGACGAATTATCCCCTATTAATATACAGTAAGTTATTTATGGATTAATAATTTTGGGTTATTTTTTTTTGACTGATATTTTCAAAGTGGATTTGCCCGATGAAGTAATCATCGCGAATTGGGTTACTATATACCATTCGAATCTCCATTAAATATAGTATATAATATACCAAGACGAATTATCCCCTATTAATATACAGTAAATTATTTATGGATTAATAATTTTGGGTTATTTTTTTTTGACTGATATTTTCAAAGTGGATTTGCCCGATGAAGTAATCATCGCAAATTGGGTTACGATATACCATTCGAATCTCCATTAAATATAGTATATAATATACCAAGACGAATTATCCCCTATTAATATACAGTAAATTATTTATGGATTAATAATTTTGGGTTATTTTTTTTTGACTGATATTTTCAAAGTGGATTTGCCCGATGAAGTAATCATCGCGAATTGGGTTACGATATACCATTCGAATCTCCATTAAATATAGTATATAATATACCAAGACGAATTATCCCCTATTAATATACAGTAAATTATTTATGGATTAATAATTTTGGGTTATTTTTTTTTGACTGATATTTTCAAAGTGGATTTGCCCGATGAAGTAATCATCGCGAATTGGGTTACGATATACCATTCGAATCTCCATTAAATATAGTATATAATATACCAAGACGAATTATCCCCTATTAATATACAGTAAGTTATTTATGGATTAATAATTTTGGGTTATTTTTTTTTGAATGATATTTTCAAAGTGGATTTGCCCGATGAAGTAATCATCGCGAATTGGGTTACGATATACCATTCGAATCTCCATTAAATATAGTATATAATATACCAAGACGAATTATCCCCTATTAATATACAGTAAGTTATTTATGGATTAATAATTTTGGGTTATTTTTTTTTGACTGATATTTTCAAAGTGGATTTGCCCGATGAAGTAATCATCGCGAATTGGGTTACGATATACCATTCGAATCTCCATTAAATATAGTATATAATATACCAAGACGAATTATCCCCTATTAATATACAGTAAATTATTTATGGATTAATAATTTTGGGTTATTTTTTTTTGACTGATATTTTCAAAGTGGATTTGCCCGATGAAGTAATCATCGCGAATTGGGTTACGATATACCATTCGAATCTCCATTAAATATAGTATATAATATACCAAGACGAATTATCCCCTATTAATATACAGTAAGTTATTTATGGATTAATAATTTTGGGTTATTTTTTTTTGACTGATATTTTCAAAGTGGATTTGCCCGATGAAGTAATCATCGCGAATTGGGTTACGATATACCATTCGAATCTCCATTAAATATAGTATATAATATACCAAGACGAATTATCCCCTATTAATATACAGTAAATTATTTATGGATTAATAATTTTGGGTTATTTTTTTTTGACTGATATTTTCAAAGTGGATTTGCCCGATGAAGTAATCATCGCGAATTGGGTTACGATATACCATTCGAATCTCCATTAAATATAGTATATAATATACCAAGACGAATTATCCCCTATTAATATACAGTAAATTATTTATGGATTAATAATTTTGGGTTATTTTTTTTTGACTGATATTTTCAAAGTGGATTTGCCCGATGAAGTAATCATCGCGAATTGGGTTACGATATACCATTCGAATCTCCATTAAATATAGTATATAATATACCAAGACGAATTATCCCCTATTAATATACAGTAAGTTATTTATGGATTAATAATTTTGGGTTATTTTTTTTTGACTGATATTTTCAAAGTGGATTTGCCCGATGAAGTAATCATCGCGAATTGGGTTACGATATACCATTCGAATCTCCATTAAATATAGTATATAATATACCAAGACGAATTATCCCCTATTAATATACAGTAAGTTATTTATGGATTAATAATTTTGGGTTATTTTTTTTTGACTGATATTTTCAAAGTGGATTTGCCCGATGAAGTAATCATCGCGAATTGGGTTACGATATACCATTCGAATCTCCATTAAATATAGTATATAATATACCAAGACGAATTATCCCCTATTAATATACAGTAAATTATTTATGGATTAATAATTTTGGGTTATTTTTTTTTGACTGATATTTTCAAAGTGGATTTGCCCGATGAAGTAATCATCGCGAATTGGGTTACGATATACCATTCGAATCTCCATTAAATATAGTATATAATATACCAAGACGAATTATCCCCTATTAATATACAGTAAATTATTTATGGATTAATAATTTTGGGTTATTTTTTTTTGACTGATATTTTCAAAGTGGATTTGCCCGATGAAGTAATCATCGCGAATTGGGTTACGATATACCATTCGAATCTCCATTAAATATAGTATATAATATACCAAGACGAATTATCCCCTATTAATATACAGTAAGTTATTTATGGATTAATAATTTTGGGTTATTTTTTTTTGACTGATATTTTCAAAGTGGATTTGCCCGATGAAGTAATCATCGCGAATTGGGTTACGATATACCATTCGAATCTCCATTAAATATAGTATATAATATACCAAGACGAATTATCCCCTATTAATATACAGTAAGTTATTTATGGATTAATAATTTTGGGTTATTTTTTTTTGACTGATATTTTCAAAGTGGATTTGCCCGATGAAGTAATCATCGCGAATTGGGTTACGATATACCATTCGAATCTCCATTAAATATAGTATATAATATACCAAGACGAATTATCCCCTATTAATATACAGTAAATTATTTATGGATTAATAATTTTGGGTTATTTTTTTTTGACTGATATTTTCAAAGTGGATTTGCCCGATGAAGTAATCATCGCGAATTGGGTTACGATATACCATTCGAATCTCCATTAAATATAGTATATAATATACCAAGACGAATTATCCCCTATTAATATACAGTAAATTATTTATGGATTAATAATTTTGGGTTATTTTTTTTGACTGATATTTTCAAAGTGGATTTGCCCGATGAAGTAATCATCGCGAATTGGGTTACGATATACCATTCGAATCTCCATTAAATATAGTATATAATATACCAAGACGAATTATCCCCTATTAATATACAGTAAATTATTTATGGATTAATAATTTTGGGTTATTTTTTTTTGACTGATATTTTCAAAGTGGATTTGCCCGATGAAGTAATCATCGCGAATTGGGTTACGATATACCATTCGAATCTCCATTAAATATAGTATATAATATACCAAGACGAATTATCCCCTATTAATATACAGTAAGTTATTTATGGATTAATAATTTTGGGTTATTTTTTTTTGACTGATATTTTCAAAGTGGATTTGCCCGATGAAGTAATCATCGCGAATTGGGTTACGATATACCATTCGAATCTCCATTAAATATAGTATATAATATACCAAGACGAATTATCCCCTATTAATATACAGTAAATTATTTATGGATTAATAATTTTGGGTTATTTTTTTTTGACTGATATTTTCAAAGTGGATTTGCCCGATGAAGTAATCATCGCGAATTGGGTTACGATATACCATTCGAATCTCCATTAAATATAGTATATAATATACCAAGACGAATTATCCCCTATTAATATACAGTAAATTATTTATGGATTAATAATTTTGGGTTATTTTTTTTTGACTGATATTTTCAAAGTGGATTTGCCCGATGAAGTAATCATCGCGAATTGGGTTACGATATACCATTCGAATCTCCATTAAATATAGTATCTAATATACCAAGACGAACTATACCCTATTAATATATAGTAAGTTATTTATGGATTAATAATTTTGGGTTATTTTTTTTGACTGATATTTTCAAAGTGGATTTGCCCGATGAAGTAATCATCGCGAATTGGGTTACGATATACCATTCGAATCTCCATTAAATATAGTATCTAATATACCAAGACGAACTATACCCTATTAATATACAGTAAGTTATTTATGGATTAATTATTTTGGGGCCTTGGTAAATTAGATACTACCTATATTTAATGGAGATTCGAATGGTCTATCGTATCCCAATTCGCACCAATTATCCATCGAGAAAATCCACTTTAAAAATTTTCAGTCAAAAAAAATACCCAAATTGTTAATCCCATTATAACTTTTGGAATATTAATTGTGTACCTCTGTTTAAGAAAAGCTGTTGAAGAACAAAGAAAATAACCAAAAGTCATAATAATTAACTTTATTATTATTACATTTAAATTTAACTATATAATTGATAGATTTAATAAATAAAAGAAAATAACACAAAGATTAAGCCATAATTGTGAACAAAAAATTTGATTGGAATTAAGAAGAAATTGAAAAAAGGCAAAGTTTTTAAAAGAAATATTAAAAGAAAAGGAAAAAATATTAAATTATGCCCGGACACAAAGAAACCATTAAAAGAGAAACAATAAAAAGGTAAGGTGTCCACAAATACCTGCTAGAAATTCCATTTCCCCTTCAATTATAGACAGAATGGGGAGTGATCGACCAAGACTATTAACAACGAGAAAAAGGAGAGACTATTTGCCTGTCTCACTCTGGTCCCTAATAAATATTGTCCGTAATTTATTTTGCGGACAAAAAAAAATTTTGCGGACAAAAAATTTTTTTGCGGACAATATTGCCGATATGAAAATACATAGTACTCAATTTAACAACACATTCCTTCTTCTTCATTATCCTCTTCATTCCCAATCTCATTAGCTTTTAACAGAATTTTTTGTTGTCCTTTTAAACTTCTTTCTTCATTTGATTGAACATGCATAGGCTTGCTATGACGTAATTTATGTACCAAAGTCATAAAAATTGCTTCTATATGGTCAGCTTCAGAATCAGCAAATGCTGAGGTTTCGAATAATGCCATATCGTTATCGTCAGCAAAAATCTATTTAAAAATAAAAAAATAAAATTTTGCCGACAACTTTTGCGGACAATGTCCTGAAAAATTTTTCGAGTCGGAACAGTCGAAGATCTGTGGGGACTGAAGGAAAGAGAGTCCGATGAGACCAAAAATTGAATCTTATAAAGAGAGGATATTTTAAATTGGAAGTAGTCTCCACACAAGAAAAAAAGTGAATATGAGCAAGTCCTTGGAACCGGGAAAAGGTCGGGTTGTGAAAAATTGGCTCCGGTACAGGATTGGATTTCGACGCGAAAAAAATTCCTGGTATTTGGTAACTCGACCCATCCCACAGCAAAATTCATTTTATAATGAGGGATATCTTAAATCTGGGGTAGTGCCTAAGCAACTCCCCCATCCAGTGACCAATTAAAAAAAATTGAATTTTGCGGACAATTTTTGCGGACATAATCATGAAAATATTTCTTTTCGATTCGGAACGTCGAAGATCTGTGTAGACTGAAGGAAAGAGAGTCCTTTGGAATTGGAAGATTATATCTTATAATGAAGGATATCTTAAATTTGGGGTAGCGTTTAGTGGACCCCGGGCCAACCAAATTTGAAGAAATATATATTAAATTGAAGATTTGGGCCGGTCTGACCATTATGTACATTTTAAAGAAAAATTCTAAAAATTCCACAAACCTGTGCCTGTTCAGTTTTAATTCTTTCATTATTTGTTGTTTGCAAATCACATTTATTTCCAATCAAAATATGAGGCGTATCATCTCCAGAAGTTAAAGCATGGTTTTTACATTCCAAAATCCAGGCAGGCAAAGATTTAAATGATTGAATATTATTTATGTCATAAACAAAAACAACAGCATTCACATTTCTGTAGTAATGAGCTACAATTGACTGACGATATCTTTCTTGACCTGCTGTGTCCCACTAAAAAATTAAAAAATAAGAAAAAGTTTTAAAAATAAAAAAATTAATTTTGCGGACAATGTTTGCGGACAATGTCCTAAAATCATTTTCGAGTAATTTTTCCCATTAAAAATATTTTAAAAAATTTCTGATTTTAATTACTGAAATTTAAAGGATTCCCATTACAGATCAACTAATAAGCAAACGGAATGAAGCTTCGTTCAACACCGGCCTCGGTGTTTTTACTGGGTTGTGGACGTTTCAAAATCGCTGTATCAGTCTCAAGGCCAAATTTTATTCAATAACTTTTTTGATTCATAACCGATTTAACCAATTATTATATCATTCGAAAGCTCTGGATGTGTGGACTATTTAAGCTTAGAGCATTTATTTGATCAGAACATCCTAGTTTAAGTTACAACTGGCGAAAAGCGCGTAATCGTGATCTTGCTCTTTATTCGGATGTAGCTTTGAATAAGATAACCTTCTCAAATTTGCCCTGTTTAACAAAATAATCCTCACATCAAGAGCTTATAAGATTGATATTTTAATTGTTTATTAGGTTGAGAACCAAAAAAGTTATGGCCTAAAATATGGTCTAAAGACCGAAAAGATAAACGGGAAATTTGTGAAGGAAGAAAAACCCATTTCTAAAAAATTTTTAAAAAAATACCAATTGTATTCTAATCAATTCCTCATCAATAATTATAGAGCGTTCACGAAAGTCCACGCCAATAGTTGCCTCGGTTGGCCCAGGAAAGCGTCCATTACAAAATCGATAACTTAAACAAGTCTTGCCCACACCTGCATCTCCAATTATTATAACCTTTTTTAAAAAAATAATTTTTAAAAAATCAAAAAAAAATTTACAAAAAAACCTTAAAAACCCGTTTAGATTTATAACTTCCAACTCCTTTAAATTTCAAATTTGCCATTTTATTTTTATTTGTGTCGTCTTCCAAAATTTGTTTTGTTGCTTCCGCAGCCCCCGGGAAAGGCTGATTGTAAGGATATCTTTTTATTTGAGTCAAATCTTTTATTTCTTCTTTATTTTTTGAAGAAGAGGCTTTGCCATCTTCTTTTTTGTTGTTTGTATTTGTTGCAGTTTGGTGGTCCTGTGGTCGATATTCAACTGTTTCAACGACAGGATTCATAATAAAAATTATTTAAATAAATTTTAATAGCCTCAAAAATGTATAAAAAATTTAAAAAAAAACTAGAGAAAATTTTTTGGTACCCCAGGTTTCATAAATAAATTTTCTAAAAATATTATTCGTAAAATAAAGCTATTTCCCACGAATTGGACTCGAACCCACATCCTTTATGGTTATAAACCCGCCCACAACCAACTAAACCAAAGATCACAATGAATCGAATTTAAAAAATTGAAAAGCCATTATTAAAGGCTTCAAAAAATTCAAAAAAAAATTAAAGAAAATTTAAAAATTTTTTATCAGACATTTTTATTTTCAAAAATTTAAAAAACAAACACCAGAAAAATCAACAATAAAATATAAATATATATTTTGGTTTTCAAAGGCAGTTACAGGCAAGAGAAGTGTATATATGAGGCATGTGTTAATAAAATAAAAGGCCTTTTTATGGGTAAAAGATTGCTTTTGTGTTAATTTTTTTGTGATTAAAAATCCAAGAAATTTTTGGAAAATTTTAATTCAAAAAAATATTTAAAATTTTTGTCCGCAAAAATTTTGCAGAAAATCCGCAAGTTTTGTCCGCAAGTTATTTTTCGGTCTTTTTTAATCACAAAAAATATAATTTACTATAAAATAACCAAAAAAATCAAAAGAAGCAACAAGAATGTATTTTTGGGCCTTGAAAGAATTTCTTTAGATAGAATATAGTATAAATCTCCAGGTTCATATAAATATCTTTGATTTTCTTTAAGTCGATTCACCTACAAAAAAATAATTTAAAAATCCCCCTTCAACAATAAACAAACTAGAATATATTTGAACTAATACGGCAAGCATCCCAACCATTTTTACGAAAATTTTCGATTGCAGCAAATGTAGAACGAATACCATCCAATTGCATATCAATTAAAGCCCAAAGTCCATGCAAATCACCAAGCAAAGTTGGCTTTGGATTATTGGCTGTTGGATTCTGTAAAAATAAATAGGAAATTTTTAAAAAAAAATAAGCCAAAATCGTATAGGGAGGGGGAGAAAAAGGAAAACAATCCGCGAAAAAAAAATGCGGACAATTTTTGCGGATTCAGAGATATTTTATTAAAAAAATCAGGTCATTCATTAAAATTATGGTTGCCGGCCAGGTTCGGTTCGATAGATCGAACGGGGCATCAAATTTAGTCCCGAAAAACTGACTCGGCCGGCCTGATCCAATAAAAATAAATTCCAAAGAAGACTTAAACGGTCCGGCCCGAAAAAAGACTCGAACGTCGACCCGGTTCAAAAACGGCAACCCTAATTAAAATAAATAAAAAAATTTAAAAGAAAACAAGGAAACTTTTCCAAAAAATAGGAATTTTAATACAGGGTAATTTTTACTATGGTTCCCAAAATTTAATACTAGGATTGGTTCCCAATCCCAATTCCCGAAAAAAATCTTCCCGAAGGGACAAGAACTATCCCTACCCTAAACCTATTTATTACCAAAAAATAAATTTAAAAAATACCATATAACGTTCCAATTGTTCTCCAAATTGTTTCATTCTTTTATTTAGCAATAATTGACTATGCCCAATTCCAACACGCAGCAATTCCTTCAAAATTAAATTAAAAAAAATTTTCTTTAAAAAATTCAAAAAAAAACCTGAGCTTTCTCTGGCAAATTCTTATTTGTTGAAATTAATCGATTAGCATTCCAAATATGGTCTTCCAAACATTTGGTCAAAGAATCAAATAAATTCTGAAAATCTTGGCCAGTTTCAGGTTGTTTATTGCCATCAAATTTTGGAACGGAGAAGGCAAAGGAATTTGCTTCAACTATTAAAAATTCGGGTGCTGGACACCAATTAATTTGTGAATCGTCCAATAATTGTTGTTGAGAATTCTTTTTGTTGTTTTTGGTGGTTTGAGCAATATTGTTATTCTTTTGAGGAAGATTCTGTGTTTGAGTATTTTCTCCTGATGGCTTTTTGGGTTGCTAAATTAAAAAAAAATTTTTTTACAAAGTCCGCACATTTTATCCGCAAGATATCGAGGAGTTAATTCAACATCTTAAGGGTTGATTAATACCCGAAACTTCCTAATTTGTTGCAGTCCTTTCATTTACCCGGTTGAAAAAATATCACGATTTGCGGATAAAACTTGCGAACTTTCGGAAACAGAAAAGAACACTTAAACGCCAGCAGGGAAATGAAGGGTCTAGTTCAAACAATGTTATCTATAGGATTTTTTGGATCGATTTATGATCGAAAAAAGGCAGGGGTCCCATAGTATTTAATGTCTCCTCAAAATTAAAACGAATCTAGTAGCTAAAAAATCATTCCCACCGGCTAGAATGAGACAGATCTGACTGAAAAAGTTAGGTCGGGCTTAGAAAATTCTTGAATCTGGTTTCGAATCGAAAAACCAGGGCTCGGACTTCGAGTTCCTCCCCTTTCCATCCACCCCTATAGTATCAACGCCTAATCAAAATTTAAAACAACCTTTGTAGTAATCTGAGAATTAATTTTTCCATTAGAAGTAGACCCATTCGAAATTGATTGAACTCGAACAACCGAAGTTTTGGGTTTTGACGGTTTTGAAGTAGTCCCATTAGTATTCTGTGACGGCAAAGAAGTTGTTGATGGATTACGAAAGCGATGTCCAGTAAAAACCAAAGTTTTTGTATTTTTCATATTTTCTAGCTGATTTTAAGGAAAAATTGATTTAAAATCTTGAAAAAATAAAAAAAAATATTTTTTTGAAAAATTACAAAAAAATTTTAAAAATTTTTAAAAATTTCAAAAACAAAAAAATTTTTAATAAATCACGACAAAAAAATAATTAAAATGATATTTTGATAATAAGCAGAAATTTTTAAAATAATTGATTAAAACAAAAAATTGTGGAAGGATGGGGAAGGGACGTCGTTGTGTCAAAATGAAAGGAGGGATGTTGAAAAAAAATTGTTTTTATAAGTAAACCTTTGACCTCATTAATTTAAAATGATGGGAAAAAGGGAGGTGCTAGTCAGTCCTTTAATTGATTTAAAGGAAAAATGAAAGACTGGAAAAAGGGCAAGTTTTAAACAAATTATTTAAAGGGTACGGCCCAAGTCGGCGCAAGGTCATAACGGCGCGAAGCCATAACTTGCTTTCAAGATTTCCGTATCTTGCCAAATTTAGTATTAAACGATTCCTCTCATCGAGCTAAAGAGATTGGTACCAAAATTGATTAGGTACAGAAATTTTCCAGCAAGTTACGGCTTTGCGCCCTTAAGGCCGCGCGCCTACTTGGGCGTTTCCCTTACATTTTTCCTTAATCCCCCCTCCTAATTTTCTTTGTTTTTTCTCCGTTAAAAATTTGAATTCTTCCTTTTAGCATGTTTAATAAAATAATTTTGCCTTTTTTAGGGGAAAAAATATTGAAAATAAAATTTAAATAATTTTGTCCGCAAAACTTGTCCGCAAAAATATATCCCCTTCCTGATTTTCTAGAAATTAATTTTTTTCAACATCCCCCAATTTTAATAACAAAATAACAAAAAAAAATTAAAAATTTTTCGGGAAATCAATTTCACCAGATCAATTGGAAAAAAAATTTTTTTAGGGTTTAAAAGCCACAAAACATACTTTTCAGAAAACAGTGTTTGGTACCCGATGAAAATTTCTTTAAATGATTTTGAAAGTGGAAAACCGCTAATACATCTCTCCCCAGGCACAAGTCATTCTGATTCATATGTCGGTTCAAATCGGTCCCGAGGACAAAGTATTAGCGAGATTCCATCTTTATAATTTAAAAAAGAAAATTGCGGACAATATTTGCGGACAACTACAAAAGCCTTTCTATATTCTCGAACAAATTAAATTTTTCATATCCTATACTAATATACCTTAAAAACATCAAAAAACAGTCAAGGTTCCGGACCAAAAAATAACCCAAAAAGCTATCTGTTCCAATTTCAAAAAAAGCTTTTCATTTTTGTCCGCAAATATAGCCCTCTATCCACAAAAAAATAAATTAAAAAATCTCAAACCTTATTTTTTACTCCCTTTTTTAATTTATTATTCCTCCTCTTCTTCCTCCTCCCCTTCCGAAGATGTTGACGCTTTTGAAGAAGCTTTTACACCAATTTTCTCGTCGGAAACGTCATCACTTTTATTGGATAATTTATTACCACCATCATTTCCTCCCTCCATTTCTTCTTCTTTTTCTTCTCCCTCCTCATCCTCCTCTCCAGTGTCCGAATGAATTGCTGATTTATTTGTTTTATTTTCTTCATCAATAATTTTTGCAATTTCCGCTTCAGCAATTCGACGGGATTCCACGTCCAGAAATTCAACATCTTTAACATGCTTATTTAATATTCCCATCATTCCAAAAGCCTAGGAAAAAATAAATAAAGCAAAATTCTTGTTATAAATTTATGAGAAACCCCCCCCCCCCCCCAAATAATTTATATTAAAAAAATTTTTTTCACAAAAAATTGGGCACACTTAATTTTTGCGGACAACATTTGCGGACTTTTTTTCTGCCTGTGTAATTTTGGTAAGATGTTATAATGGCAATACATCGAAATGTCAAACGTTTTCTTTTAGGGTGTTCAACGTTATTCTATCGTCAATAATTTAAAAAGTCCGCAAAAGTTGTCCGCAAGTACATTTGCGGACTTTTTTTCTGTGTAATGATTACAAGGGAACCATCCAATATATTCTCTCCAGGCAAAAAATTCCCCAAAATTTTATTTTTTAATAATTAAATAAATTTGCAAACCTTAAATTTAGTTTTCGAAGAACCAAAAATTCTTTTCAAAGGATCATCCAAAAAATAAAATTGTTTTTTCTTCGGGTCTTGCAAATTATTCGATTTTAGATAAGTCCAAACACCTTTAACAACTTCAGAACGACGCATATAACCTTTTCCAAGTAAATCAGACAATTCTGGAGATAAGGCACAAATTCTAGAAAAAATTGGAAAACTTTAAAAAAATTTTTTGTGGTGAGATTTGCGGACTAACATTTGCGGACACTCACTAATAACTTTCTTTATCATATCATGAATTTTGAAATGTAATCAGGGGAGTAGGCCAAGGTACCGCATGCCTAAGGTAGCGCAGAGCTATAACTTCGTTCAAGATTGCCGAATCCAGGACGCCCTGGTATGATTCAATACGCCTCGACGAGCTGAATCGAAATCAGGTCGTCCAGGATTCAACAATTCTGAACGAAGTTACAGCTCTGTCGTACCTTGGGGTGTACTTCGTAATCAGTGAACGCACAAGCGAACCATTCAAACTGTTGCGTTCATTTTCACCCCAAATTTCGCAAACTTTAAGCTCCTATAATTTTTTAGTTTAACATATCGCTAGCCAAAAACCCCGAAAATTTCTACAATAAATCGATAATGCTCTACACATTGATACAAAAAAGTACAGTTTTGACTTTCAATTTGAATGGTTCCCTTATCAGCGATCATTTATTCCAATTTTAAACACCTTCGGTTTTGTCCGCAAATGTTTTTCCGCAAATTTAAGAAAAAATATAGAAAAAATTATACTTTGTAAATTGAGTTTGTCGTTTAGTCGAAGATCCCTTTTCTTTCTTCTTTTCCTTTTGTTTTGAAGTTCGTTTAGGCAAAGGTGCAGCAGAACGACGTCGTTTAATGGAAGAAACCATGTCATCATTTTCTTCATCTAAAGGAGTTTTTGATGTTGATGGCTCATTACTTGAAGTTTTGCGCTTGTTTCCTTTTTTAGTTTGGCTTGAATTTTGGACTATTTTTGAAGATCTAAAAATAATTTTTGATGAAAAAATTTTTAATAAAAAAATTTTTTCTAGGGAAGGAAAAATTTTTTTTAACGATAGCACCTTTTTAAGCCCTTTTTAATTTTTTCTAGGAAAAAATTTTTTCTAACGATAGCACCTTTTTAAGCCACAAATTTGTTTTTAAATAATTTTGTAGGGTCAAGAGGTGGGTCAGAACAGTCAAAAGTGTCGGAAATCGGAAGAGCCGGAAATTGGAACTGGCTTAAAAGTCGGAAATCGGAAGCCGACCCACCTCTGGTACCCATTTTGACTTATAGTACGCTGAACGATAGTATACTGAAGCAAAGTCCTTGAGCCTTTTTAATAACCTAAAGCTATAGAGAAGGGCTGTTCAGTCAATTTTGAATTTTAAAAAGACGGAAGGAAGACCGGAAATGGAAGAAAATCCAGCCCTTCTATTCAGGACAAGTAACCTAATAACTCTTAAAAATGCCTAGAAACAAATAAAAAACCCCAACAAACCTTTCAACATTATCCACATCAGAAAATTCAGAAGATGATAATTGCGAATCCTCATCCTGTTTTATTGTCTTCTCTTGAACATCTCTCTTCTCAATTTTATCATTTCCCTCTTCCTCCTTCTTTCCTTCATTTTTAACAATTTCTTTCAAATAATTACCAATACATTCCTCGATTAATTTATCCAAACGACTCTTGTGTTTTTCAAAGTCACAATTAAATTTGGCCTAAAAATAAAAAAATCTTTCTTTTTGTTTAAATTGCCCCTCAAAAATAAATGCGGATTTTTGGGTAGTGTTGGACCCCAATTCCTTGAGGGCAAGTTTGTTAGGGTGTGCTGGAGTATGACAGACAACAACATGTTAGTGCTTTCAGTTATACTCCAACGCATCCCGACAAACGCGCCCTCAAGGAGTCGAGGTCAACCTTAATTTTGGGTGATTACAAAAATAAATGGAGAAATTAGGGAATCCTGTCAATAGACCAAATCAGTCTTGAACAAACAACACCAGGGAATCCTGCCAACCTAGAGCTTCTTAAAAAAGGCATGGTACTCTTGCGGGGGTTTCTCTGCAATGCAAACCCGAGGATTCTTGCGGACAAAAAAATTTTGCGGATTATACGCAAAAATCAAATCCGCAAACAAATTTTGCAGACAGATCCACAAAGATTTTTTTACGGATTAAATCATGCTCTTACTTCTGAAAGAAAAACTGAAAAATCGAAAAAAACTCTAAAACCCTCCTAAAAATATTGCCTAAAACCTCCAATTTAGAGGACCAGATACGTAAACAACCCAAGAAATAACCAAGAAAAATACTCAGGAAATCTTTAAAAAAAAAATTAAAAAAAAACCTCCAGATGATTTCGAATTATTTTGCTAGTAACAACTTCTAAACCTTTTTCATTTATTAATTTTTTAATCTCTTCGGTTAAATCAGTTTCATTCACTGGAAATTGCTCCATCAAAAATTCAAAATAAATAATTTATTAATTTCTAGTTGAAAAAAGAAGATAAAATCTCTAAAATAAAATTTCAAAATTAAATAGAAACCGGAAGTTAATTATAAAAAAGATAGAAAAAAATTTTTTTTGCAAAATAAATCAAAGGGAATTATATGGAAAGGGGAGCAGGCCTACTTACCGCAGACCCCAACTTCCTTCAGAATCGTCGAATCCGGAACCCTCTGGTATGCTTCGATGCGCCTCGACGAACTGAATCGAGCCATTCCAAGGCGTCCCGGATTCGTCAATTCTGAACAAAGTTATAGCTCTGCGGTAAGATGAGCTCGCGGTAAGTTGGGGTGTACCCTTGGGAAAGTTCATTTTCATGAAGGAAGTCCCAGACTCTAATAGCCTATTTCAACAATTTTCGTTCTTGTGGGTCTACCTTCATTCTAGCAAGGAAGAACCGAGCAATTCAAAAGCATTAAAGTACTTTAATAAAAACAAATCTTTCCTTTATTGATTCCAAAACAAAGCAAAATCGATTTGCGTTTTACAAAAAGGTTTGGAATGAGCTAACCCTAATTCTTCTGGAAGAGACCCAAGAGATCAACAGCCAAGGATATTAGAGTACAGACGAAAATAGCAATATTTTGAATCCCACGGAATCACCCAATAGATCAACTTTTTAAAGATCAATGGAAAATTCTATAAGAACCCACCCAAACGTTTACCAAAAAGGTCAACGCTGACCATTGGGACATAGGAGTAAATATATAAATAATCAATACTATTTTGATCAAAACAAGAAAATATGAATAAAATAAGTACACTTTAACATTTTAATAAAAAAATATACAAAAAATATTTCCAATTTAAAGGACATTCGAAAACAAAAAATCAAATTGACTAAGGTCCATATCTCTTCCTTCAACAGAATAATACGCATACATAAGGGCAAAAATGCCACAATCTGTCCCGTTTAATTGTTTCATGACATCTAACAATTCTCTTCATGACCATTCTTTTTTATACCAATGTCTGTTCCATACTAAGCGGCAGCCTTCATAAGAATGTCCCTAACAAAATATAAAAAAAGATAATTTTCTTGAAAATGATAAACAAAAAACTTAACATTATAAAATCAAAATCTTACAAAAATGTGTTCATGAAATCTTTTTTCGTGCTTCCAGCAGCTCCATTATTCAGAGAATCCATTACTATGATTTCCCTCTTTTGCATTCTTGCAACAGCCATAGCCCAGTGGTTATCGTTAAGATGCACCGGCGCTAAAAGTGCCAACACCCTCCATTTTCCAATACCACTCTTCTAATTCTCAATACTTTTTAATCAACTTAAAAATAAAATTTTTCTTTTTCAGAAAAAAATTTAAAAAAAACTAACCGATAAAATGAAAATACACTAAAATCTCTAATTTATTTCCTTGGTCGTCCCAACGCGGCTTCTTCCTTAATAGGATTTAACAGCAATTTTTGCATTTCTTCTATCTTTAACATTCGTTCCCAAATGTCATCATTTTTCCACTTTTCGTTTTCTAATTCAATTTCAATTTCAAATTCAATTTCAAGTTCACATCCTGATCTTGCAGGCTTTCTTCAACATTTAGAGAATTACCCTGACAAAATATAAAAAATTACTTTTTCTCAGCTGGTCTTACCGATAATTTAAAGTATTGGTAACAGGCTTTCAATAGTCCTGCACAGAAGTTAGTTGAGTATGTCCCAAATTTTTTTAAAATATGTATTTGGGGGTCTAAAAGTTGAAGTACTTCTTCTTGTTGAATTTCTTGTTTAACATCAATTGCAGCCAGTTTTTAAAAGAGAAGATTTTTTTAATTAAATTTCTGAAATGGAAAAAAATATTTGGTAATTATATTGTAAATTATATGTCAAGCAAAAAGGCTCAAAATGGTCAGGCGAACAGAAAAAAGGGGGGCCGGCCTTGGAATTACCATTTAAATGCCCTACGAACAATTTTTAGTCTACTAATAGAGGTCAAAATTTTTTATTTATTTTATTAACTAAAAGAAAAATTTTTTTGGGAGATTTGTGGATGAGCGATATCTTAATTAAATTTGGAAATTTCGATGCATGGACATTTTTTGTTTTGGACATTAAGGGGAATTTTGAAAAATGGATTTTAACGTTTTGAGACAAAAAAATGGCGCTAAAATAAAAGTTAAAGAAAAATTGGCTGATGTCCTTTGATCCAGGGCCCCTTCTGTCCAAAACGCGACCTAATCCGTCCGACCATCTAACCACCCGCGGCTGCTGCAAATTTTGGCGTTGTTGTTATTTCCAGCCGCCTTTGAGGTTAGACAAATTGGGTATATTTGTACAGTGTGACGAATTGGGGATGGGACGAATTGAGGTTTAAAAGTTGTGAGGCCTTTTCAGCGCGGTTAATTAACCGCCGCGCTGATTTCAACAAAGTTAAATTTCAATTTCAAGTTTGTCCGCAAATGTTCGTCCGCAAATTTCGTCGCCTTTTAAAATGGTATAAAAGCACAAATTTTTGAACATGAAACTTTCATGTCTAAAATTAAGTGTCAAAAATGCAACAGCTACAAAAGGTCAACACCGGATTCTCAACAGCAACGCTATTTTTCTTGCCTGTTTCGATTGTGCTCGTCTGCTCATTGGTTATGGGAGCAAATTGCTGCAAAAAGAAGAAACGGAGGCGTCGTCATGTAAGGGATTTTTGAAATTTCTTGAAAAATTTTTTTGAAAAATTTCTTTTAAAGGCTCGTCGGGCAAACAAAAACAACACCAACAACAGCAACAACGATCGAATGATAAAAGGATCTAAAACGAGAGCCTTCTTTCAGAGATTGAATCCGCTGGAGGAAACCAACGAGACTGACCTTGGAAGCTTAGACGATGTTGTGAGTTTTTTGAAGGAGGTTTTTTTTGAAAATTTTTCTTTTTAGGATCTTAGTAAAGAAGTTCCTGCGCCCAAAAGCTTTAGACTGGATCTAAAATCGGTAAATGCTTATTAGATAAAGGACAGTTTACCGTAAGTACAATTCACCGTGTGGAGCTTTTAAGAGCTGGCAGTGAGACTTGTGAGGCAACTTGACAGTTAGACAAGTAGACCAGCGTCCATTCAGACATTGAATTGTGGTTAAGTGGGATAGTAAAATAGTAGGTATTTTAGAGTCGGTGAATTGTCCTTATACGGTGAATTGTCCTTCCATAAATTTTTCTATTCTTACACTCATTTTTTTCAGAAAAGAATCAAGGATGAGAATATTAAAATAGAGCATTCTCAGCCAACAATTTCTCAACAAACAGGGACATTTCGCTAAATAAAGATGTGATTAGGTGGCTAAGAAGATGTCTGTATATAAGTAACATTGGAAGGTTTTTTGGTTATATATATTTGTTTGTATATTTTCTGATTAAAACTGTTAAAATGTTGTTATTGTACTTATATTTTCTTGTTTTGATCAAAATTGTATTGATTATTATTTTAGAATCGGTGAATTGTCCTTCGGTGAATTGTAATACGGCAATTGTCCTTTATATATTTACTCTTGTCCCGATAGACAGCGTTGATCTTTTTGGTGATTTTTGGGTGGGTTCCTATAGAATTTTCCATTGATCTTTAGAAAGTTGGGGTATTGTGACTTATAGCGGGTTTTTTGTTTCTGATTGTTCGTAGGGCATTTAAATATTTTTTTCCATTTCAGAAATTTAATTTAAAAAATTTTCTCTTTCAAAAAATGGCTGCAATTGATGTTAAACAAGAAATTCAACAAGAAGAAGCATTTCAACTTTTAGACCCCCAAATACGTAATTATTTTAAAAAAGAGTTGGGACATACTCAACTAACTTCTGTGCAGGTTTTTTTTGTTTAATTTTATTTAAAAAATTTTTTTTCCCTCAAAGAAATGTACAATCGAAAAAATGCTTTCAAATTTTGACTGTATTGTTCAATCGCCTAAAGGTTCAGGAAAAAGTTTGGCTTTTATATTACCTATGATGCATATTTTGCTTAAAAAGAAGGAAAAGGTTTTTATTTTTTCTTAAAAAAATTTTTCTGGGGATTTTTAAGCGTTTTTAAGGCTGGGAATATTTCTTCAAAAAATTTTAACAAGGCAAAACATTGTTTAACCCACAAAGGACTCGAACCTTCAATATCTAACTAGTGAAAGCCTAGAGGATTACCACTTAACCAAACTGTCCAAATTGTGTTTTAAAAAAAAATTTTTTTGTGGGATTTAGGCTGGGAATTTAACAAGAGAAAAATGTGGTTTAACTCACAAAGGATCCATACTTAAAGTCCAAAACACAAAAAAACTCCTCATTTCATGAAACTTTTAATTTTGTCCTTTTAGATTGGACAAAGCAAAGAAGTCTCATGCAAAATTATTGGTCTAATTATTGTTCCCAGCAGAGAATTAGTTAATCAAATATTTCAATTATGTAAACCAATATGTTCAACTCTTGAATTTCGATTAATTCGTTTATTTGGTTCGAGTGTATTACGAAATCAGGAACTGAAAGTTGACGTTGATCAATTCAAAGGAAATTGGTTTTTTTTTTAATTAAAAAAAAATTTTTTTTAATTTGTTTTAGTGTTGTTATTACAACACCTGTAAGCTTTGATTCATTTGTTAATCAACACAATCAATTGAAAGAATATTTAAAATTTTTGCAAGTTTTGATAATTGATGAAGCAGACAAATTTAAAGATCAATTTACAAGAAATAGGTTTTCTTTTTTTCTTTAGATTTTTTTATTGGTATTAGGGCAAAGGTTTTCAAATTTTCATTAAAATAGCCCCTTTAATCATTTTCAGATTTTTTAAAAAGAAAATCACCTAATAAAAAATAAATTTGGACACTTTTGGGGGTCATGGGTTCGAACCCGTTCGGGTCCCTCGAATTTTTTCTTTCATAAAAATTTATCCACATCTTTTTAAAAGATGTTTTGAAAAGTTTGAAAAGTTTATGAAAATTTTTTATGAAAAGTTTCCCAAAGGCTCAAAGTTATTTTTATAAGGTCATTATTTTAAAATAAATATTTTTTTCTCTCCAGCATTTGTTCAGTACTTTCAATTTTGCCCGAACAACGACGTTCTGCTCTTTTTTCTGCAACAGAAATGGCCGACAAATTTGAGGCAAAAGTTAATGAATTAGCTCGTTTTGGACTTAGAAATCCGTTAAAATTAACTATTGGTTCAGATAATATAATACAAATGAATAAAGAAGGTGAAGAAGATGATCAACAAGAAGAAGAAAAGAAGGAAATTAAACAAGAAGACGGGTCAATTGTTACACCAAAGGTTAATTAATTAATTATAATGAGGTTTGTATTTATCTCTCGTACTTTTTGGATATCCCCTCACCCTTTTTTGAGTCTCGGAGTTTTTTTAAAGATCTCATAACGGTCAGATTTTCTTCTTTCTGCAATTCCCTATGGTTTATTCAAATTATTCAATCATTTTCTTGATCCGGAAACTTGATTTTGAATTTCATGCTCATTTTATTATAATTTTTATTAATCAATTTAATCAAATTTTATTAATTTAGCCAATTGACAACGACAAGGTGCCTGATGACATTAAAACTAAAAGACTTGCAAAATTCAAACTTTTGCCTGAAATTCAACTGGATATATTAAAATGTCTCGACTTCAGTCAATTATTAACTGTCCAACAGTCAAGTTTTTATTTCAAAAATTTTATTGAGAAATATGGAAAAGAATTGGCAAAGAAGGAATTTTTTTCGCTTGAATTTGTATTTTTTTTGTATAAATTTATTTTAATAATAATTATTTTTTAGGGTTCTGTTTTTGAAGAACTAAAATTGGAAGATAATGAATGTAAATTCGTTAAAATAGAACTCGAACATAGATTTGTTGAAATAGAACCTCATCTTTATGATTTCGAACTGAGTGAACAGATTAAAGAAAAGGTTTTTTTTTTAATTTTTGGTAAAATTGAATTTTGAACCCCTCTTTTTGCTTCCTTCCTTCCTATAAAAATTTTTTGGGAGGAAAATAAAAATGGTCAGTGGGAGGAAATTTCTCTCATTTATAAGGGAGTCTCAAGCGTTCTTAATTATTGCAAACTTTGAAGCCCCATAACTTTTTAGTTTCATATCCCTAGCCAAAAAAGCCGGAAATCTACAAGAGTAAATCGATGATGCTCTATCGATTGGTATCAAAAAAAGTACAAAATTTTGACTGACAGTTTGTGAGTTCTCCTTGTAAGACTGACCATTTTTAATATTTTGAGTGAGGAAATTGGGGTGAGGGGAGGGGTGGGGTCGAAGTTTAATTTTACCAAATAAACAAAAATTTTAGTGGGAACAAGGAATAGAAGAGTCAGTTCCAATGTTTTTTACAATGGGTGATAATGAAGACATAGACATGGTTGTTTGTGAATTGCAACAAAACAGAGCGGAGGGTTGTTAATTTATTATATACTTATATAAAAAAGTTTTTTTTTAAAAAAGTCGTTTCATAGACCTAGTATTTGAGCTTATAATCTCAAAAATTTTTGAATTTTTTGGATTTTTTTTTATTTTTAAAAATTGAATAAAATTATTCAGAATAAATAAACTGTTCAGAAAATAAAATTTGCGTTTGATCAAAGAAAAATTTTTTGGTCAAAAGAAATTTTTAAATTAAAAATTTTTAGTCATAATTTTATTCAGATGATGTTTATTTACAATTGCCAAAGTTTCCAAAAAATATGGAGGAAATGAAAATTGCTCGTTTTTTATTCCAACTACTTTTTAACTGCGCTTTCGAATCTTTTTACATTTCTACTATTGTAATTAATCCAAAAATGATTGAATTATTGTTTGAAGAAACAAACATGCCTTTACAAATATATTCTCAGAAAACATCATTAACTCCTTATGATAATTTTTCAAACTTTGCTTGGAATCATTTGTCTTCAAATAAATTAACTCTGAATACTTGTACCTGTGCAAAGGATGATGAAATGGACTTTTTTTTTAAACTCTTGACAGAAAGAGGAAATAAATTTTCAAATATTCGTTATACTGATGTTGCTAGTAGAATTTACAATTCAATTATAAAGGTTTGTACATTTTTTTATTTTATTCTGGCAAATTAGGGCAGGAACATGGCGGTTATGGAGGTCCGGGAAATTTTTATTCTTTAATTGTCGGGCTCAAAATGGTCAAATTCTCAGTCTCTACTTTGAACGACATAACTTTGATTCTCGTTTTTTTGATTCTCGTACGATACCCCCCCCCTCTCCAGTCCCCCGCCTCCCCCAGTCCCCCCTCCCCCAGTCCCCCCTCCCCCAGTCCCCTCCCCCAGTCCCCCCGCCTCCCCCTCCCTCCAGTCCCCCCTCCCCCCAGTCCCCCCCTCCCCCCAGTCCGTTCTCTAGTTCAAAGTGAGCATAACGGAATGGCTAAAAATTTTTAGAAAAAAAATCTATAAAAAAATTATATTTAAAAAATTAATTTTTTGAGTTTAGCATATAGAAACGGCACAAGATGTTACTAAAATGGTCAAAGAAATTAAATTTGAATATATGTTTGGACCGTTGAATTTATTTGTAGAGATTCCAAGTGAAACAGGAAAAAATATCAAAATTCTTGAGGCTGGTAAAACTACAAAATTTCAACTTTCAAATAAACACAATCCAAAAATTAAATTTTCTGTAACTATTAAAGAACCTGAAGAGTGGAGGACTAAAGTGGAGGAAATTAGAGGTGATCGTTTTTTTGTAGCATTTAATGCTGTAATTAAGAGAATTAATTGAGATAAATTTATTTATAGAGACTTAATTGTTAGGTATATTTAGAGTTTAATTTTTTTTTTTTCATTTATATTTAAAAAATTTGGGTAAAAGTCTAGGTACTTTGTTCATTCTTGCCCCCGCCCCTATTTGAGTCTAATTAATTTTCATTCTTTGCTGTCAATCACATTTATTTTTTCCTCCTTTTTTAATGTCAATCATTCTCTTCCCTCAAATATAGGACATCCTAAAAGGGCGCGCGGCCATAAAAGCGCAATGCCACAACGAACCTTGGCCATTTCGAACCTCACCAAAATTAATATTAACGATTCCTCTCATCGAGCTACTTCAAAAAAGATTATGGGAATACGGGGTACCTATCGCAAATATCAATAGTGTTTCAATATTGTTTTTGGGGAGTTTTATGATTTTTGGTGTAGTGGGATAATTTTAGGTTTACCGCCGAAACGGTCGTAGGTTCGAACCCCTTCAGGGGAAAATATTTTATTTTGATGAAAACATCTTTTTTGAATTTGGCCCCAGTCATATGATAATTTGAATTATTGGCAAATATGTAGAGAGGGGAATTTTTGGAGATGAAAATTAAAAAAAAAGAGGGGGCATGCAAAGCCGACTTTTACCAAAATCTGCTTTAATTTGACTTATTTTGATAAATATTTATTACTTTTTCTTTATTAATTTATTTTTTGAATAAATTTTTAAATTTAATTATTTTATTTAATTTTTAAATTTATTTTTTTAAATATTCTGTGTCTTAACTGCACAGAATATTTTTAAAATTCTCAAAAATATTTTTTTCAAAAAATTCAACCCTGAATAACTCAAAATATTTTTTAAATTTAAATTTTAGATTTTTTTAGCTAAAAAATGCTCGATTTCACACCTTTGGACTGGAACGAATTTTTTGACCGAAAAGAAATTTTATCTATAAATGAAGACAAATTCAATGTTTACTTGAAAGGATCGAAAGGCCCCCTATTTTGTTTGCTTCATGGTGGGGGATATACTGGCTTGACTTGGGCATGCTTTTCGGTTTATTTTTTTCAACAAAATTTTTTTTAATAAATTAAAAGGAACAAATTTCTTCTCAAATTGAATGTCAAATAATTGCCCCAGATTTATGCGATCATGGAGAAACACAAGTAGAGGATAATTTAGACATGTCTGCTGAGAGAATGGCAAAGTAGGTAAATAAAATGAATTTAAGAACATTTTTGAAAGTTTTGTGATTTTTGGTGTAGTGGGATAATCTTAGGTTTTACCCCCAAAATGGACCAAGGTTCGAACCCCAGCAGGGGAAAATATTTTATTTTGATGGAAACTAATTTTTTCTAACAAATTTCTTAAATAAAAATTTTCTAAAAAACAACTTTTCAATTTTAAAGAGATGTTTGTTCAATCTATCATCATTTATACGGCGAAAGGAATACTCCACCGCCTTTAATTCTTATTGGGCACAGGTTTTTTCTAAAAAATTTTTTTTTAATTTTTACCCTTTCAAGTATGGGAGGTTCTATAGCGATAAATATCGCAAATTTGTCTCTACTTCCAAATATTTTGGCTGTTTCTGCAATTGATGTTGTTGAAGGATCAGCAATTGCTTCCTTGACCTTTATGCAGCAGTTTTTAAGGGATAGGCCTCAGACTTTTGTTTCGATGGAAAAAGCAATTGAATGGTGTATGAAAAATAGAATTACTTCTAATTTGAGAGCAGCTAAAGGTTTTTTAAAAAAATTAAGAAAAAAATTTTTTGATGGAGTTTGCGGACTTTTTTTTGCGGATTTCTGCAAATTTAAAAAATTTTTTTTCAAATTTTTTAGTTTCAATGCCGTCTCGACTTGTTTATTTTGAAAACAATGGAAAGGTATATTTATCTAATTTTTACTAAAAAAATTTTTTTCGAAGAAAATATTAAAATGGAGAACCAATTTATCCAAAACAGAGCCTTATTGGAAAGGATGGTTTAAAGGCCTTTCAAAATCATTTCTTAATTGTGAACCTGTAAAAATTTTGATACTTGCAAATATTGATAGATTGGATAGAGAATTAATGGTATAAATTTTTTTGGTTGGTCCTGGCCCTCTCTACTAACTTAAAATTTTTTTGTCTCCGTTTTGGTCCCCGAACTGCTCCCCTTATCGACAGGAATTCAGCCTTTTTTCTTCTGGGTTCTGATTTTTAAAAATTTCCCGGTTCCGAAATTTGGGTTTTGCGGATTTTTTGCAGGGATAGACAAGCAAGGATGGACCGGGCTATCCAAAATGCTGGCTTCGACTCAAAATCCGACCCGGCGTTTTTTTCTCCATCGAGTCCATCACTGCTAACCGAGCTGTTTTAAAGGGTTAATTGATCCTTCTGAGTTTATCCAAATCCCCTCACCTAAATAAAATTTAATTTTTAAAGACTGGCCAAATGAGAGGACAATTCCAATTAGAAGTTATGCATAAATCTGGACATGCAGTCCACGAAGACAACCCTGAGGATGTTGCAAAAATTTTCTCTAGAATCATTGAACGATACAGAAAAATATTGAATTTTTGAAAAATTTCTCAATTTTTTAAAGGTATATTTTTTGTAAATTTTTTTAAATTTTAATTGTAAATTTATGATAGATTAAATAAAATAATAAAAAATTTAAAAAAATTTATTCGTTGTGTGAAAAAAAATTATTAGGCCGCGGTAGGTACCGAACCCCCCTCAAAATAGGGTGTAGTCGGTAACACTACCACTGAGCCACAACTGTCTCTGTAAGAATTATTTAAAATAAGCTTTATAATTAAAAAGAGAAATTCTTCGCCTCTTCTATTTATTAATGCGTTGAAGAAGCACTGCTTCCACTCCCAAACTTGATAACTAGGAAGAGTACAATTGCTATTAAAACAGCCAAAACAATTATCAAAATGCAGACTTGTTTCTAAAAAATTTTTTTGAAAATTAATTTTCTGATTTTTATTAATTAGCAAAAGCGTTTTAAAAATTCTAGCAAATATAAGCTTTATTCTGTTAAATTGTTAGTGAAATAAATTTTGAAATGAAAAAAGGAATGTAAAGAAAAAATTTCAAAATATGAACAAAAAAAATTAAAATTTAAAAAATGGAATGAGATTAAGACGAGGCATCAAAAATCAGTGTGTAATATATCAATTACGTACTACTATTAGAATCGTCAAAATTAGAACTCGAGGATTCCTAAATAAAAAGTCCTCAGGGTTACCATTTTATATAACTAGTTCTTTTAGGTTATGTTCGAGACCGGACAGGGAAGCAGGGCTGTCTGCAGTCGCGGACTGTGTTTTTGGACTTGGGGACTACGGAATCAAAGTTAAAATTGCGGACCGCGGGAAATTTTTTTCACCTGCGGACAGTCCTGTTGGGAAGGCTGTACAAAAATCGAGATTTAAATCTCGAAAAATCTCGAGTCTCGATAACCTAGAATTTTCGTTCGATGTTGTGTCCCCAAAAATCCGCTAAGGAATAATTCCCTTTAAAAAACTTGCGGACAAAAACTTGCGGATTTTGAGAAAAGGACTCAAAATGGTCATAAATAAATTTATTGCAAATTTAAAAATTAAAAAAAAGTGCCCTGAATTTTTATGTTAAACTCCATCTCCTCTGATGACATCAAAATGGATTTGGCACAAAAGAAAGTATAAAGAGACATGCAATAGCAAGAAGAATAAGCACGCAGATGATTACAATGATTTTTTTCTAAAAAATTTTGAAAATTAAAAAAAATTCTTTTTAGAGACAAAACCACAAACACGACGTTACTGAACACAAACGACGAAGAGAAAACAACAAAAAATACTAAAACAAAAATTTTATTTTATATATTCGACGACCAACCAAAGGACAAGTTGAAGGATAACAACAAATTTTTTAAGATTTAAAAATTAAAAAAGGGTTGGAAACTCGACCCCAATGAGTGAAATTAATCTCAAAAGTTTTCTGAAACAAGGTTTGTCTCTTACCACTTTCCTTACACCCATATTAATTTGGTAAAACATTTGCGGATCGTCCGCAAATAAAAATAATTTTTAATAAAATTCAGAAATTTTATGAATAAAATGCAAAGAATCACAATTTAAAAAATTAAAAGAAATGTATTTTAAAGGCACAGGAATATTTATAGAATAAAAAAAGGCATCCCCAAAAAATAAAAAAAAATCTCACCTATTAAAGGATTTTTAAAATATGAAGTTTACAATTAATTACAAAGGGTTTAAAAAGGAAAAATAAGGAAATAAGCAAAGCGAGTAGGGTATCTTTTAAGAAAAAATTTTCAAAAATAAAATTTTTCCCTTTGAAATGCAATCAAAAATGGAATTTTTGGGTAGAGCAAAATTTGCGGACTAACATTTGCGGACAAACACAACTTGATAGAATTTGGAAGATATATACCCAATATCTCAAAAATCCAGCCCTAGAAAAAAACTAGTAACCGTTGCCCCAAGTTTGCCCGCAATAGAGACCGGCGCGGGACGGGAGCCCGACGGGATTTTCCGGGATCCCGATCCCTGATTTTCGGATTTATTCGGGATTTATCCCTCGGAATCCCGTCCCGGCATTGGTTAAAAAAATCCCAACTCGGGATCCCGGAAGTTCGATCTCCGTCGGTCTCTAATCCGCAAATGTTTGTCCGCAAAAATTTTTCCTGGTACCCCTTTTTATAAATTTAAACCTTTCTCTCCCACTCTTCTCAATTCTTCGGTGTTTTGTTTAAAGTTTTATTAATTTGGTGGCGGCTTGAATTCACATCATTTGTTTCATTACGAGAAACAGAAGAAGAAGACTCATGCCCTTCATTAACTTCAGGAAGCCCATGCGGCATCACAGCAAAATTCATAACAAAATATAAAATAATTCCACCAATTAGTAAAGCCAACAAAACGATTGCAACAATTAGACAAAAAATTTTCTTCTAGAAACAAAAAATAAAAAAAAAAGGGAGGGGGAAAAGCAAAACGAAAAACAAAAAAATTTTTTTGGGAAAATTTTGAAAAATTTTTTTGAAATTTTCAAAAAATTTTTGGGAAAAATTGTCGGATATGGCTACCAAACAAAAATAAAACAAAAATACCCGAATCAGATGTCATTCGAAAGAGCTCACTGAGCTGATGTCGAATAACACCATTATTCCTAGGAAAAATTTTGAGTGAACATACAGGGCTCAAAATGGTCAAAAAACCAGAGGGACCCAAGCTTACATTTGAGGTAAAAACTCGATTTATACAAATGGTAGCTCATTCGAAAGAGCTCGTCGAGGAAGTCGAATGACATGATTCAAGTAGTATTTTTGTTGGGTAGCCATATTCGAAAGTTTTTCCAATTTTTTTGAAATTTTCAAAAAATTTTAAAACCAAAAAAAACACAAAGACTTAACTAAACACAGCAAAAAAAACAAAAAAAATTTTTTTTATGAATTTAAAGAAAAAATTTTAAATTTTTTAAAACCTACTCTTCTCGCTTTGCTTTGATATTGAACAGCCTTTTTTGTATCGGCCACAGCTCTATCTACAAATTCTTTTGCATGTTCCACATTATATTCTATTCTGTCAACCATTTCACCCTAAATTGATTTTTTGAATAATTTTTTTTTAATTTTTAAAAAATTAAACCTGAGATTCAACAAGCATTGCCATGTCCATAAACCTAAGTAGGGGAGAGAAAATAATTTAAAAAGATAATTTTCTTTAATCACTTTAGGTCAAAAGAATGGAATGGTTTGTTTGGGATAATCCCCTTAAACAAAAAAGGGATTTATTGGGATAATCCGGGGATTTGTAATAATCCCTATAATGTTTGGTTTGGTTAACCTGGTTTTCCCTGACTCACAATCAGTCAATACGCGAGATCAAAACTCTCTCATAGCCCCTGGTTCCTAACTCAAAGTCTTTGACCCAAGGCAAGAATCTGGACCAAATAAAGAATCAAAATCACTCAAAATCACCCCCAAAAATCCAAATAAACTTACATATCATGTAATTCTCTAATACTGCTTTCTAATCGCATAATATCATTATGTCTAGCCTCAATATCGGCCAATGTTTGTTTTGCTTGTTGTGTATCAGTAATTATTCCTTGAGTAAAAACACCAGGATTTCCAGATTCAATCATTTCTTCAAGATCTTCATCGCCAACTTTTTTACCCGCTAAAAAATAAAAAATTTTAAACCTTTTGAATAATCTAAAAGGTTCACCCCTCATTTCTAATCCCAATTTTAGAGGGTTTATAAAAATTAAAAATGGGTTACCCGGGGAAATGTCCACTACAGGCCAGGAAAATGTCCACCGACCCCTACAGGCCAGGAAAATGTCCACCGACCCCTACAAGCCGGGGGAAATGTCCACCGGCCTCTACAGGCCAGGAAAATGTCTACCGACCTTTACGGGCCGGGGAAATGCCCACCGACTCCTATAGGCCGGGGAAATGTCCACCAACCCCGACAGGCCTGGAAAACGTCCACCGACCCCTACAGACCGGGGAAATATTCACCGACCCCCTACAGGCCAGGAAAATATCCATCGACCCCTACAGGCCAGAAAAATGTCCACCGACCCTTACAAGCCAGGAAAATGTCCACCGACCCTCTACAGACCGGGAAAATGTCCACCGACTAGACAAATATTCGGAAACAGACTCCCGTTTCCCCCCTAATATTCTTAAAAAATAATTTTTTAAAAATCAAACCAATATCCAATTGTCTCTGAATTCTTCCTTTACAACGCTCTCTATAGTCTGTCTGTGTTTTATTATAATCCGTCATTACTTCAACAAATTTTCTTGAAAGAGTGGCCTGTTGTGTTTTTCGAATACGCAAATCAGCGCTAGTCATTCCTCCACTTTCATCATGTTCTATACTGTTTTCAATTACTAAAAAATTGAAAAAAAATTATTTTTAAATTGTAAAAATTTATTTGTTTTAACTATAGTGCTTATAAGCATTATAAGATCGATAGATATAAAATCCCCTGTAAAAGAGAATTCCCATCCTAAACAAGAGTTTACTTCCCAACCCTCTCAAAAACTGAATTTCTTTATTATCTTCGATGTTTTAGTCAATAAAATCCCTCAAAAAAATTCACAAAAATTTTTAAAGCTTGTAGACCAGTTGTACTTGTTTATTTTACATATTTAAATATTTAAAAAGCAAAAATAAACAAGTTAACCACTAGCGGGTTCGAACCTGTACCTACCGAGTTACCCATACAAACGCTTAACCGAATTAGCCAAAAGACCAACTACCCTCAATTTTAATTTAAATAAAACCACAAACATTTAAGCTTTCCCCGCACTTTGTTTGCAGTCTTCTTAATCTCTGCCATTAATTCATCCAATTCTTCTTTGGTTTCTTTAAAACGAATAAATATTCAAGAAATTCTTGGTACTTGTGTAGTTTACCCCCCATAAGCCCCGCCCCTTTGTCCTTTTTTCCTCTTCTTTGAAGAAAACGTTTATTAAAATATTGACCCAAATGATCATTTGTAGGAGGAAGAACGAAAGAAAAGGCTTAAAATAAAAAGAGGCGGGGCTTATGGGGGGTAAACTACACAAGTATCAAAAATCTTTCCAAAAAACAAACTTGGATCATTCACAGGATTTGAAAGAATCGCAGAATGTTTCTTTTTTACTTCTTCAACATTCGAAGCAATTAAATCAATACTTCCACGAATTTCCTCAACTTGCTCAAAAAATTCTTCCATAAATTGGCTTTGACTAGCCTCCATTGCTGCAGCAACATCTTCGTGTTCTTCTTCTGATTGGACCTTAAAATTAATTATTTTTAAAATTAATTGACTAGAAAAACCGCTTTGAGTGCCCCAAGACGATCCTTCATTTTTAGACTTCTGGAATGTTGTTTTTATGTTGAAAAGGGAAGAATTAAAGAAAGCTCGTTAGTAATACAATTAAATTCAGATTAAAAATTATTTTTGAAGAAAAAATAAAGGCATATATTTTTAGTTGAAATTTACGAAAAAAAATTTTTGGTAATCTAAAAAATAAAAATATTATTAAAAGAAAAACGGGTACAGCCCGGCGCGCGGCCGTAACGGCGCGAAGCCATAACTTGCTTCAAGATTTCCGAATCTTACCAAATTTAGTATTAAACGATTCCTCTCATCGAGCTAAAGAGTTTGGTACCAAAATTTATAAGGGCCAGAAATTTTCCAGCAAGTTATGGCTTTGCGCCTACTTGGCCGCGCGCCTGGAAGTACCAGGATTTTCTTAATTGCCAACTTGTAAAAAATATTTCAAAATCTCAAAAGAAAAAAGAGTAAAAGGAGAAAAATTTTCAACTTGAAAAAATTAAAAAAAAATTTTTATTTAACCGAGAAATGACGAGGGGAGGTATTGAGGTAATAGGCAAAAAAAATTATTTTAAAAATTCCCTCTAACTCCCCTCTTTCACTCTCTAGGCTTTTAGAAAGGGAGAATAGTCATACATTTGTATATGCTTTTTGGGGTTTTATTTTAAATGATCATCGACCTTCTCCTCGACTGTTTTATTGATTTTTAAATTTCAAAATGGAAAAAAGGGATTTTTATTTTTTTAATGAAAAAAAATAAAAATTGAGAGGGAAAACAATAAGCAAAATGTTTGAAAAATCAAAACTTTCACGAAGAATAATTTAAAAAATTATTAAGGGAGAAATCAAAACCCAGAAGATCAACACCTTAGAGGACAACAACAAAAAGGACAAGTATTTACATCATAGAGGACAACAAAGAGAAAATATCCAAAGAGGGTTTTTATCTTTTTCCGAGGGGATTTTTTTATTTTTATTTTTAAGGCCAAAAGATAAACTCATTAAAGGACAACTAGAAAAATTTAAAAAAAATGAGGTTTTTTGAACGAATATGAAAGGAGGTTTTAATTAATAATCAGAATGCGCAAAAAAAGGGGGAAAATGAAGAAAAACGAGAGGAGAGATAATAAAACTATATAGTAAATACACCTACAATATTTATATAAAGTTTGTTCATCTGGCATATATTTTTTTAAAAAATGTTTTTGGATAAAATAAAAGGAAAAATAATATTTATGTGTTCCAAAAAATCACCTTACAACATATTAATTAGAGAGCGGAATTTTGAAAAAAACCGGGAACAGGAAATTGTAGCAGATGAAACCCGGCCGGGACCCGGAACCGGGAAACGGGATCAGGTCCCGAGCTCTCTAATATTAATTAGTCAAAGTTTTGACAAAACAAAACTTTTATTAACAAATATTGATAGGGGAAATGGAGGGGGATTAAGAAAATAAATAAAAAAATATTTTAAAAGGGATGATGTAAAAATGCGGGGATGTGGAAATTAAATAGACAGAGGAAAATGCCAGACAGGTTTTAAGAAAGAGGGGGGGGGGGGAATAATTAATTAAAGCGCGAGAAGCGCGTGTCTAAAGGTTAAAAAGCGAGAAAATGGATGATTGAGTGAACTTTTAAGGAGATTTTTTGATTGCGGGGTTACTCAAAACTAGAGGTAGGTGCGGGACGGGATCCCGCGCGGGATTTTGCGGGATCCCGCCCCGCATTTTTTGAACTGCGGGATTCCGCGGGATGCGGGGTTTTGCGGGATTTATCCCGTGGGATCTCGTCCCGCAAATATTTAAAAGAAAAATCCCGCATGCGGGACTCCCGCAAACACGATTTTCCCCCGCAAACACGATCTCTACTCAAAACAATGTTTTGGTCCTCCAAGAATGTTTTAGCTTAAAGCTTGTTTTTTCCCGTTTGCAGCGCCTGTTTTGCCCATTCCTCCTTTAAAAGAGAAAATCTTCAATGTGCCGATTGCTCTGGCAGTGGTCTGCCTATATAGATAGGAAGGGGTGGCATGTCTGAAAAAGGAAGAAAAAAAAGCTTCTGGGGCCACAACTCCTTCCTCTTTGCTCTTTTTATTAGCCTTGCTCTTATTTTTTTTACTTCACTCCTTTCTTCTTACAACTTCTTAATCTCGCCACCAGCCAGCCACCAAAGAAAGAATTTATAAATAACAGATAAAACAGCTCTACCAACATCAACATTTTCTCTTCAATTTGAGTAAAGCATCCAATATATGCATGCTGCTTTTCAATTTTTGTTTCCCTCCCTCCCTTACCCCCAAACATTATAAATATTTCATAATGGCTACTACACAAGGTTTTTTATTTTGCCAACAAAGCAAGTCCATACGCCCAACTTATCAACACTAAATATCCAAATGATAAACACTAACAAGAGTACAAAATACATTGATAGTGAAGGATGGGTTGGGGGTCATTAGGGCGCCTAATGGCCCACGCCTTGTCCCAGTCCCTGAAGGATGGTCCCGCGCATAAATGGCCAATTTTTAAAGGGGAGAGAGGGTCTTGTTGGGATTTTCTCCCTATCTCTCCTCCGCATGAAGCTGGAAAATATGAATTTTTGAGCCATTATTAAAAGAGAAAGGAGAGAAGTTTATGGCCATAAAAATAGAAATAACGTAGTCTTTCAATCCTGTGGTTTATTGAAAAAAGAATCGATATACAAGGATGGGGGAAGGCGCCAACAACAAAAATAATGGCAACTATAGCTACACAAAAAAATGCAAAAAAAAATAAAATCGGCCAAACGAGAGTATTGAATAAAGGCGTGAAAATATGAGAGGCTTATTTGTTGAAACTATATTGGACTCTCCCATTACACTAGAGACCAGAGGTGGGTCGGAATTCCGATTTCCGAAAAAAAATTTTTATTTCCAATTTCCGAGTTCCGCCTTTTGAGCCAGTTCCGATTTCCGGCTCTTCCGATTTCCGACTGTTCTGACCCACCTCTGCAAACTGGGAAAACACATTGGAGAGATGAATCAGATATTCGGTGCTCCCGTTTTCCTACCTTTACGAAGGAAAAACAGGCACTTTTGGACATATTCTCCAAACCATGGTGTTGTCGTTTTTAGCATTTACTGTGTCGAGTTTCGTTCACCTGCCCAATTTTTCTCCTTGTTGATACATTGTCCACATGTTCATTAAATGAATCCAACCATAACAATATGTGCTCATTAAAAATATTAAAAATAAACCAAAAAGAACAAGCAAGGCTTTAAATATTTGAAAAATGCTTAAATAACATTTATTTTAACCAAAAAAGGTAAAAAATTGAAAATCTCAAGTCCTAAAATTTTAATTTAAAAATTTTTTTTATTTTTAAAAAATATCAGCATTGCACATAAGAACAAAAAAAACAAAAAAAGCAAATAAAAAATTATAAAAATAAAGGCCACAAATATATTTTGGGAGATTTATAATGATTTTTTTTAAGTTTTATGATTGAATTTAGGTCGAAGTAAAGTCTTTTAAAAAACATATTTTAAAATTCTTCAACAATAAAAAAAGGAAAAAGTGAATGTATGAATTGTTTAAATATATTTATTAGAGCCTTCCAAGACTCTTTGGCTTGACTCAATACTTTACTTGGGTTTTTTTTCGGTCTTGGGGTGATGTCTTGGTCACGAGTCTTGGCCTCGAGTCTTGGAAAATTTTCGGTCTTGGAAGGCTCTAATATTTATAGTAGTTACTCCTGTTTTAATATTTGACTAGATTTTTAAGTCTTACATTTTTAGTGGACTAGAAGTTCAGCACTTTTCAAGGTCTCTGTAGGTTTTTTCCGGAGGTCTCTTGACCGCAGGGTTTGACGTTTTCCCGAGTCGGATCCAAATTTGTCAGAAAAAATTCCGGAGATCACGAAAAAAGCCCGAATTTGGGACCCAAACTCCGAAAAAGTTGGCCAGTTCCGGTTCGAATCGGGCACTATTTTTCATTGTACATAAACCCCAAAGAGGTAACATGCCCAAAATAAAAGATAAAATTATTAAGACTTAATGCCCTAATGCCAAGACTCCTCTACAAAAAATCCTGTATTATATTTTTATTTTTAATCTAAACAAAATCATTCGGAATGGTGAGCATTTCCTCCTCCTCCGCCTCCTCTTCCACCACTTCTTCGATCGCTTTTACTACTACCTGAAAGCAAGTGTAAAAAACAATAAAAAAGTAGAATGTTGCCAAGTACTAAAAGTAGTGGAATTCGCCATTGAATGAGCCAATTCTGAAATATAAAAAAATTTTTTTTGGAGGTCTTTCGAGTTTTTAAAATTTCCTACTCTAAAATTAGGATGAGCCAAATATCTTAACGGATTTTGTCTCAATCTTTCTTCCTCCTCCATTTGTTTATGTACATCTTGACGTCGTTGAGAAGCTAATCTTGCAGCTTCTTCTCTACCTAATTGTAATGGTTGTCCAGCCAAATCTTCCAAATTGGGGAGAGATCCACGTTCTTCCCTCGTTTGGTTTTGAATATCAACAGAAGAGGATGGCAATTGTTGTTGTTGTTGGTCTTGAAGACGAAGAGAATCATCTGCTCCATAAACTGAATGGATAGGAGGAACACGTTGACGGCATTCCCTTGGGTTTACTACTAAGGTGCTTCTTCTGTTAAGCGTCTAAAAAACAAATATTTTTAAGGCTTTTAGTCAAAAAACCCCAACCATTGAGCCACTAGGAGATTCACCACAGCTACTCCCACCAATTGTACCGCTAGCGCCGAGAACCTCGCATTGTCTAATTAATGAAGGTCTGTTTCGTCTAAAGTGATGAGAAGTATCTAATCCGCTACTGCTGGTACCTGAAAAAGATTTTTGAGTATAAAACCCAAGAAAGCTATTCCCTCACCAGGTAACAATTGATGTTTTGAAGCTTCTCTTCTCGAAGATTTCAACAAATATTGGTCCCAATGATCATCACTTAGGGACATAGTTGAAGGACTTGAACGACCACGCATATTAGTCATTCCTCTCAAATGATGTGGAGGTTGTGGTTTTTGAAGTGTGGCCATTTCTGAAGAAGACTGTTGTCGAATATGAGCAGCAGCTGGGAGTGGAGGAATAGCAGCTGCATAACTAACAATATTGCTGTGTTGAGCACTTTGATGACCGCCGCTCTTAAAATAAAAATATTTTTAAATAAAAAATTAATTTTTCCTACAGCAGAGGCAGCTACCAACAATCCACCACCCTCTGTATCAGAACCACCTTCATTAATCATTTGGGGATGTGGGGTATAATCTTGTTGTTGCTGTTGTTGAGAACTCTATTTAAAATTATTTTTTTAGAGGTTAAAAATTAAAAAAAAAATTTTTTTTTCTCTTACATGGCCAGATTCACTCGATTGTTGATGAATTAAATGCCTCTGTTGTTGACCAAAATTCCCTCCACCACCTCCTCCCCCTCCAACAGCAATTCCACTATCTGCAGAATATTGTGGAGGTGAATGAGGTTGTTGTTGCCCTCCACCCATTCCTCCAATTATTCCACCATTCCATTCCGAAGTATTTGCAGTTTGTTGTAAATGTCTTTGACGTAATTGTTGTTGTTGTTGAGCAAATGGAGGGAGTGGGGGCATTTGATTAAATGCAATGTTTTGTTGACTAGAAGGGGGAAAAATTAAAAAAAAATTAAATTAAAAAATATTAACGATGAAGAAGAGTTTGGACCAACTGCAAATGCATTAGAATAATCATATTGTTGATTTTGTGGACTAGAATAATTAGTTTGTGAATGTGGTTGCTGTTGATGATTAAATTGAACGTGGTTGGCCATTACATGATTATGAATTGGTGTGAGCATTGGAATGGCAGATTGTCTGAAGAATAAGGAATTTTTAAACAATAAAAAATAAAGTACTTTTTTGATATCCAGCCCCGAAACAATTTTTTGACTGCATTTCACTTACATTGCTTCAGGAAAATAAAAATCATAGAAAAGGAAAAATAAGAGACTCGAATTAGGGGGCCGGGATGTCCAAAAAGTACCACAAATTATAAACACTTACTGTCCTCCAGGAGTTCCAGACCTTTGCATCGCTGCTCTAGCACGCAATAATTCTACGCCGGGTTGTTTAAAACTTGGATCAAACTGTGCAGCATAAATACGTGCAGTGTCTCCATCATCCCTTGCTCGATCAGCAGCTTCAACGCTAGCATCAGCGCGTTCCTAAAAATTTTTTTAATAAAAAACTTTTTTTAAAAAAATACTTGTGCTGTCATTGTTCTAGATGTAGCAATTTCAACACGTTGTGCAGCTAAATTTAATTTTATTTAAAATAATTTATTTACAGTAAAAAACCCATGTCAGCAGCTTGCCTAGCATGTTCAGCATAAATTTCTACTCGATGCCTCAATTTTGTTGAACGGACAAAAAGGATGCCTTTCCGTCTAGCTGAGCTAACAAGAACATTGTGTTTATATCTTCCCTCTTCTTTACTACAAAAAAATTTTTTAGCCTTTAAAACCTTAAAAAATACTAACGTTCCATCCCTGAAGAAGGTTACTCCATATCCATGTTTTCTATTATCTAACCATTCCCCAGCATAACGAAGACCGTCTGAACGTTCACAAACACCATAACCGGAGCGCATGTCATTTTTCCATTCACCTCGGTAAATCTCTACGGCGTTGGCGTCGATTGGTGGTTCCTCTAATGTTGCTGCCTAAATTTTTTAGAAACAAAAATGAAAATCGAGGTAAATCAAAAAGGAATGACGGACCTTTAGGGGAGCGGAATTACTTAAAGGAGCACAAAATAGGGCTCTATCTTAGGTCTCAGATTTAAATCCCAGACCCAGTGGGCGTAGGTCCCGAACATGAAGAAATGCTTTGGACCATACCTCAACTTTGCAACACAAAGAAGAATCAAATTTTTTGTTGATGGGACGCATATACTTTCATGGGACGCATGTCCTAAGATAGAGCCCAAAATAATACTAAAATCGTGAGGAAAACTCTTAAAAACCAATTTGGCCTCTCCTCCCTAGTAATGCCAAATAAGGTTCTTCGGTTCGGAACCGACCCGAAAACCCGAAGATTTTCGGTTCAGTTTCGGATATCCAAAAGTTTACAAAGAACCGACGACAATAACTCTTAAAAAGTGATTATTTAGGCCCCTTATTCCCTTGTTATTCTAGTAGTGCCAAAATTATCTACTCGAAAATTTAAAAAAATGAAACCTCCGCAGCAACTCTAGAACGTTGAGAATTTGGAGGATGCCTCAAATCGCCCGAATCTTCTTCATCAGAAGTACAGCTTAAAGTACTTCCACTAGAACGAAGTGAAGAAGCGCCACCAGCAGAAGAAAAAACTCTTTGTTGGTGAATAATGTCTCCGGTAGAATTTTGTTTTCTAATTCGTTGAAGAATACCTTAGGAAATGATAAAAATAAATAAAATTTAAGACAATTTTTCAAACTTCTCTTCACTGCCAATGAACGCTCTGAGAGAGAACGGCGTCGTTTGTTAGTACCCGAATAAGCTTTAAGCACAAAACCGCCTCTACTTTCATCTGAAAAATTCATTTAATAATTCTTTACAAAGGTCATAGATCCAGAAAATAAAATGAGGTTCTCTTATTGTCAGCAGAGGTCGGTCAGAACTGATTTCCGAGATCCGACTTTTAGATCATTTCTGGTAGTTCCGGCACCTTAGTTATTTCCGACCGACCCCTGATTGTCAATTTTACTCACAAGTCCGCAAAAATTATCCGCGAGTTAATTTTCTAATAAAAGGATTTAAAAAACTTTCGAACCAAGACATTTGATTTAGAACTCTAGAAGTACAGTCTTGCGGACATTATTTGCGGACTTCTTATGTTTTATGAAAAGAACCCAAAAAAAAGACAAAAACTCTACCCAGTTGAGTTGTTTGTTCACCCCTCCTTTCTCTAGAATGTGATCTGCCGTGATGATTGGGAGGTGTATCCATTGCAGTTGCTGCCCTTTCATCATCCAACATGGCAACACTTCCATAATTTGAGCGTAGGGAACTTAGAGACGTATGTCCTCCTCTATGTTTTTGTTGCTGTTCTGAGTGGTGTTGGTGGTTATTCGGGGTTGCTACACTCCAAGGCGCGCTTGTTCGAATTCCATAACCATGCCGCATACCGCGCAGCCATTGGCCTTTATAAGAGCCTGGAAATTTTTTTTAAAGATGAGTGAGTGTGAATAAATTAAAAAAACCTCCATCAGAATATATTTCAGTTCCATAACTGAAAAGTGAAAAATAAAAATTTTAAACAGAAAAATAAAATCAAAACCCATCGTGAAGTCCACTTGACCACGTCCCCAGATAATGAGCACCAGAGTTGAGCGCCTCTCGACGTCCATACCGGCCTTTATATCCCTGCGTCCATTCACCTTTATAGGTCCACCGGCCGCGCTGTTCAACACCGAGGCCGTGACGCTTCCCGTTTTGCCACTGACCAGAATAAGTACTGCCAGAAGGCCAGGTATAGACACCAGAAACCTGGGAAAAAATTAAAAAATTTTTAATTAAGAAAAAAACCTCAAATCCATAGTGCCATGCTCCAGTGTATTCTCCCTGTCCATCAGGCCCTGTACAAACACCATGTCCATGTGCCTTTCTAGAAAACAAAAAAATCATTTCCTTATAAAAAATCATTTCCCCTATAAAAAATCATCTTTTTACCCTTCCTCCCATCCACCACAGTATGTCCCGCCATCGTCAAAATCAAAACGGCCACCGTTCATGTGCTGGTTGCTGGCCGCCCCCAACCAACTCTATATAATTATATACAGAGTTTAATAATGAAAGTTGTTTTTACTGTTGCAACACACACAATTAGACTGTTACAACAACTACAGAATAACAAAAAAAACTGAAAATTTAATGTTAAATTATGATAAGCAAAGTTAAAATCAAAAAATGTAAAGTCTTAAAAAAGGAGAGAAAATTTTTCATACTAAAAAAGTGAAATCAAAAACACGGAGGAAAAACCATGATCAAAATTTATGAGAGATCAACACAATAATCTAGTGTTGATCTTTAGGGTATTTAGTGAATTTTTAAATCAAAGTAAAAACAAAGGAATTTTAAATCAAAATAAGAAACCAAAAAAATCAAAAAAATTTTTGACAAATAAAATACAAAAAAGAGCGGAAAAAAGAAACTTGGATGTGCGTGTTTCTATTAAGTTGCGTGTTTAAGATGCTTTTTTAGGGAAAAAGGAAAGGGATTCAAGTAAAAGCAGAGGAACAAATAAAAAAATTTTTGTCAAAAAATTTTTTAAACCTTAAAGCAGGGTAGCATTCCGACTTTTCGGGGTCGGGAGTGTCGGGGGATCGGAGGGTTTACCGGGGTAAGGCCTTCAGTGTTCGAGTCGGGGGTTTTTGCCAAAAAAAATCTTCGGGTAAAGCCGGGTAGCTCAACAATTCTGGGTCGAGAGTGTTGGGAATCGGGAGGGGGGGGGGGGGGTTACCGGGCTAGAGCCTTCGGGGTTCGAGTCGGGGTTTTGCCAAAATAATCATTGGGGTCTGGGTTTTACCCTACTTTAATGCAAAAAATATTTCAAAATTTTCTTTAAAAAATTAAGACAAAAAACCTCTAAAAGTAAGCCATTGAAAGGAAAAGAAAAATGCGCGAAAAATGAAGAAACAAACAAAAAACACAAAAGTCTAACAAACTTTTTGGAAGAGTAAAGGCAAAAAAAAGTAAAGCGTAGGAGGAAAAAAAAGTAGTATATAAAAGAGAAAAGCTGCGCGAGAAGAAGTTATAATATGTTTTTAGTAAATTAATACAAAATGTGTGTGTACATACATATCCTTCCCCCCAAAAAAAATTTTTTTTTCACTCATCGGCTTTAACGCATTCATCACACAAAAAAACGAGACTTTTCTCAAGCAAGTTACAAAGTCGTTGCTTATAAGCAATAGATATATTACTCTAACAAAAGGATGTTTTTTTTCTGTTGGCCGTAAACTATAGGACTTTACTGATACGGATGACGAGGGAAAAAATAAAAATAAGAAGCTTGGAAAAGAAGCTAAGAAAAAACACAAAAAAAGAAGGATGCACGACATTTTGCCAAAAACACATTTTGCCAATAAGGGTAAAATCCCCCATTTTGCCAATAGGTTGTTGACAAAATGAGGAGTTTTAGCCTTATTGGCAAAATGTGTTTTTGGCAAAATGTGCATTCTCGAAAAAAGATAAAAGAAAAAGGAATTCACACCAACCCCTAAATATAAGCCTAACTGTTGTTTGTAAAGCTAGAACAGTGTACTGCTGATGACATTGCCCCCAACAACGGTTTCGTTTTTTTTTTTTTGAGTTTTTTTCTTGTTTCCTTTCGCTCTCGATCCGTCATGGACGGCTGGGAAAAGCAGGAAAAGCAAAATTTTGGTGAGGGAAAAAAAGGGAAGGGAGGGGAAGGGAATGTGAGGGAAAAAGAAATGGAAGGAGAGAACTGCTGACAGACAACAAATAATTCATTTGTGGCCCCAAGCTTTTCACTGGGCTATAAAAACGGGCAGGGAAAGAAAAATGGGGGATATAGAGATGAAGCCTGTTGATAAAAAGAGAGGGGGCATAAGAGTCGATAAATTTTTTACTTTTTGGGGTACAACTCGAAAAGGGATTTTCAGTATGGGATAAGATGTTCATGATTTTTTTGACTAATTATGATCTTCCATAAAGGTAAAATAAAGTTAAACTGGGCTAGCAGCTACATATTTCTCCTCAGTTAACAAACTGGTAGCCGAACTACCATCATTCTCAGTTAACCGGGCCGATGTGTTATCCATTAAACCACATCCCCTCCTGCTAGTACTTAAATAGCTATAAGTTTTACAGTACAGTAAAATCAAAAAATATTTTTGGTGATCAAAATTTTCATTATTTACAAAACGAATGGGGTTGCAATTAAATTTTTGGTTAAAAAAATATATGGAAGAAAAAGGGAAAAGAATGGATGACGGAAACGGAAGAGATTCTATGTATGATACTAAGATATTAGAGATCGAGTTGGGTCTGGACCAAGGCTTGGGGGTTTTCCTTTACCCAGAGTCCAGGCATTTTTTGACCTTCCTGGGTTTTACTGGGCCTGGGGGTTTTACTGGACTACAGGCCCAGGATCCGGCCCAGGTCAACCGGCCCCCAAATCAAACCTAGAGCTTAGGAACAGGCTTTTCAAAAATCTCGATCTCTAGTAGCTCTAAACTAAAGCTCGAAAAAATCTTTAAAACTAGCACAAAAATCATTTTACAAAAATTGATCAAGCATTTTATTAAGAGGTTGGTGTAATGATCTAATAAATAAAAATATTTGTGTGTAAATGCAAGTAAGCAATCGATGAGAGATTTTCTAGCTTACACACAATTAAAGCTTATCCCACACAATGATTTTAAAAGCGACCGGGATCAGCGGCGGTTTATTCTTCTTCTTTTCCCTCTCTTTCTACTAATTCCCACCCTCACAAAGTTATCTTTCTAAAGAACTTTAAAACACTAAAAAGCAAGAAAAAAGTGAAAGCTTTGAAGAGAAGGAGATAAATGAGGGAAGTAAAAATAGAAGAAAATGAACGGCAACTTGATCAACAGTTATCAGGATATTGATAACAGTCAGATATCGATATCAGTCTCTCCCGAATCTCGAACACAAGGGATGTGCCCCATAGGATGTCTAATATTGTGGTACTTATAATGAGGTGTACCTTATAAAGCGCCCATGGAGGCTGAAAAAATCGTATCTTATAATGAGGTGTACCTTAAATAGAGGTGTATCTAATATTGGGGTCTCTTATAATGAGATGTGCCTTACATAGAGGGTACAAATTAGACAGTCCTCCAATCTAGTGGCACTTCTAAAAAGCTGTACCTTAAATAGAGGTGTATCTAATATTGGGGGTCTTATAATGAGATGTACCTTAAATAGAGGATATCAATTAGACAGCTTCCCCAAGTGGCCAACTCACTCACTCCCAACTCACTCAAAAAGCTGTACCTTAAATAGAGGTGTATCTAATATTGTGGTCTCTTATAATGAAGTGTACATTACATAGAGGATATTGCTTAAACAGCACCTCTATACAGTGGCCAACCAAAATTTAAAAGGGTATCTTAAATGGAAGGTATCTGAGGTTCAACATAGTCTGTTGATATTCTGGGTCAGAGCTTAGAAGATATACCAAAGGGCCAAATCTTTAAAAGAACTTGGTGGGGTGGTTGTGGCTTATTCTTCTTCCTTCCTATCCCCTTTCCCTTGTTCCCGCATTCTTTAACTTTTTCCCTTCCAGTCTCATTGTGTTCTGTGGGGGGCTATTGGTTGCCTTTTATTTTATAGACAAAAATTCCAACTTAAAAAAATAAAAGAAGTTAACTGACACCCAGAGAGAGAATGGGAAGGAATCTGCAAATAAATGGATTTGTGTTGGTATGTGAAAATAAAGCTTGTTTGGTGGTAATAAAGAAGAAACAAAAAACTTTGAAAAATTGGAAAGATTTTCGAAAAAAGAGAGAGGAAGAAATTTATTGATCCTGAACAGGATCAGAACCCCAACTCTTAAATACATATCACAAAAATCCACCTAACCACTAATCACTGTCCAATTACCAAATGACGTTTGGCCTATTTTTTATTTTTAGTAAATTATTAAAGCAACAAAAATGGCTTTAAAATATCGACAAATTTTTAAAAAAGAAATTTTTGTTGAATTCATATGTTATTAAATATATAATGAAGCAACAATTCTAGCACAAAAAATTTCATAAAATGGCTGATTCGTCATAAAAAAGCAATAACTGAACGTGTCTGTTCAACAAGTTCTGCTTCCCATTTAAGTTGTTCCTGCAAAAATTTTTTGATTATGGTTGCCAAAATGGATCGCCTCGGTCAGAAAGATCAAGTCGGGCATATAATTTTAAAGAAAAACTTATTATACCAAGAAGACCCCCTCGCTTAAGTAGTCGCAGAAAATAAAAACTATTTACCAATTACCTGTTGTTCATCACCAGAAAATATAATTGTCCTTTCATTAGCTCGAAGAATCTGATCAACAGCTGCCTATGCAGTTGCCAAACTCCTATGATGCACAACTTTAGGATGAAGAAAGTTTGTAGTGGCAACACTTTTTTGCATAAAATTCTGTAAAAAACTAAAAATATTAGAAAAAATAAATCAAGTATTTAAAGGAATTTTAACCTCTAAAAATCTTAAAAAAAAATTTTTTAACATTTTTATCTAAATATAACACACTGGATTAACACACAAAACGAGAATATATAATTAAAATAATTTTTTATGCTTATTTATTTAAATTGGAATGTTTGTTCCTTCTAATAGTCAATACGTCTACTCAAAGCAATTTTGATTAATTTCAGTCCTCATCTTCAAAATTAATAAGTTGTGTTGTTTGGGAGAGAGGGCTCTTAATTGATCGAGGGGAGTAGGATAAGATAACTGTTCTTTAATCGGAGTTGACTTAAGCCTTTTGTCAACAATATCCTAGAAAAAGATGGCTATTGTTCAATATTATTTTGATTCAACCTTTTCAATATTATCTTGATTCAATTTTTTAAAATTTTCAAGCTCAGTTTTTATTTCATTATTATTAGAGTAAGAGGGAGGTAAAAGTTTAATCCCAGGCAGGCAAAAGTTTAATCTTATTGGAGATTATCTAACGCTTCTTGAAATTTACTTTAGAAGTAGATGGGGTTTTATTTTGAAATTCTTTAGCAGCCTCCAAATGTTTTTCTCGTTCAAGTTTTCTCGTTCAAGCCTAGCCTCTTCCTTCTTTCTATTGTTTTGTTCCACTCGTTTTTCACGCTCCTCCCGTTCTCTACAAAATAGAAAAAAAAACAAAATAAAAAAGAAATCTAAAGAAAACCTTTTTGCACTGTCAGCTTTCTCCCTCAACAAATCTTCACGTGCTCTCTTTGCTTGATCAGCTTTCTCGTCAATTTTTTTTAATTTTTGTACCTTCTGAAATGTAGTATTGAGAGCCGCTGGTGTTTTTGCTGGAGACTTTGTTGTAATCAATGGCCGTGTCTTCATCTTTCGCATTTCTTCAACAACTTTTTCTGCTCGTTTAGCTTCATATGTAGTTTTTTGCATTTGTCTAACACGTAAAATTGTATCGTTTATATATTTAGGAAGTGTAGGTAATTCTCCACGTTTAATAAAACGACAAATAATTTCGCGAATTCCTTTAAAAAAGAGAAATTTTAGGGGGGAATTAAAAAAATGGAATTTTCAATATATCGAACCTCATTATTAGATACCACGAAAAATTTATTATACATCACTTTAAAGTTCGGATTCTTTAATTAGCTGTTTAAATGATATCCACTCCCCTCTCCTTAAAGTAACTTCACTATAAGAGAAGCTTTTTTCAATCGCAAACAGGGATGCCACCGGCGAGAAAATGTCTAGTGGGGTTTCAACAATTTCTGCGGATCGGATTTTGGATCGAAAAAAGACTAGGTTTCCCATTTTTAATACCCAGCGGCATCCAAAAGGATCCCAATGAATATCTAAAATGAGGTTGTCAATTATATATTAAAAATTAATTTAAAAAGAATTGTTATGTGACCAAAAGTCGTTTGGCCAATTGTCATCTGACTAGTTGTCCTATTAGCACTTAAAAATTAATTGGCGTTCTGTTTATTTATTTTTTAATTTCATTTGTGTCAAGATTTCGTTTATTTCTCAAGATTTTTGAAATTTTATTTTTAGATTTAGTTATCTTTAATTAAATTCCAGTAAATTTTGTGTAATGACGCTTGATAAAACCAATGAAGGTAGTTGTTAATTTAACGAAGTTTTAATTTAATATTTTTTAAAGTGAATGAAAAAGATGAGGAAGTACCAAAGCAGGATTGGCTTTTAAAGCAAGACCTTTCAAATTTGGATCCTTCAAAGTTGACGCCTTTAACTGAAGAGGTTTGGAGAGTTTTAAATGAATGCAAATAATCTTAATTTTGAAGGTGATAAGTCGTCAGGCAACGATTAATATAGGTAGATAAATTTTCATTCAGTCTCAGTAAGTTGTGCCGTGGTGTAGTGGTTAGTGTGCTTGATTCCCGCTAGAGTGCGGACGGGACAGGATCCCGAACGGGATTTACGGGATCCTGTCCCGACGCGATTTTACGAGATCCTGTCCCGAAATCCCGTATTTTAAGCAACGAGCGGGATTCACGGGATTAATCCCGCGGGATCCTGTCTCGTAAAATTTTTCGAAAGGAATCCCGTTACGGGATCTCGAGAATGCGTTTTTCCGCACTCTACAGGGTGGGGCAAAAGTTCGGCGACAAATGTTTTTAATAAAATCTATTGTAAAAAAAATTTATTTAACATGAAAAAATGATAAAATATAATCAATAGGATATAATAATCATTTTATTAAAGTAATTTCTCAAATTGACCATCCCTAACTGAAATACACGCATCCAAACGCTTTCGGTTGTGACTCACAATGGTCGCGCATTGTTCATAGGATATTTAGTTCCAGTCCCGCTCAAAACAATTTTCAGTTCCTCCTATGTTGCGTATCGGATTCGGCATACTTTTTGCTACAGAATTGCCCAAATAGGTTAATCCAGGCATTTAAATTCGTTGAGTTTGAAGGCCAGATATCTTTCCCCCAAAAGCCAGGAAACAACTCCCCACAGAGCTGGATTGTCGTTTTGACTCCATGCACAGGTACCCAATCCTGCTGAAGCGAGAATTGGTTTTCACCAAAATGCTATAACGCCCATAGATGCACAACCCCCCTCAGAATGTCATTTTTTTAGACTAGCATTAATTTTTACATGCATCACTCTGTTATGTCGACCAGCTGCGACCAGGCGTTTAATCCTTTCGACATTTCTGAAGCTTCTGATGCTTCATTCAATTGATAAGGAAATATACGCGGCTGATCTTTTAGCTCCGAAGTCTAAGCTTCACTCTGACAATTTTTAGGAGGCTCTTCGAGCTCATTCCGAGATCTGAGGCCGTTTTTCACATCGATTGTTCAGAAAAACGGCGAATTCGGTATTTGACCACGTTCATGTTTTCAGGCGTAACTTTGGTTAAAGGCCGGCCACTACTAAGGCGGTCCTGAGTATTTCCAAGCTTATGATATTGTTTTATTGCTTTGGAAACTAACATACGAAAGATATCTAGCCGTCTAGCGATGTCACATTTTCGAACATTTTTAAAATACAAAGAAATAATAGAAGCACGATTCTTTAACATCCTGTAAAATTTTTACGTTATGTGATAGGAAAAAATTTTCAAGATAAAATTTGTAGAGCGCGAATCATAGAATATGGGAAATCTAATCAAAAAGCAAAATATAAAGTAAATTTTAAGAAAGGACAAAATAAAATTTGTCGCCGAACTTTTGCCCCACCCTGTAGTTCCCGCTCATAAGTCGACTTTGTTTTGATGTCTTTTGTTGTTTTTTGGGGTTGTGCGTCGTTAATTTAGACTGGATAGTAAACCAAGTTTTCCTTGTAGGAAGGTTTTTTTTATATTTTTTTCTGAAATAACTCCTAAAATTTGTGCAAGCTTTTTTTATTAACAAAAATCTATACTTTAATTTTCTAAAGGCACAATTGGACATGTAGCTCACGGCAAATCTACTCTTGTCAAAGCAATTTCTGGTGTTCACACGGTTAAATTTAAGAATGAATTGGAGAGAAATATTACAATTAAACTTGGATATGCTAATGCAAAAATATATAGATGTTCTAATCCTGAATGTCCACGTCCACATTGCTACAGGTTTCTTTAAATGATTATTTTCTTAGAAAACTAAAAATCCAGGTCAGCAGGCTCAAGCACCCCTGATCGTTTCAAATGTGAACGGCCAAATTGTACGGGGGATTATGTTTGTGTTCGTCATGTTTCTTTTGTGGATTGCCCGGGGCACGATATTTTAATGGCTACGATGTTGAACGGGGCTGCTGTTATGGTTTGTTAAAAATTAAAATTAAATAGTGGATATACCTCCTAGGAATTGGAAATTTATAATCCTTTCGTAAAGTTATCTTTATAAGTTGTCCCCCCCATCTTGGTATGATGCCTTAATCAAAACCAGAAATAATAAAACTCCGAAATACCAACCCGAAAGCTGTCAAAATCACACACACAAAAGCCTTTCAAAATACCAAACTGATTATTTTGCATTTCGACGGCTTTTCCACAAGTTGGCATTTTGGAAGTTTTTGGGGGCTGTTATTTCGGCGTTGGTAGTTGAGGTTGTAGCCATTTCGGCGTTGGCTATGGCCTCAAATTTGGGCCAAAATCAGAGAAAATTTTTTGCAGGACGCAGCTCTTCTTCTAATTGCTGGAAACGAAACTTGTCCGCAACCCCAAAGCTGTGAACATTTGGCTGCTGTTGAAATTATGCAATTAAAAAATTTGATAATTTTGCAAAACAAAATTGATTTAATAAATGAAAATCAAGCAAATGATCAACATGAACAAATTAAATCTTTTGTTAATGGAACGTGTGCTGAATCGGCTCCAATTATTCCAATATCTGCACAGTTGAAATATAATATTGATGTTGGTTTTTTTTTAATTCTGAATTTTGGAACGGGGGTTTCTTTAGAAATTTTTTTAATTTCTGTCGGGCCACAGAGAACTGTTTTTGGGATTTAAATTTTGTTCGTATTCATACTTTTCTAGAGTAGGTCCTGCCTTTTTTTCTCGGTACCTCATGTGTTGAACAAGCTCCAATTATTCCAATATACAAGTATGAATGTTACGAACTTCTAAATACTGTTGAGAACAATTTTTCTTATAAGCAGAATTTATTTTTACGTGGCCTTTTTTCTACTCTACTTGCTTTTTAAAATTTATTTGAATTTTTCCCTTTGTATTTTCGAAGAATTTTCGTAAATTTTTTTCAAATTTAATGGGGAAATTAAACCTTGTAATAAATTTTAAAAAATATTTTCCAGGTTCTTTGTGAGTATCTTTGTAAAAAAGTTCCAATTCCTCTTCGTGATTTTACTTCAGAAGCTAGACTTATTGTTGTACGCTCTTTTGATGTAAATAAACCTGGTGCGGAAGTTGAACAGCTTAAAGGAGGTGTTGCTGGTGGTTCAATCCTTAAAGGTTAGAAAATTATTTTTAATTTTCACAGAATTTCTCGAAAATTTTTTTGAGAAATTTTCTGAAAAAATTTTTTATTAAAAAAAAGGTATTCTTCGTATTGGCCAAGAAATTGAGGTTCGTCCAGGAATTGTTAGTAAATTATCTGATGGAAAAGTTCAATGCCGTCCAATTTATTCAAAAATTGTTTCTTTATTTGCTGAACAAAATTTACTTCAATATGCAGTTCCTGGTGGTTTAATTGGCGTTGGAACACAAATAGATCCAACACTTTGTCGTGGTGATAGATTGGTTGGCCATGTGTTGGGGGCTGTGGGAACTTTGCCTGATATTTATACGGATATTGAGGTTTATTTTTGTTCATTATGTATAAGACAGGATCAACCCAAAAGGTCAACTCCAAGAATTAATAAGATGGATTTTTCGAGAGAGCAGGTGCGTTTTCAGGGGGCCGATTTTGGGAGAGGGGCAATATCGGATTGCGCGAAAAAATTGGTGTTTCCTTGGCGTTCCGGACGCAAGTTTTTGGGCTGATTAAGATGGATTTGTTGGGATTAAGGATCAGGGCCCGTAGAATAAATTCGGGGTAAGGGTTATTTAACCCCTACCCGAGGGTCAAATAACTCGCAACCCGCAGCATAAATTGCTACTCTGAGTTCAGGGTTAAACAACCCGGTAGTTTAACCCATAACCCCGAGTAGCTTTTCACATTGGTAGAATAAATTATTTACTCGGGTTAAATAACCCTCAGCTAAGGGTAAAATTGCTACACTGGTCGGGGGCAGTGTAACAGGGTAAAACGCGTCTCGATTGCTCTTTTCCAAAATATATTAAGTTTTCAAAATTTTGAAAAAAATTTTATATTCAAAAAATGAAAAAATATTTATGAAAAATTTTTTTTTGAAAATCTAGGTTTGGATCCGGGTCTAAAAATTCGGATTTTAGTCCGGATGAAAAGAAATTAAAATCCTGAAACCGGATCCGACATTTTCAAACTCTAATGATTTTACTTAAAGTTAAAGCTGTTTAATGGAAGTTCAATATAGAAATAAAATTAAAGAGTTACTCGCGAGTTACAGTAACCTCTAGTTTGGAGTAAAAATGCGAATTTATTCTACGGAATTTATTCTACCAATTTTACTCGGAACTCAGGGTTGTTTAACCCAGGGTTATTTTACCCGGTTATTCAACCGGTTATGTTACCCCGAATTTATTCTACGGGCCCAGAGGACAGAAATTCTTTTGTGTAACTGTCAGATAAGGCAAAAGGGAGCAGGCCAATGTTTGTTGATCTTGAATCCCATTTGCCCAAATATTTGAAGTTGGCCTCCATGTCAATTGACCACTAGTTTCTTTTCATTATAAGACAATAGTTTAAAAATTAAAATTAGGTTGCCTACTATTTGTTGCGTCGTTTACTTGGTGTTCGTACTGAAGTAGGCAAAAAAGCTGCAAAGGTAGCAAAATTGTCAAAAGGTGAAGTACTTATGGTAAACATTGGGTCTCTTTCAACGGGTGGACGTGTGACTGCTGTAAAAGGTTTGCAAGTTTTTTTAATAAAATTTGGGGAGGTTGGCCATAATACCAAAACGCTAAAATACCAAACCTTCAAAAGTCGGTAAAACTTCGAGGAAAGTTGTTTAATTAACGGGGGCAAGGGCGTAGCCAGGGGTTCAATTTCAAGGGGGGCTAAAATTGGGTGTGCCCTCAAAAAGCCCCCCCCCCCTCTGGCACCGCCCTTGAACAGGGGATGTTGAGACCAATTTGGTATTTATTTGGTAACACGACACTTTTCCCTAGTTTGTTGTTCAGCGGATTTTGTGAGTTGGTATTCCGCTATAAAAAATCGATATTTTCATTTTCCACTCTATTTTTTAAGGAGAAGCAGCAAAAATATCTTTAACTGATCCAATATGTACTGAAATTAATCAAAATATTGCTTTGAGTAGACGTATTGATAAACATTGGCGTTTAATTGGATGGGGAACTATTAGAAGAGGAACTAAAATTCCAATCTAAATAAGCATAAAAAATTATTTTAATTATATTTTCTCGTTTTGTGGTTAATTTAGTGTGTTATTTTTAAATAAAATGTTAAAAAATTTTTCAAAAAAATTTTTTAGAGGTTAAAATTCCTTTAAATATTTAATTTATTTTTTTAATCCTTTTTAGTTTTTTACAGAATTTTATGCAAAAAAGTGTTGCCACAACAAACTTTCTTCATCCTAGAGTTGTGCATCATAGAAGAAATTTGGCAACTGCAAAGGCAGCTGTCGATCAAATTCTTCGAGCTAATGAAAGGACAATTATATTTTCTGGTGATGAACAACAGGCGATTGGTAAATAGGTTTTTTTGTTATTATCGTTAGTTGGGGGAGCGGGGAGTTGAGTTTATGTGGGGGTTTTTAATTCCTGCATGTTACTATCAAGAAATTGGAAGTTTTCTTCCTATACATATTTTCGAGGGGATTTGCGGACTTTCTTTTTTAGTCCGCAAAGTTTACCTTATGTTTTTAATGTCAATTTTTGTTTCCAATTCTGATTTATATTTTAGACTCATTTTTCTTGAGATTTTATATTTAAAGCTCGAGTGGATGTCGGCCAGGTTTCCGCGAACAAGCCAATAGAGGTTTGTTTTATTCTTAGTCATTAAATCAGCTTCAATTTTCAGGATTTCTACTCCGCTTCAAAATGCTTAAACTCGAATGCCTTTCTTCTTGGAGTTTTTGATGGACATGGAGGAGCGGTTTGAATTTTCAATTTTTTTATTTATCTAATTTTTATTTAGACCTGTGCTAGGCATGTTTGTACACGGCTTTATGACTATATTTGCTGTTCGGTTCTTGATAAACATCGGTTGGTTAGGAGGAAAAACTGATTTTAAAAACGTTTTTTAGTGTTGTTCACATGCCAATAGGAGAACAATTGCAATGGCTTTTTGGAAGCGCTACTCCGTCCCTCCCTGCTGATATTGACCAAGTACATCAGCTAAATATAAGAGAATATTTTAAAAGGTTTTTTTATTGTTTTGGGGTTGGAGGAAATTTTTAAAAATTTTTTAGGATTAAAAAGAAAAGCAATTGTCCACTTACGACAGTTCGAGATACTCTCCAAACTTCCTTTTCAGTTTTGGATGAGGACTTGGCAAAAAGTGCAATGCCTGACCAAAATGGATTGGTTTGCAGGTTTCTTCGAATTTTTTATAAAAAATTTTTTTTAAAAATATTTATTATTAAAATTTAGAATGTCTGTAAATGCGGCTGTTAGCGGATCATGTTTATATTTTTCTTTTTCAATATTTTATAAATTTTAGGTGCTCTTGTGTCACATATTCGGAGAAATAATTTGTATATTTTAAATTTAAATCCGGCAGAATTTTTTCTTAATTTAAAGACATGTCGCATCCTGTGGAGATTCTGCAGCTGTTCTTGGTGTTCATTTGGCAAATGATGTAATTGCACGACAATTGACAAGGCCACATACTGTTGAAAATTTGGATGAGATTGCTAGGTTATTTTTCAATTTTTGGATAACCTGGAAGTCTTCCTTAACTTTTAATAACTTTGTGAATCTAGACAATTCTTCTCTTGTCTGGGAAAAGGATTGTCTAGATTCTCTCTTCTCCCTTTAACAATAAGTTGTTGGGGCTCCACTCTAATTTAATTGGATCCTTTTTCAAGTCCATTAAAGGAAGCAAAGATAGGTAATCCGTTATAAGAGGGGTAATTCATCGTAAGGGGAGTAGTCCTTAACGGAGATAATCCGTCTAAAGAGTAATCTGTCATCTAAGGGCTACTCGGCACACTTATCTTTAAATTTGTAAAACTCATAGTTTCTCTTTTTTAGGATTCGTTCTGCACATCCCCCTTCAGAAAATCGAACAATACTTAAAGCCAATCGTTTACTTGGAGAACTTTATCCTCTTAGAGCATTTGGCGATGTTCGATTTAAATGGCCAAAAGAATTACAAAGTATTTAAATTTTTTATTTTTGGTTTAAAAAAATTTTTTAGAAGTTGTACTTGACCCCCTTGGAATGCCTGCACCTCAACATTTGTTAACACCTCCATATTTGACTTGCCTGTTAATTTTTTAAATTTTTTTTAAATTTTCTAATTTTTTTAAATTTTTAGCCCAGAAGTGTTTTATCATCAATTAACATCCAATGACCGTTTTTTGGTAAAAAAATTTTTTATGATAAAAATTTTAATTTATTTTTTAGGTGCTAGCAACAGATGGTAAAGCAAGAAGATTAATTTTTACGCTAGAAAAAATTTTTTTGAGGTCTTTGGGAATTCTTAGATTCAGATGCAGTTGTTAGATTAGTAGAAGATCATATGACAGGACATTCAACACTTAATGTATTTAGACCAGAGCATAAACAACCACTTGGAGATGTAAATATAGAGTTTAATTTTAAAATTAAAAATTTTTTTTAATCTTGGTGGGACCTTTACTATAAGAGACATCCAATAATAGAGTGAACCTCAATTTAAGAAAAATACTTTTTTAGGCTTTGGTACCCATTGGGTGGAAGAATAGCCTAAGCGATACAGGGACGAGTCGGAAAGTCGGGTTTCGGGTTTTCAAAATTTTTTTTCGGGTCGGTCCAGGTCTCGGGTCGGGTTTCGGGTAACCCGTCCCATCCCCGAACTTATACCCGTGATGACACGGTTTGTTCCGAGACCCAAACTTTTTTCGACCCAAAACTCGATCCGAAAAAATTTTGGAAACCCGTCCAGTATTTTTCTTAACCCGTGACAACTCTCTAAATACATTTTTTAAGTCCCAAGGATGTATTTTATTTGAGGTTTAACTGTCTTTAATTTTAAAATATTTTTTTCAAAATAAACAATTTTTCTTTTTCAGATTCTTAACAATTTGGAAAAAAGACAGTCTGCTGACAACAAAAAACCTTTAGACGAAAATTGTGCCACTCATTTAATTAGAAATGCATTGGGTGGTGTTTCTGGGGATGTAGAATTGCAATATGCGAGATTAGAGGTTTATTTGAATTTAAAAAATTTTTTAAAAATTTCTAAAAAAAGGAAATGTTAATGTTACCCCCTGGAATGGCTAGACACTACAGGGATGACATAACGGTAAAAAAAAAATTTTTTTTGAAAATTTTCAAAAAATTTTTTTTTAATATTAAAAAGGTTGTTGTAATCCAATTTAATGAAAAATATTTATTAGAAGACCACGAAGATGATGGTGGTCATTTTTGACTTTCTCACTCTCAGACTTGTAGCCATAGATTTAAAAAACTGCTTTTATTTTTTTAAATTAGTTTTTTCAGCTTTAGAAAGCTTTAATTATTTTTAAGAGAATAAGGCTTTAAATTAATTTTGGTAAGGGAGGGAGTCTGTAAAAAAAAAGTCCGCAATTTTCTGTAAAAATCCGCAAAAAAATGTCCGCAATTTTCTTAAAAATCCGCAAAAAGAATCCGCAATTTCTTTAAAAATCCGCAATTTTTTTGTAAAAATCCGCAAAAAACGTCCGCAATTTTCTGTAAAAATCCGCAAAAAAGTCCATTTTTCTATAATAATCCGCAAAAAAAGTCCGCATTTTTACTTAAAAAAATTTTTAAAAATTTTATTTTTAGCCTTATTTTCTTTAGGTAAAAAGGACTTTTTATTTTTTGTTTTACGGGCCAAAAAATATATATTTTACAAAATATAACTCAAAATATTTTTTTATTATTTTTGTAATTTTATTGTATTAAAAATGCCCTTATAATATTTTTTAAAAATTCAAATTATATTTTTATTTAAATCTTCTTTTAGAGGTCCATAAAATTCCTTTCCTAATAAATTACAAATAATAGGAAGTCGATCACTGCCCCAAAATGAGAAAATCTAGAAAAAGAAAAATTTAAAAAAAAATTTTCTAATCTTTCGAGTAACCAAGGTCCATCTCATGTAGTCTCACCGTTTAATTGGGTACCTAACTTGGACTCGTCTAGGGTACTCTTTTTATTGTTAATTTCTTTCTAATAGCCAACGCTAGAGTTGGGGTTTTCGAGTCGGGCCGACGTTTGAGTCATTTTTATCGGGTTGGCCCGACCGAGTCTTTTTCGGGCCAAAATTTGATGTCCGACTCGATCTTTCGGAAATCCCAACCCTAACCCCACGCCTAAAACTATCCGAGGTGACCAAAGTTTAGTTGGCTCTCCAATCAGTTGACTAACAACTTGAAAATGCCGGGAAACCAAAACAACCTTACTAAAAATTTAAATTAAAAAACCTCTTCATTTCCAGATATATTCCTTTTAAGTGTTATCCATGGTAGTCCAAAAGCCCCTAATTTAAGCACTTCGTTTGTTATCTCCTTGAGCAAATTACTTGCATCTGTTGATTGAGTTGCTTCTAATAAATTTTTTTCTTCAGGGATGTTTAACTTTTTACAAATCTGAAAAAAAATTTTTGGTGTCACGGGTCATTCGAACTCGATAAATGAAATCCGGACTTTCTCACGACGCGAAACCAGGCTTCTCTCTTAATCCCCCCCCCCCTTAATCCTCCCCCTAACTGTCACAGCTTTTTCTCAACCCGTAACATCCCTGATCTTAAGTTCCCCCCTTGGCCCCCCCTCCTGAAAAAATCCTGGTTACGGGTTTGTCAAAAACTTAATAATCTATATTTAACCTCTATAATCGTGTCAATTCCATAAAAAGCCTCGTGCCGACTCCATGCCATCATCCAATATTCGCGCGATGCATCTATTAAATATTCTGGAGCATTTAATTTAACGGCTGTTAAAAATCGTGGCGGATTTAATGTTGAATTATTCATAAATTCTTCTTTGAAGTCCTAAAAATTATGAAAATTTTAGATAATTAAAAAAATAAAAAAAAAACTTTGGAGGGTTGAAGAGGAATTCCCCAATAAGCTCCAACCAACATTAAATCTTTTTGAGAGTAGTTAGCTTTTTGAGGCATTTGCATAGCATTTGGAATATTTTCTATAAATTTTTAATTAAATTTTTGATTAAAAATTAATTTTTTAATAATTTAAAAATTATTTTCCACTAGTAGGATTCGAACCTTGGACCCCTTAGTGCACAAAACAGAACACTATCCAACTACACCAAACGAAAAATTTTTTTAATTTCTATTTAAAAACCCAACTGTGGCTTTAAAAATTAATTTTTAAATAATTTAAAAATTATTTTCCACGAGTGGATTCGAACCTTGGACCTCCTAAACCGAACACTATCCAACTACACCACCGAATTTTTTTTTTAAATTTTTATTAAAAACCTACTAATAGCTTTAAAAATATGCCCAATCGAGACCGGCAATAATTCAAGTTGAATATTCAATATTTTTTCATAGCGAAGTAAACTCTAGAAGTTAAAAATTTTTTAAAAAATTTTTTAAAAAACCTCAAAAGCAACCCAAGAATAGGGAGAGCCAATATCATAATATAATTTTAATAGAGGCTTTTGTATTGAAGCCATTTTTTGGTTTAATTTTTCACAATCTGATTCTTCCACAATAAAATCAATCAAAAAATCGGCTGTAAAAATAAAGGAGAAAATTGATTTTGAAGGGCAGAAGATCACCTCCTTAAAGGACAACATCATTTTAACGGTGATCTTTAGGGTGAGGCTTGTTATAAATTCAATTTCAATAATTGCTAGACTCTAATGGTCGTTGATATTTTATTTTGGCTGTCTTTGATTTTGCACATTTTTTCGTTCCAAACAGGACACATTTCACTTTAGTGTATTGATAAAATTAATTTGGTAAAATTAATTGACAAACACAAGTGCAGAAAAAGTGCATAAAAAAGAGACATTTAAAAAAATTTTTCTTATCTAAATAAATTATCAAAAAGTTACTTTAAAATGTGAGTGTTATTAAGATTAGCATACAAAATTTATGTGATGTTTCCCTTGTTTTTGATTTCCAAATTTCAAGGGAAATGAGGAAAATTAGCATTCACATATTCAGACTCTAGTGGGGACACTGATAAAAATAAAGGAAGCAAAATTGGACAAAAGGGTACATTAGAGTCCGAAGAAATCTAGGAAAAAATTTTGATTTTTCCTTTCCTAAAGAGCAGAGGTGGGTCGAAATTCCTATTCCGAGTTCCGATTTCCGACGTTTTTTCCTTCCGATTTCCGAAAAAAAAGTTTGATTTCCAATTTCCAAGTTCCGACTCTTTAGCCAGTTCCGATTTCCGTCTCTTCCTATTTCTGACACCTCTGACTGTTCCGACCCACCTCTGCTAAAGCGCAACACCCTAGAGGTACTCTTTTGTCCCTATGAGTAACAGACTCTAATAGCTCTTTGTTAGACTCAAGTGTCTTTTTTCAAAAAAGTTTTTAGTTGATCTTTTGGGGTGTCTTGTATTTTACAATGGGAAATTTTTGTAGTCAAAAATTTGTTTTATGTGCTCCCCATTTAGAAAAATTTTTTTGAAGTTGCGTTTGTTTGTGTACATTTTCTAAAAAAGTATTTTATTTCTTCAGTAAAAGTGCAGTCCCAGACGTGTTTACGTTATACAAATATATTTATAATCTATTGACTTTTGGCAAAACAAGGAAGGGAAAATTTAAAAGTGAAGAGACTGGGTGGGGGTTTTTAAATAAAAAGTTTTTTGGGAAATTTTTTCATTTTTATTTTTAGTTCAGTTCTTTTAAGTTTTTTGAATTTTCCAAGGTCGTACGGAGTGTGTTTTGGTGTTAGAAGCAAACACCCTGGAGATCGACGAACACCTTATAGTCATTAAGTGTCCAGACTCTAATAGCCTTTTCAATGTCTCCAAGGGGATGTCACGGCGAATTCGATACACGAAATCCGAACTCGGACAATTTTTAAAATAATTTAAAAATTATTTTCCACTAGTAGGATTCGAACCTTGGACCTCTTAAACCGAACACTATCCAACTACACCAATCGAAAAAATTTTTTTACATTTTTATTTTAAAAACTTCGAGACTGGAACTCGGACAATTTTCAATTCGAAATCCAATCCGAGAAATTTTTCGAAAATTCGAAACCCAAAAGATTTTCGTTTACCCTGACATCCCTAATCTCCCATTAGAGTCTGAAGATTAGTCGCTTTAAGTTGATCTAAGCAAGTTGATCTATTAGGTTATCCTCCAAAAAAGTTCTTTTTATTTTCTTGTCCTCCAAGACCTCAAAAATTGAATGAACCAACCGAACTAATAAACCAAACTCATGACACTTTTTCTGCAAATTTTTGTGTTTTGTTCGACTACAAAAATTTTGTTGGCAGAAAACTTTTATGTCACACGCAAATTGTGTTCTTTGTTTCTTTTCCTCACTCCCCAGCTTTATGGCTATTTATATAAAAAATCCCTTTTTATGGTCCAAATTAGTTAAAAAATCATATGATTCACATGTTAAAAACGTGAAAAAATTTTTTTTTGGAAGAGAAGGGGGAGGGGGGAGTTCCATATAATAGCAGTCAGGAGACAAGAGGATGATGAAAAAAGGGGAAAAAAAGAAAAGAAAAAGACGGTCACCACATTTTGCCAATTCCACATTTTGCCAATAAAGCTAAAAACACGCATTTTGTCAATAGTCTTATTGGCAAAACGTCACTTTTTACCCTTATTGGCAAAATGTCGTATAGGCAAAATGTGTAGGAGCCGGAAAAGAAAAGGTAAGAAAATAATAGAGAGACCGGTCTTGCGTCTAACTACCTTCTTTCTTTTTTTTCTTTTATTTTTTTTATTCAATCGAAATTTTCTTTTACTATCAATAATTATTGTGAAGACTTTGGCCTTTTAAAAAATTATTTTTTAATTTTATAATGATCATTTTTTGATATTTTTTAGTACAATTTTTAAAAGGAAGTAGAATTACAGGAAAAATTCCCTGTTGATTTTTATAAGGGTGATCTTCTGGGGAGTCTTCTAAAGTTTACTTTTTGGGACTTTGGATGGTCTATCTCGGCCAGATCAAAAAAGGGGCAAAAACGGCACAAAATCCTTGCTAGAAAGGGCAACTTCTCTACCGAATGAGCCCGGTCTCGGCCGTTTTTAGGTCGGACACCTCGCAACCTTTTTTTTGTTAGTCTCCCTGTTAAGCAAGTTTTAAGCAAGTTAAGCAAGTGTATAAGCATATAAGCAAGTTTGGGTGGTCTCAAGTCTTTTGGGTTGTCCCCTAAAATTTTTTAAACAAATTTATTTTCAATGTGAGACTCAAACTGCCCCCTTTTAATTAATTTTACAAAATTTTAACTAGAGGTTGGCGCAGGACGGGATCCCTCGCGGGATTTTGCGGAATCCCGTCCCTCAATCCCGCACTTTTTTCGATTTGTGGGGTTTTGCAGTGATTATTCCCGCGGGATCCCGTCCCGCAAACATTTTAAAAAAATCCCGCAAACACGATTTCGTCGACCTCTAATTCTAACTTTCCCTGTTGATTTTTATAAGGGTGATCTTCTGGGTTTTCCAAACTGCCCTTTGTTTAATTAAACTTGACCCAAAAAAGAATAATCTTGAGACTCTAACAGCCTATTGATTTTATAATTGTTTATTTTTTACTTTCTTTTTAATCTTGTTATTGATAGTAAATATTTGTTTATTTTTTTTTAATGGGACTAAGGCGCAAGGCGCAGATATCTTCTCTTTAAAGCTTGTCGAGAATGGTACCATTCACGGGAAAAAATTAAAAAAATTTTTTTTCGAAAGGGGAAGAGGTATGCGCCTTGGTACCGTGCCCGCGTTTTTGCTTGTTTTTTTTTCTAAAAAAATTTTTTTCTTCTCTAATTTCCCCTTATTTTAAAGGTCAATTTATGAATGCTAGAACAAATCAACTCCAATTGACCGCAGAATATCGGCAAATAAAGGATGCCGTTTCAGTGGCATTTCATTCAATTATGGTACATCGGGTACTTGGAAAGGTTTTTCTTTTTTGTTTAATTTTCTTTCAATTTTTTCGTCTTTTTTAGTTTAAATTTTCTTCTGACAGCGATTATAGCCTTGGCTCTCTTGGGCATGAAGAAGTGCCGTGCAATCATGTCGATCTCACTTATGTAAATTTTGATTTTCTTTTTTATTATGGGGGTGTGTAAAAGGTTAACAACGTTATTAAATATTTTGGGGTTTGGTCCCTGAAATTTTAAAGTTATAGAGGTCTGGAGACTACTTCGAAGTCCTTATTTTCACCCCTGCTTATTCATTTAATTATATAGAGCTTTTTTTATGAAAATTAGCAAAGGAGAGTGGTGGTGTAGTGGTAAACTTCCTGACTACACCGGTCATTGGGGTAGGTTCGAATCCAGAGTGGTCAAACTTTTTATTTTTCTTTGTTTCTAATTTCCCTTTTTAAATTGAACATTCTAGGTTTCCAGTTTTAACTTTTATAATTTTTTGCAGACATTTTTTGGACAGTTTTTAATTTTTAAAAATATCTGCAAGGGAAGCACCTCCCATATTAAAGTGATGTTCTTCTCTTTCCACCACTTCAGGGAGATTTTATAAAGGCTAAAATTTAAAATATTTTTTTCAGATACGAGTCAACAGTCCCGAATTTATCGATGACTTTAATGAAAAGGTTTTTTTGGTATTTTTTTAATTAAATTAATTTTCCCCTGTAAGGTGGACTTATTTGTCGAGGCGGTAACCAAATCATTGAAGGACGGGTATTTTTTAAGTGGAAGTGGAAATCATTTAATATCGCCTTCGTCTGCTCGTGAAGGAGGGAGAATTTATGGAATTGGTTTTTTTTTATTTTTTAGAGTTTAGTCAAAAAAATTTTTTTAAAAGATTGCTGGGAGGATCTGATATCAACACAAATTAAACTTGAATTTTACCAGCGTCGGAAACGACAGTGGCCAATTCCAGAAGATACTGCTCCGTGGGAAGGTTTTCTTTTTTTGTTTTTATAATTTTGTAAAAGAGTCTGGAATAGAAGAGCTGTGTCGTCGGGTTACCCGAATCGCTGTCTTTTTCGACTGGGCCCACAGGCCAATTCCTGGGATGGCAGTCAGTAGATCACACTCCACAGAACTACTTTGGGGTGGAAGTCGGGAGATCTCCAAGAAACCCTTTTGATTAATCACTAGATCCCGTATTTGTTGGTTCATTCCCCTTCCTTCCCTCCCCCAGTAAAATTCCAAAAAACTAGTTCTTGAGAATTTGGTTGACTGTTTAACCTGATTGTATGGGGGAATAGGTGAATTTTTCTTTTGTAATTTTTGTCTAATCCGCAAATGTCTGTCCGCAAATTTGGGCAGTCCAATAATTTCATAAAATTCTTTTAATTTTCTTTAAATTTTAGTTTGGGAATTACATCTAAATCTTGTTCGTACATTAAATAACGGTTTGCTTTAAAATTTTGTTTTGTAATTAGTTTTTATTTTTTCAGAAGATTTTTTTCGAATGCGAGAATATGTGGCTGAACAACTTTCTGATAAAGTTTTGACAATTTGTGAGCTTATGAATAAACCGCAATATTTGCCAAAAATTCCAACACGACTGGAGATTACTTCCGTTTTTGATATTCGATTTCCAAATTGTGACCCTTATTTGTGGCGATTGGATTCGGAACATGGTTTTTTCTTTTTTATTTTTATTAGTTGAACATTTTAAGTGAGAAATTCTTAAGGAAGATTCGGGTCTGTTTTAAAAATTTAATTTGGTCGGGTCAAATGATATTTCAAGAAATCAAGGGATTCTTAAATGGGAGGAAATTAAGTTGTTTAAATTAATATTAGGGTTGCACGAGGTCGAGGTTTTTCGAAAAAACCGAAGCCAATGACCGATCGAACCGAGACCGTGATTGGAAAATGGGCGAGTACCTCGGCCTCGGTGAGTCCTCGAATTCGCGCAACCCTAATTAATACTTCGATTCTATATGAAGCACGAATGCCACGGGTTGGGAAAAGGTCGGGTTTCTGGTCGAAATTAAGTCCAAGGTTTTCAGATAATTTTTGATATTCTTGAATTGTCCTAGATTTTCATTAATTATAGACCAAATTATTTTTTTTCTGAAAAATTTTTTAGGTTAATATTTTAGTCTTTTTAAAAATATAATTTATTTTCTAGGTCTCCGTTCAACAGAAAATATCTCTTCAGGCACAAGTTTTGTGAAGAAATTGTTCAGGGATGGACTTGCTTTCAATATACAATAAATATAAAATAGTTTTTTTAATAATTTAAAAATAAGGGGGAGAAAAAAATTTAAAAAATTTTTGCGGCCAAAACAAAATTTAAAAAAGGTCTTGCTTAAAAAACACAAGCCTTTTAAAAGGGAAACCTTTTTCTTTAAAATCACTGCCATTATAAAAGCCAGAGCACAAAAAAAACAACCACGCACTTAACAAAAACCCCAAATTTTTTGGCTTATATTTTTGATAGGCCTAGGGAGTATTTTCTTTTTTGTGTTAAAAATTGAATTTTATTTATGTAAAAATTGGTGACTTGAAAAAAAAATTTTTCTTTGTTGGGAAGTCTTTTGGACTTGAATAAAAAAAAGTTTCTTTAGCGGTTGAAGTCCAAGTTATTTCCACGGGTCTTGGATGGTTAGTAAAGCCGGCACTCATTCCCCCTCACCTTTGCCTAGGTTTTTCCTTAACGTAGAAAATGGTCAGTTATTACCTGAACAATTTTAAAAATCTCCCTTTTTATCGTCTTGAGCGTTATGAGCCGCGGACTTGAGGGGGGAGGGGTGGGGGTGGGAGGGAAGAGAATAAGTACCCTAAAATTTTAGAAATATTTTTCTGTTAGCAGTCCTAAACAAAAAATGAGATTTTTTTCGAGACTAGTCTCCAAAAATACTTATCTGAAGATTTCTTCAAGATTCAGAAAAAATTTTTTTCCAAGTCATCAAAAATTTTTTTTCAATTAAAAAAAAATGCCACTTCTCTCTACCTACTTGTATGATTCTAAAACTCTCTCAAAATTTATGTTCATGTATTTTTCTCTCAAAAATCGATCAAAAAATGTTCTCATATAAACACCTCAAATTTTAGCAACCTTTTAAAATTTCTTCAAAAATTAGGGTTGCGTTATGTACATTTATTATTTTATTTTTTTTTACAATGTTAGACACACTCGTCTTCGCGTAGTTTAATTTTTCTTTTGTTTATTTTATATACTTTCAATTTTAAATAAAAATAAATTTTTTTGTGTAATTTTTTAAAAATGTTGTGTACTTTCCGTTTTTAATGACGGTCAATATTTATTAAAAATTTTGAAAATTTTTTTAATTTTTTTTTCAAATAAAGGAACAATTTTTTGATTTTAAAAGATGGAACGCAAAATATGATTTGGATTTGGCTTCAATGGAAGAAGCCTGGAGAAAGCCAAGCATTGGAAAAAGCCTGGAGCTGATATTAACGATTATGTAAATTATGGATTTATTGAAGGTTTTTTTTTGAAAATTTTTTGGGGGAATTTTGAACTTTAAGGGTTCCTTTTCCGTTCAGTTGCCATCCCTTTTAACTAGGGTTACCGCTGTCGAACCGGGCCAACGTTCGAGTCGTTTTATCGAGCTTCATTTTTATCGAACCGGTCCGTTCGAGGAAAATTTTCACTTATAGCGGGTTTTTAATGCGTGGACGGATGTGGACGTATGAGGTGTCATTCGACTCAGCTCGACGAGCTGAGTCGAACTAGGGGTGGGAGAAGTTTGTCCGGTACCTAGGGACCGAGATATCGGGGCTCAAAATGGTCAAAAATCGTAAGCGGCATAATAAATATGCAAATGATAGCTTATTCGAAAGAGCTCGACGAGCTGAGTCGAATGACACCAAAATCATCGTAATTATACAAGTCTAGACAGAGTTACGATAGAAAAACAAAAACCTAAACCTATGGGGCGTCGGCGAGGCGCTTGTGCAAAACCCCGCGCTTCGCGCGGGGTTTTGCGACACGCGCCTCGCGGGGAGTCAACGGTCGCTGGGTCTGGGTCAGTAACATAAACCTATTCCTATCTCCCTTGCTCTGGAAGTACTTGGGGCCTCCGTCAGCAAAAAACTCCATGTCGAGCATAGGTAAGGAGCTTAAACAAATGCTCATAACTTTGTCAAATCAAGTCGAATTTCGTTGATTTTGGTGTCATTCGACTCAGCTCGATGAGCTCTTTCGAATGAGCTATTATTTGGATATTCGAATTTTTCAACCCAAAATGAGCTTACTCCCCCCTTCTCTTTTTGAATTTTCTGAAGTCTGTAACTCGGTACCTAGGTACCGGACAAACTTCTCCCACCCATAGTTCGACTCAGCTCGTCGAGCTGAGTCGAATGACACCTCATACGTCCATATCCATCCACGCATTAAAAACCCGCTATAAGTGAAGAGTACCCGTTCGAGTTTTGGCCGGTCCGTCCGAGTCTTCCGTGTCAAAATTCGATGCCCGGGTCGATCTATCGAACCGGATCTCCATAGATTTTCCGAGAACTGACAATAGTCAGTTGTCATCCCTTCTAACAATTAAATCAATTAAGAGGGGTTAGGTATTTTATTAATATCTACATAACTCTGATTACATAGTTTTATCCACTCATTTATAGATCTTACATGAAAGATGTCAGAACCAGTCATCCATCATCTAACAAACTTGGAAAGAAACCAAAATGGTATTTTATGGACGATGAGCTTTCTTGGCTTCCATCTGGAATGTCTATGGATTCTGCTACTGAACTTGAATATAGAAGAGAAGCTGCAGAGTTTATTCAGGTTTTTCTGTTTGTTCGGTCGAGATATTTGTTCGGTTTTCAGGTTTTGGGGTTCCCTCTTTGGGGTTCTTTGGGTGAGTGATTTCTTTGTGTGAGGTATCTCGTCGGTCAGCGCCTGTGAGAATCTTGTAGGTCAGTGCCGTTGAGTTTTCTCGATGGTCAGTGCCTGTGAGTTTCTCGTAGGTCAGTGCCGGTGAGATATCTCATCGGTCAGTGCCTGTGAGTATCTTGTAGGTCAGTGCCGTTGAGTTTTCTCGATGGTCAGTGCCTGTGAGTTTCTCGTAGGTCAGTGCCGTGGAGTTTTGTTCCCTACCCTCTGGGATTTTCCGTTAATTTTAGCATTAAACCAGGAACCGACGATCAAAGGATACCAAAGATCAAAAGAATGGTTTGTTTTTATTTTTAAGTAAAAGTCTCTGATTACATAAAATCATTCCAAATCTTACATGAAAGATGTCAGAACCAGTTTCATCATCTAGCAAACTTGGAAAGAAACCAAAATGGTGTTTTGTGGACGATGAGCTTTCTCAGCTTCCATCTAGAATGCCTATGGATTCAGCTACTGAATTTAAGAAGAGAAGCTGCAGAGTTTATTCAGGTTTATCTTTTTTTATGGTCGAGATAGGATTTTGGTTTTTAGTAAATGACTGACGTTTGATCACGTGTTATTAAATATTTGTGGGGATAAGATCGATTTTCCAAGAAAAATATTTTACCCTTAACGGGTTCGAACCTTCCCCTTTTTTTAAGTTATCCCACTTAACCAAATGCAGTAAATTTTTTATATTCGATTTTTCGTGTAAACTTTCAACTAGTGGACTGGTACAAAAGAAATCCTAATTTTTTGAAAACTTTTAGGAAGGAAAGGGGGGAGCTATTTTTATTTCCTTTTTAGTTTCTCTTGTCCTCATAACAATCTAATCAAAAGGGTCTATATTTGGATATCTAATTAAACTAAAAATAGGTACTAATTGTATGTGCAGGGAAAATTAATTAGTTTTATTGTTCTCAGAAAGATTTAGAAATCAGAAAATCTCAGAAAAATTACATAAAATCATTTCCTAATTTTTAGATCGTACTTGAAAGATGGCAGAACCAATTCCGTCATATAGCAAACTTGGAAAGAAACCAAAATGGTGTTTTGTGGACGTTGAGCGTTGACCTCATGCTTCATGGTTGATTTGGATGTGGAGGGTTTTTTTACTTTAAAGAGATTTCTAATTGGGGGGGGGGGTGTAAACTTTGCGGCAAAACTTGCGGTTTTTTAGACAATAGCAGTTTTTATTATTTTTTCATTTAGCACAATAAACATCAGGCTGCTGCAACAGATGGCACCAAATTTCAAATCTTCAAAGTCAACAAACTTCAATGTCAACAAACTTCAAACATGCATCATTTGGAAGTTCTGTTCCTCGGCAAGGCTGTGCGGCAAAATTTTCATGTGGCGCTTTTTTGTGCTTTTACGATGTTGCTTTTACGATCAAAATTCATCCTTAACGCCGAAAGTAAAATTTATTTAAATTTCTTAAGACCAAGTGTAAGAAATTCTCCTTTGTATCAAAAATTCTTGAGAAATGGGAAAATCGGAGTGGGGTTTAAGTAGGTTGCAGGGTTCTTTGTCTCGATATCCATTAAATCGGCCTATTCCTTCAAATCCAATTAGTCCTCCGTTATCTTCAAATCCATTGATATCCGTGATATCCTTCTACTGATATCACTCTTAAGATCACTCGATACCTTTCCTACTGAGACAAAAAGGAAGCTATTGCCAGAAAATATCATTTTATGGGGTGCATACCTCGAAACATTTTAGGGCCGGGGTCGGTTTTTCGGGAGGGGGTTGTATCGGGAAAGATTGAAAAAATCGTTTGTCAACGGGATCGGGGTACAACATAAGTTTGAAGAGAAAAAACAGTTAAGGAACATATTAGAGGACTTTAAAAGATTAAGGGCATTTGAGGATATCGGGTGATTAAAGAAAAGAGCAGATGAATTTGACATATATCGGGAAGATCAGCTGAATTAAAAGATATCATGACTCCGAAATAATATAATTTGGGTTCCAGTTCGTAGCCGAGGCATGATATTGATATTTTTAAATTTAGGAAGGCAGGCAGAAAAATTCCCTTTTATGATCATCCCTCCTCCCATATATTTAAAAAATTCCATCATTGGGGTGTAAAATTTTGTATTTTTTGCGTGCCAAAAGATGAAAATCATGCAAACGCACGCCAAAACGCAATGGTGCACATTCGTTTTTCTCACTGTTAACTCCGCAGTTTCTCAAAGTAGGGTTGGCTCCTCTTAATGCGGAGTTGGCTATGCGGAGAGTTTCTCAAAGTAGGGTTGGCTCTTCTTAATGCGGAGTTGGCTATGCGGAGAGTTTCTCAAAGTAGGGTTGGCTCTTCTTAATGCGGAGTTGGCTATGCGGAGAGTTTCTCAAAGTAGGGTTGGCTCTTCTTAATGCGGAGTTGGCTATGCGGAGAGTTTCTCAAAGTAGGGTTGGCTCTTCTTAATGCGGAGTTGGCTATGCGGAGAGTTTCTCAAAGTAGGGTTGGCTCTTCTTAATGCGGAGTTGGCTATGCGGAGAGTTTCTCAAAGTAGGGTTGGCTCCTCTTAATGCGGAGTTGGCTATGCGGAGAGTTTCTCAATGTAGGGTTGGCTCCTCTTAATGCGGAGTTGGCTATGCGGAGAGTTTCTCAATGTAGGGTTGGTAGTGAGAAAAACGAATGTGCACCATTGCGTTTTGGCGTGCGTTTGCATGATTTTCATCTTTTGGCACGCAAAAAATACAAAATTTTACACCCCAATGATGGAATTTTTTAAATATATGGGAGGAGGGATGATCATAAAAGGGAATTTTTCTGTCTGCCTTCCTAAATTAAAAAATATCAATATCATGCCTCGGCTACGAACTGGAACCCAAATTATATTATTTCGGAGTCATGATCTTTAATTCAGCTGATCTTCCCGATATATGTCAAATTCATCTGCTCTTTTCTTTAATCACCCGATATCTTTCAAATGCTCTTAATCTTTTCAAGTCCGTCCCCTAATATGCTCCTTAACTGTTTTTTCTCTTCAAACTAGTGTTGTACCCCGATCCCGTTGACAAACGATTTTTTCAGTTTTTCCCGATACAATCCCCGCCCGAAAACCGTCTATCGGTCCTAAAATGTTTCGCGGTATACACCCCATAAAATAACATTTTCTCGCAATAGCTTCTCTTTTGTTTCAGTAGGAAAGGTATCGAGTGATCTTAAGAGTGATATTGGTAGAAGGATATCACGGATATCAAGTGATTTGTCAGATAGCGGAAGATTAATTGGATTTGAAGGAACTAGGCCGATTTATTGGAAAACTTTGTACCCGGCATGCTGCATTAACACTAGCATCACACGCACGACACACACGCACGCCACATGCACACACACACACACGCACTTACCCTACACTCCAAACGTTCATGTTACAACATACTTCACCCCACTCCGATTTTCTCATTTCTTTTGAATTCTTTGATATAAAGGGGGGGATTTCTGACCCTTGAACTTAATAAATTTGCAAAATTTTTGTTTTCGGCGCTAAATAAGGATGAATTTTGACCCCTGGGAATTGAAAATTTCGAAAATTTTGGCGCACAGCCATGACAGAGAGTAATAAAATTTCAGGACAGGACAGAGTAAAAAATTCAATCAACAGCAAAATCACAAATGCAAATAGAAGACTTGTTTACAACAAATAGTTTGTTTTTTTATTTTATAAACACCCGCAAGTTTTGTCCGCAAGTTTATCCAGAGTTAATTAGTTCGGTATCGAGATTTTTTGAAAAGCCTGGGCCTGTTCCTGGGTTCCGAGTTTGATTTGTTGACCTGGGCATGATTCTGGGCCTGTAGTCCAGGAAAAACGGCAGTTAAAAAAATGCCTGGACTCTGGGTACAGGAAAAACCCTAGACCGGTCCAGACCTAGGGGGGGGGGTCTTTAGTGACGAAGTTTTCCAGGCCTTGGTCCAGACCCAGTTCGATCTCTAGTGACGAAGTTTCTACTTCATGGCTGTGATGAGGTTTCTATTCCATACTGTGGAGGTTTTTTAGTTTTTATAAAATTTAGATTTATTTGTTTTTTAAATTCGTTTATATCGAAGGAATTTTTGAACATGGCAGCCGTTCTTGAATACGTAGCTGCTGAGGTTCTCGAAACTTAACAAGGTGGAAAATTGCTGTGATTTTTATGTTTTTTTTGATAAATTTGTATTTAAATCGTTTTTAAATTTTGTGTTCGGGGATATCGGAGAAATTCAAGGACCCTGTTACTAACTTTAAATCTCTTACTCACCAATATCCCCCTTAATTTCTTAAATTTTAAGCCGTTAGACTCAACTGTCCGGTACTCAGCGGACTGGTGGTGAGACATATGAGGACGGACATATGGGGACGGACATATGAGGACGGACATATGGGGACGGACATATGAGGACGGACATTTGAGGACGGATATATGGAAAAAATAAAAAATAACTACAAAATTAGCCAATTTGTCCGTTATTTCAATATTTGGCACTTTTTGCAAATTATTTCAATATTGTTGCAAATTTTTGCCAAAATTTTGTGAATTTTCATAAATTTTCAGAAAAAGTGAAAAAATTTGGCGATTGTCCTCAGAAATTTCCAAAATTTTCGCCTGCGGCGCTGAAAAGGGGAAATCCTAGCTTATTTAAAGTAAGAAAAAATGTCCCAATGAATAAACCCGAAAATGAGCAAACCCTTAAAACATCCCATCTTTTGCCTAATCTCAAAATGTCCAACAGAGTAAAATACTCAATTTGTCGAGCTATAAACATAATATGCCTCGAAACACCCTCTGAACATAAGCCCTCAAAACCTTCCACTGAAAAAAACTCAAAATCCACTAAGCATCCCCAAAATGTCTTATGTCCATCTGAAATTGCACAAGATATCTTTTCCTTAATTTTCTGTCCTGAAATGCGATTTTCTCTGGTTTCAAGCATTCTTTACTAAAATTAAGCTCTTTTTCATTTTATGTTACAAATAAATCATAATTTATTTCAATATTTCACTAATTTTTGGCATTTTTTGTTAAGATTTTGCCGATTTGTATATAATTTTGTATCCTCAAATGTCCGTCCTTAAATGTCCGTCCTCAAAAGTCCGTCCTCAAATGTCTGCCTGCCAGCGGACTGTGTCCTGTTACTTAGAGAAACAGAAAAAAATAGTGTAGTTAGAGAAAAAAATAAATATTAGTATTATGCCCATAAAAAATTTATTTCAGCTGTAAAAGCAAAATTTTTTAAACAATAATAAAGGGAAAAAATTAAAAAAAAAATATTATCGAAATTAAAAAAAAAATTTCTTATAAAATAAAAACTTTAAAAAAAAATCAAATAGGAGCTGCTTGAGGTTCTATTAATAACTCGTTAATTGCAGCATGTTGTGGTTGTGTGAGTGCAAATAGAACAGACTAAAAAGAAAGAATTTTTGATTAGAAAATAGTTAAGGGGTTTAAAGTTTGTATTTATCCCATCGAGTAGTGGGGGCAATTTCGAGTTTGTTGAAGAAAAAAATAAAAAAGAAATTCCTCTTGGGGAAAATTTTTCCAACTCCTCCTACAAGGCACCCCTTTGAGCTTTCGAGAATCTCTCGTGTTGGGTCAAAGCCTGGGAAAATTTTTTTCAGGCCAATCTTTGAATAGGGTCGTTTGAGTCTCAAAAATGCCGAAGGACGACGACTCCGAAGACCTCCAGGACCGTCCATTTTTTCGACCCGAGACTGTTTGGCAACCCTTCTAATCCCAAAGTCTCTCAAAAACATACCCTTGCAATATCCTCTCCAGTCAAAATTTTGTGTCCAGCCTCGGATCCATCGTATTTTTCACGTGCCTAAATTCAAAAAATATTTTTAATCAAAAAAATTAAAAAAAACCTCAACATCCGTTGATCGACTAGCCAATTTAGTAGCAACATCCCCAGGTTGTATATTTGTAAATCTAATTCCATATTCAACAAGTTCTTGACGCAAAGCAGAAATGAAGCCTTCCAAGTAAAATTTTGTGCCAGAATAAACAGCTAAACCGGGGAAGGCCTAAAAGAAAACTCGATTTTGGCTCTTTAACTTTATGTTTCCAAAAGTCCGCAAGTTTTGTCCGCAAATCGTTAACATTTATTTTATAAGGAAAGAAGAAAGAGAGGACTTTTGGAGACATAAATCAACAACAATCTTTTATAGAAAAAAATAAATCATTTTGGGAAGAAGAAAAAAAAACTTCCGACTTATGAACTTGCGGACTTTTGGAAGGATTTGCGGAAAATATTTAAAAAATTAATCAAAAGTAAACCCTTTTTCCAGCATCCGAAGTAATTGTAAGAATATGGCCAGAATGGTGTTCAACCATGTGAGGGATTATTTCACCAATAATGTTTGTAGTTCCATGAATGTTGACTTCAATTTGGCGATGCCATTCCTAAAAATGATAAAAAATAAAAATTCTAAAAATTTTTTTAGGAATATTATAATGTTCTTTCGAGTCTACGTTAGTTAAAACAAAGTCCGAAATAAGACGCGGACTTTGAAAGGACCTTTTAGTTCAAGTACAAAACTTGCGGACAAAATTTGCGGATTTTTTAAAATTTGCGGATTTTTTTTGAATTTGCGGACTTTTTAAATTTGCGATTTTAAATTTGCGGACTTTGCTAGATTACAGAAAAGAAAGACCGGATTTGTTGAAATCCAATCTCTTAAACTTAAAAAAACCTCAGTATATCCTTTATAAGCCATTGTGTAGTACATAGCACCAGCACAATTAATCAAAATATCAATTCGTCCAAATCTGTGAATTGTCTGTCGAACCAATTCTTGAACTTCGGTCCTTTTAGTAATGTCGCATTTTGTGGCGATAAAGCTAGGAAAGGCATAATTATTTAGTTAATAAAAATTTTTTGGGTAAAATACGGTAAGCTAGAAAAAAGAAGATAGGAAAATTGTCTGCAAATTTTTTGCGGACAAATACAAACTCATTTTTATTTGCGGACAAGTTTTGCGGACTATTTCAAAAATCATTTTTGGTACCAAACAAAATTTAATTACAAAATTAAAAGTCCTAAGACCTAGGAGAAACCCAAAAAAACCCAAGAAAATATTTTTTAAATTTGCGGACAAATATTTGCGGACTTTTATTTAAAATCAGACTTAATTATATACCGATCTGTTGGTAGTCGTTTAATTGTATCCTCCAAAAGGTTAAGCTGTCTAGAAGCCAAAACAGCAAAAACACCCGTCTCTTGAGCCAATGCTTGAGCTATTGATGCACCAATACCTTCACTTGCTCCAGTAATAATACAAACACTTCCAGACAACGATTTTGGGTCTGTTAAAAGAAAATTTTTTTGGGATTATTCCTGAAAATTAAAAAAAACTTTTTAAGGTATCAAGATAACCACTTTGTTTACTAATAAATTAAAGTGAAATGAAAATAAGAAAAAAAAATGGAAGAAAAAATGAAAGAAAAAAAATGAAATAAATCAGGACTCAAAGGCACAAAAAATAAATAAGCGAATATTTTTTACTTGTATTGATACAGATATACTTGCCAATAGAAGTCTACAGAAATTCGTGTTTGTAGGAATCCCCCATGCGAATAAAGGAGGAATCCTTTGGACTAAGTCCCACTTCCCTCAAACCATAGATCAATACGGGATTCAATCCGACCAATATCAGGATCAAAAGAAGCGGAAGTGTGAGAGCGGGATTTCGTAAAACCCCCCCTGACCTCTACTCTCCACTAAATAATAAAAAAAAACCTCTCTTCAAAGAAACAAAACTCACAACCAAAAACGGATAATTGTTCTTCAGCTTGTTCTTCAGCCCCAACATTAAAATCTGACAAAACAAAACTTTCATTATCAGCATCAGCAGATGAGGAATTTTGTGCTTGTTGTTGTAAGTATGAAAAATCTATGCGATGTTTTGGAGATGTTTTTGTAATTATTTTTGGTGGTTTTCGATCAATATAACGCGCCCTTTGTACTACTTTTCTTAAGGCATTTTGATTGGGCATTCTTCCTAAAAAAATTTTAAGATGATTGATACTCAATGACTTTTTATGAGTGAGTTGGCATTTTGTAGATTTTTTTCTTGATAAAAAATTTTTTTTAAATCCGCAATTATTTTGCGGACAAAATTTTAAAACTGCAAAAACATTTGCGGACAAATATTTGCCAAACTAAAAATCTGCAAAAAAAGCCCGCAAATTTCTCGCGGGCTTCTTGAAAAGTCCACAAAAAGCAACTCTACTCGTAAAAACATTAAAAAATAAAAAAAACCTAAAATAGCTTCCGGAAGTTCTTCAACAACAGACGCCCTAATTTGGCTAGGAACCATATCCAACGATTCCCTTGCTCGACTTCTAACAGCACTAACTGCCTTTTGAACTCCAACTCTAGCAGCATTTCCAGTTAATGAACAAGTATGTTCTGTCACCAATTTTATGAAAGTTCTTTCAATATCAGAGGCTGTGTGGATTCTTCCTATAAAAAAGGGGAAAAAAGGGAAAATCGTAAAAAATTCTTAAAAGAAGAAACCTTTACATCCATGATTCAACAAATCACAACGCCAAAATATTTTGTCTCCTATACTGCTAATTCGATCTTTTACATAAATAAAGCCGTCATGAGAGTATTTTTCTTGATTTTTTTGTGAACGTATTTGTGACATTTTTTTGATGAAGAAATAAGAAGAAAATAAAAAAAAATGATAAAGAATAAATGGCGCGTTTATATTTTAGTTATTGCTTGCTAAAAAATATTATCGAACGATTTCATATTAGACACAACAGAGACGCGAATAACTGGGAAAATATATATAATAGCGATTATGTGGCGTAGAAAAATGATAGAGTATAATAAAAATAAATTAGACGATTAGAGAAAAAAGAAAAATGAAAAAGAAAGAGGAACAGTTGAGTCCGAGTTAAAAAGTGGAAAGACAGAAATGGTAAGTCGTCAAAAATATTTAAAAATGGTAAGTTAGTAAAAATATACAAAAATGGTAAGTTAGCAAAAATATTTCAAAATGGTAAGTCAGTAAAAATATTTTTAAAAATGGTAAATCCGTACAAATATTTAAAAATGGTATGTAGGTAAAAATATTTCAAAAATGGTAAGTAAGCAAAAATGAATAAAAAGGATAAGTCGCCAAAAATAAATTAAATGACCCAATCATTAGAGCCAATTAATAATACCATAAAAATGTGAAGTGAATGGTAATGTTGGGTAATTAAATGTTGGGTAATCTGCTCTCTAACATTTTTTTAAAAATCTACTCCCTAGCATATTTGCGGACAAAACTTGCGGACATTTTTGGAACATTAAGAAAAATAATATACTAAGTGGTTTTCTTGATACCATAAAAAATTTTCCCCTTTAAAAAAACCCATTACAATTATTTTTTGTTGATTTTGGGCGTTGTATTACATGGGATTTTACAAGTTTTTCAATCCATTCACGAATAATTGTTTCACAAATTGTTGGGTATTTCCAATTAAGATCATCAAGTAATTTGTTTGTTTTAGTCCTCAAAAATTTGCTTTGAGTTAAATTAATTATTCCATTATTTCTTTAATAAAATTTAAATTTTTGGAGGAAAAAATTTAAAAATAAATTACTGAAATAATCCTCCTTGAACTAATTTTTGTAATTGTTGTATACAAACTTCTTCAGATGAAGATTCATTAATCCTTAATAATCAAAAAAATATTTTCGTATTAGAGAATAGGTAGCTGACATATCCCCCAACAGAGGCCACCCCCCCCCCCCCCCCCCCCCCCCAAAAAAAAAAGTCCGCAACTTTTATCCGCAAATTTCAAAAAAAATCCGCAACTTTTGTCCGCAAATTATTATTAAATTCTTTTCTCAAACACACTTCCGAGAACGTAACCATAAGAATAACTCACCCCTCTTTTTGTAACCTGTCCCTGCAGAAATTTTTTAAAAATCTGCTCGCTAACATATTTGCGGACAAAACTTGCGGACATTTTTGGAACATTAAAAAAATAGTGTTGTGGGTTCGGAAACGAACCAAAGCGAAGAACCGAGGATTTTAAGTTCGATTTTTAGGTTTCGGATATCTCAAAATTTTTCAAGAACCGAGACAACCCAGATGGGAAAGGAAAAAAAATAATTTCCCCCACCCTCCCCCCAAAAATAAAAATAAAACCAAACATTTTAATCCATTCATCAATTTCAATTTCTTTAATTTCTTCAAAACCAACAATTTTTAACCATTCAATTATTTGTTTCCATTTTACAACTCCTTTTCCAGAATTAATTAAATGAAAGATTCGTCCAGTATTTTCACAAAACATTTCACTTAAAATACGAACAATAAATTGGGCAGAAAAATCGACTGGAGTTAATTCAACCTTTTGAAAAAAGAAATTTTATTTTGAAGGTCCATTTTTCTGACAAAATTTGCGGATACTTTTTTTGAGCATAAAAGGATTTTTTAAAGGATTAGAAATTCAAAAAATTACTCAGAATCAAGGTTATTCCCCTTTGTGTTCCCTAAAAGGTCCGCAAGTCTTATCCGCATGTCATACATTTATTTCATCTACATAAAATTGGTCACCAACCCATCAGGAAGGAGAACTTTAATGTGGAAAATAGACAGTTGGAGAGTTTCAATAAAATTTTTATCGCAGTTTTCTGAATTCCCCAGGCATTTATTTATCCGAAAATGTTTTTTTGAAATTTTTTTTAAAGAGAAATTTTTTGAGAAAATATAAAAATATGTTGAAAAAAATATGTTGACTTGAAAACTTGCGGATTTTAGTGGGAATAAACCAAGAAAGAACCGAGACCGCCCATTATCTCCCAATTATTTTAAAATAAAAAATTTGAAAAACAAACCTCCCATTCTCCCAAATTTGGTGCTATATTCATCTTTAATGTTGACAATAATAAGAGATAGGTAAAATCTTGTGGGTTCCAATTAGATCCATTAATTGGTGCTGCTTGATTGCCTAGTCGGTAAATAATGGTTGGCAAACCACGATAATTGGCTCTGGAAATTAGAAGAAACTAAAGTTTTTTGGCACTTGTTCGCAACAGATTGAGAGAAATATTCAAAATTTGGTGCCTACTAGTGTTTCGCCGGAACCGCAAATTTGGCCAGAACCCGAACTTTTCAACCAAAAAGATCCCAGAACTTCGGGGCTACCGGAAACGGAGGTTCCGGCGAAACACTAGTGCCTACTTTTTTCTTAAAGATCTCCCCATATTTCAATCACAAGTGACTATCTATTACCAATTTTTTGAAGTTTCCGCTTAAGGAGTATTTTCGGATAATTACCTATAGGCCTTCAAAAGTTTTGAGCTGCTCCCAGAGGTGGGTCGGAATTCTGATTTTCAACTTCCGAAAAAATTCTGATTTCCGACTTTTGAGCCAGTTCCGATTTCCGGCTCTTCCGATTTCCGACACCTCGGACTGTTCCAACCCACCTCTGGTTGCCCCCTTATCAGTTTAACTCTGAGTTTTTTGAATGATGGAAAAACAAACAAGAAAAAGGGAGACAAAGAACTAAGGGCACCTCCCAATCTTTTTACAAAAAAAACCTCAAAACTAATTGTTCAGCAACATATTTAGTTTGTCCATAACCATCAACAAGTTTTTCAAAAGTATCAGTTGGAGGGGTGTCTTCATCTACATCAATTAATCCACAGGGAAAGACTGCATCCGTACTAAAAAATTTAATTAAACAAAAAATTCTTCTAAAATTTAAAAAGAAACCTGATATAATGCAAAGGTTTAATTTTATTTTTAAAACAAAATTCAATTATATTTCTTGTCCCAACTACATTACAACCATGCAGAGCCTTGCAAAAAAAAAATTTTTTAATTCAAAAACAATATTTACCTGATAAGGATAAATTAAATTAACATAGGCTGCCTTAAAAACGGAAAAAAAATTATTTAAAAAATAATTTTATAAATTAACCGCGTGTAAAACAACATCAATATCATACGAAAGAAAATGGTAATCCTTTAAAAAAGATTTTTTTTTCAAAATTAAAAAAAATAAAAAAATTAAAATTTTAATGGTATAGCGACATTTGCGGATTTTATAAAAAAATATTTTAAAAAATCATTATCACCCAAAAAATTTTTAAACGTAAAATTTTTTGCGGACGAAAAAGACAGAATGGTACATACGGCAAAAAACGACAACACGGTACATACGGGCAAAACCGACAAAATAGAACATAGGAGAAAATAGGCCATTTTGCGTGGAAGTGTAAAGAAAATCCCCTCTCTTATTCTCTATAACATTTATTTTTACTCTTTTCACTATACTATTCTCCTTCCCCTTTTATCTTCATAAATAGAAAAACATTCTCTCTCCTACATTTTCTCCCAATAAATTCTCTACCTTTTCTACTCCCCATTCTTTTTAGTTTAATCGAAAATTCATTTCATTAGTTACTTTTACGGTTTAGCCATCGCTTCTCGGCCTTTTGGCTAAGATCAAAGTGTAGTATCTGTTCTTTACGGCTTAATCTCCGTAATGACCCCTACCGGGGTCAAAGAGATTAACCAATTTTTGGAAAAGGGCGTGAGTTGGAAGCTTGCTTCCTCTCTGCCGCGCGTCGGCCCGGTCTTGCACTTACCTCCGGGAACGGCGCATTCCTCCCATTTATGGGATGATCAAAAACTGAGTATAATTCTTTAAGCAAGACTTTGCTCCTTAGCAAGTTAAGGATCTAGTCTTGGTCCGAGCTATAATAAATTTGAGATTCTCGTTAGGATTACCCCTAGTCTTTTGTTCCAAGTCTTGGGTATAGAAGACTAATTTTGTCTGCAAAAAATAATTTTGTCCGCAAAGGTTTATCCGCAAATGACACTAAACCATTAAAAAAAATATTTTCCATAAATCACCTCATCAGACAAACCAAACTGAACTAGCGCAATATCACCAGAAACAACACGTACTTGTTCTCTTAAAAAATAATTTTTCTTTTAAAAATCTTCTCTCCAAACCTGAAATTTTCTTCTCCAATTTTTTCATTAAATAACCCATTTCTTTTCATTGTAGATAAAAGCCTTTCTTCAACAGTTTCATTATCATTATTTGATGATTCTCTAATAAGACAAGTTATTTTTGTTTTTGAAGAGGATAGTAATTGAGCTAATAAATGGGAGCCTAGAAAGCCTGTTACACCAGTTAAGAAGACATTTGCGGCATGAAAACGTTTTTTCCATTCTGTTGCACGCCAAAATGCTCGAAGGTGAAGATCCATACTTTAAAATAAAATTTTAAAATTTTTCGTTTCTATGGTTTAGTGGGTAACACCCCTCGGCTTAGACTTTACATATACCCAGGTTCGATGCCCTGCGGGTGGCAGTGGCAATTTTTTTGATTCTTGACTTTCATTAACTTTAAGTAACCCGTCAGAGTTGGGGAGGTAACTTGTAGACTTTTCGTTTCCGTGGTTTAGTGGTTAAGAGCCCCGACTTGGAATTTTCGGATACTCAGGTTCGATGCCTAACGGAAGATATTGAATGGCAGATAGATTTTTGGTAGTCCTTGACTCGTATTCACTTCGGGTGACATGCCAGAGTTGGTGAGGTATTTGCGGACTTTTTTCGTTTCTGTGGTTTAGTGGGTAAAACCCCAGACTTTACGGACCCAGGTTCGATGCCTAGCGGAAGACAGTGACCTTTAAAAACCCTCCAACAAAAAAAACATACATATCTCCTTTCAAATCATTTGCCTCTATTTGTTGTTCCAAATCAATTATTTGTTCAGGTGATGATCTTTCTATTGTTTGACTACCATCTAACAATTTAGCCATTGCGTAAACTGTCGGAGCTGTAAATAATTCACGCATTCCCAAATGTGAACCAAATCGAGTATTTACAGCATTTAAGAGTCGAGCAGCCAAAAGAGAATGTCTAAAAATAGTAAATTAGTTTTTGCGAACTTTTCTAATTTTTGCGGACTTTTCACACTTTTGCGGACATTTCCCAGTTTTGCGGACATTTCTCATTTTTGCGGACTTTTCTCATTTTTGAGGACATTTCCCCACTTTTGCGGACTTTTCTCATTTTTTGCGGACATTTCCCATACTTCTCTCTAATTGACTTTCTTTCCATTTGATAAGTCCTCAAAAACACCGTAAAAGCAGCCCGCAAAAGCAATTCAAAAAATTATCCGCAAAAACTGCCCGCAAATTTTCTCTTAAAAATTTTTCATAAAATACATACCCTCCCATATCAAAAAAACTTTCTTGTATATCCAAATGTCCATTACTCCCCAAATGTAATATTTCAATCCAAATTTTAGCCAAGTCCTTTTCATTTTCTGTTTGAGGTAATGCATCTATTTCAACAACATCACGAGAAAAATTAACTGAAGGAAGAGCTTTTTTGTCAATTTTTGAAGACGCGGCCAATAATGGAAGCCTTTTTAAAATTTTAAAAAATTTTAAAAATTAAAAAAATACTTTTCCATAAAAATAAAATATTGAGGCATCATATAAAATGGTAAAACGCGTTTCAGTTGCGCTCTCAATTGTTTTCGAGTAATTTGTTTATCTCGCAAAACGATATAGGCAGCTAACTAAAATATTAAAAAATTTCTTTAATTTTTCAAAGGGGACAGAACACCTTACGGACAAAGTATCTTTAAGTGGGAACTGATTTTAGAGTCCGCAAAAGAGATTCTAAAAAAGTCCGCAAGAGTTGTCCGCAAAAATTTTTTGATTGATTTTTGAGGGTTTTGGTTAACAACTTGACAAGCTAAACTTCTTTATATGCCTTTTAGTATGAAAAAATTTTTGCGGACAAAACTTGCGGACTTTTTTAAAAATGAAAAACTTTTTGCGGACAACTTTTGCGGACTTTTTCAAAATCATTATTGAGGACTCCAGCTTCCGAAAAATATTTTTTGTCTGGAAGGTGATTTGCCCCCCAACTAATAAAAAGAATATTTCTAAATTTAACCTGTTTATCTTCACCTTCATCCCCAATAGAAATTACAGTACAAGAACGAACATGATTTAAATTTAAAAGAGCCGCTTCAATTGCTTGGAGTTCAACGCTGTATCCTCTAATTCTAACTGTTGTATCGCAACGTCCACAAATTTCAAGAACCAAATTGGGCAATAAATAACCCCAATCACCAGTTCTATTAAAAATAAATTTTTCAATAGTAGGGGAAAGGAGCACATTTTGCGGACAAATCTTGCGGACAAAAATTTGTCCGCAAAAATTTTTTTTAATAAAAAATCTTTTAAACCTGTACATTCGTTGAGATCCCATTTCTTTTTGATATTCTTCAGGTAACGGAACAAACCTTTCAGCATTTATTTCTGGCCGGTTAATATAACCAATTGCTAAAGTTGGTCCTGCTACGTAAATCTAATTTTTAAAAATATTTTTAATAAAAAGAATTTAAAATAAACCTCTCCAGGAACACCAATTGGAACACGCTTCATTGTTTTCTCGTCCAAAATTAAAATTTTAACTCCTTCAATTACCTAAAAAATAAGTAGAGATTATCTCTTTATCAAGGAAGGGCCGGGCTGAGAAAAGTTAAGATTGGGTCTTGGGTCGAGGTTTCGGTCAAGAATGTCTTGGGTCCGAAGCAGGGCTGGACACAACTGAAAAAATTTTCCGCAGCCGCAATCCGCCGTCCGCAAGACAAAAAACCATCAATTTACGCAATCTACAGTTGCGTCCAGCCCTGGTCCGAATATTTGGTTTCGGATTCTACACGAGATTTGCGGACAACTTAAGCGGACAAACAGTCCATACTAATTTAAAAAAAATAAAAAAACCTTTCCAACAGGAGCAAATTGACGCCTTTCATTTTTATTATTATAAAATTCATTCAAATCGGCTACAGCAACATCATGACATTCTAAAATTTAAAATAAATTTTAAAAAAAGAAATTAAAAAAAGTTACCAGAAATACTATAAAGATTAATGCAGCGAACATGTGGAAAATGACGAATAAATCTTTCTAATAATGCACAAGTAACAACTTCTCCGCATAAGATAACTATTCTAAAAAATAATTAAATTGATAAGGAGCGATATTTTTGCGGACAATATTAGCGGACAAACATTCTGAAAACGTTAAATGACATGCCACCAAAAATATGATTAGGATATGGCACCCCAATCAATGCCCTTGCTTGCGCTCCGCAAGTTTTGTCCGCAAATGTGGGCACTTTAAAGGTCAGAAATATTTCTAGAATGAAGGGGTAAGCTTCCTTCTTTCAGTAAGTCCGCAGATATTTTGCGGACAAAAAATCATCTCGAAAATTTTTAAAAAATATTTAGGCGACATTTCTGACTGTTCTCCTACCCCCATATATTTCCTAACCCAACTTTTTTCTTCAAAAAAAAATTTTTTTTCTATTTACCTTATACATTGAAATGCCCTTGAAAGTGTTTCCTAAGAAAATAATTTACTTGAAAAAATAATTTAAAAAATTAACTTCATCTTGTGTATCCAAAACCATTTCCAAAAGTGAAGGGGTAAAGAGCATTCGAGTTATTTGATTTTTTGCCAAAAAATTGCACAAACTGTGAGGGTCATAAATAACAGAATCTGGGATTATTACCTAAAAATAGACAAAATTATGAAATTAAAAACTACAAACTAAAGTAATTCCTTGTAATATAGGACGAAACATTTCCCAGACAAAGAAGACATTACAGGCTAGAAATAAAGTCTTTTTTGAAAAAAATTTTTCTTACACAAACTTGCGGATATTATTTGCGGACATTCAATTTTTATTTAATTAAAAAAGAATCCAAAAGTATTTTCGGACAAAAATTTTGCGGACAAAGAAAGTCCGCAAAAGCCCTAAAAAAAGTCCGTAAATATTTTGCGGACTAAAAAAAGAATCTAGAAACATTTGCGGACGTCCGCTTAAATATTTGCGGACAAAGCCCACAAAAAACCGCGAAAAAAGTCTGGAAATATTTTGCGGACAAACAAAGTCCGCAAATATTATCCACAAGTCATATTCTGACAAAAAAAAACTTCTCACAAACCTTCAATATCGTCATCACTGTAAGGATAGTTGAGGAAGCGCCATTTATATCTTTTAAAAAATGAATTTTTTGGGTAAATAAATTTAAAAAATACGATATAACAGCTCCTCTATGTGGGCATTTTATTCCTGTAAAAAATTTATTTTTGAATCAAAAAGCAAATCTAAAATTATTTGCGGACAAAAAAAGTCCGCAAAAAATTTGCGGACGAAAATTTTTTGTCCGCAAAACTTTTGCGGACAAAAAATTTTGGCTCTTGTCCAGTTATGCGTCCCATGAAGATTTATGAGTTCCATAAAAATTTATGCGTCCCAAGAAAATTTATGAGTCCCAAAAATAATTTATGCGTCCCATAAAAATTTATGCGTCCCAAAAATAATTTATGCGTCCCATGAAATGAATTGAAAAAATATTCAAAAATTACAAAATTTGACAAAATTTTGACTTAAGTCGCCGACTCTGATAGGTCTACTTAATGTCATATCCTTGTCAAATCTTGTCCAATCAAGTTGATTTTGGTGTCATTCGACACAGCTCGACGAGTTCTATAACTTAACATAGACTTAACATAACATTGGCCCAAAAAATTGACTCGTTGGCCCTTGAGCAAGGCTTTATAACAAACACATTTTTTAAACGTTTTTTAATTTTGCAATATTTTTTCAATTCATTTCATGGGACGCACAAATTTTTATGGGACGCATAAAATATTTTTGGGACGCATAAATTTTTATGGGACTCATAAATTCTCTTGGGACGCATAAATCTTCATGGGACGCATGAACTGGACAAGAGCCAAAATTTTTTTAATCAAAAAAATTTTCCCAAACCTTTAGGCTTTCCAGTAGTTCCAGAAGAGTAAACAATATAAGCTAAATTATCACAATTTATTTCTTCAATTTTTTCCAGTTTTTCTTCTTCAAAAGACAATAACCATTTTCCATCTTCATCAAGTAATAATAGTGGAGTATTTTCAGGAAAATTATTTAAAGAATTTGTTGATGTTATACAAACAACTGTAAAAGAAAACAAAAATTTTTTTATGTTTCAAAGGACCCTAATTTAGAAGATGGGTGCTATGATAAAATAGAACGCTCAATGAGGAAGTGAGTGGGTTTGGGGTTCTTTGGTGCTTAAAGGAAAGATGGGCCGGGTTGATAAAAAAGATTCCGCAAATTTATGCGGACAAAGAAAAAGTCCGCAAATATTTTGCGGACAAAGAAAAAGTCCGCAAATATTTTGCGGACAAAGAAAAAGTCCGCAAATATTTTGCGGACAAAGAAAAAGTCCGCAAATATTTTGCGGACAAAAATCCGTTGAATTGAGTTTCGAGCCAAAAAATCCTAGTTTCGGTAACTCACCCATCTCCAACTTAAAGATGGGGACGGGTTATACACCTTCAAGGAACGCAAATCCTATCAAGGGACTCATATTCTAGAATAGACCAAAAATAAAAAAAACAACCTGCAGGCTTAACCTCATCAAGTACAGATTTAAGCAATGAATCAGGATAAGTAATATCCAAAGGTAAATAAGCAGCACCTTCAAAATAAATTTTCGTTAAATTTTTAAAATTCAAATTTAACCAGCTTTCAAGGCAGCAATATAGGCAAATACATATTCAGCACATTTATTCATATAAATGGCTATACAGTCACCCTTCTTACATGAAAATTTTGTAACAAATAATTGAGATAATCTGTCTTAAAAATAACAAAAAATTTAGAAAATTTTAAAAAATTTTGGGGTCACTAGAGTCTCAGTTTAAAAATAAAATTATTTCGAATACAGTAGAGTCTGGGTTTTAAAATAAAATTTTGAGGACGTTAGAGTCAGAATTAAATTTAAAAATTATTTTGAGGCCATTCGAGTCTGATTCAGAAAAATTTTTATAATAACTTTCCTACCAGTTATTTCATCCAATTGTGCTAATGTCCATTGTCTGTCGTTGTGTTTCAAAACAATTTTATCAAGTTTGCTTTCGTCAGAGCTTGAAAAGGAAATAATTAAAAAAGAAATTTTAAGATGATTGAATGGAGGGAATAGTCTCGGAAATTCAGTCCCAAAATCCCGAGGATTCGAAAAACCCCCATTTATTCTCGAGACACCCACTCCCAAAAGATCACCAACACAAAAATCAATACTAAAAAGTTTAAATTACCAAATTCGTCTAAACATAGCCACAAGAGTATCATCTTCCAAGTGTGGGGATAAACGTGATTTTAAACTTGCAGTGGACGCTGAGGAAGTTAATGATTGGGGATTATTTAAATTTTGTTGGATTAGGGTTGGGGGTGTCATTTTGAATTTTTTTAAAAATCTAAAAAATTTCAAAAATTATTCAAAAAATATTGCTACATTTTTCCTTAATGATTTTTAATTTTTGAGATAAAATTAAAAAAATAAACAAACAAATATTTAATAAAATAAATACAATTTTTTGATAAAAGAACACTTAAAAATAAATACTCTCCCAAAAGATCACCACTATAATTTAATAAAATTTAGTGGTGATCTTTTGGGTATGTTCTTGGGGTGGTGATTTTTAGAAGGTACTAAACTATAAAATAAAGTTGATATGTGGTAGGGAATAGATTTAAATTTAGATTATTTTCGAGTTGAAAAAAAGAAAATGTTAACTAGAAAAATTTCGAAAATTAAAAAAAAATTTTTAAAAATTAAAAATAGGTACAGCCCAAAACGGCGCGCGGCCATATCGGCGCAAAGCCATAGCTTGGTGGAAGATTTCTGGCCCTTATCAATTTTGGTACCATTCTCCTTAGCTCGATGAGAGGAATCGTTTAGTACTAAATTTGGAAAGATTCGGAAACCTTAAAACAAGTTATGGCTTTGCGCCGTTACGGCCTCGCGCCGGGGTGTCCCATTAAAGAATATATCGACCCAAAAGATCACCACAGGTAATTAGTGGTGATCTTTTGCGCTAGGTTGGACATTTAATTTATTTAGACATTAAAATTAATAGATAAAGTGTGCAAATAAAATTAAAAATAAAAATTTATAAAGTGATATCGAAGCATTTTTATCGATAAAAGATAAGAGAAAAAATTTTTAAAAATTTAATAAATTAATTTTGGGATCAAATGTCTTTTCTATTAAAAAATAATTAATTGCCAGGTACTTTAAAAATACTGGATTCTTTAGTTTTTTTATTAAATTAAAAGACAATTAAAAAAGACAATTGGCAAAAATAAGCTGGGTTTTATGATGCACTTTTTACGTTTATTTTTGACATTATTTTTTATTTTTGATTTTATAAGGACATTAGAGTCTTAGTTAATTTTTAAATAATTTTATAAGGAGAATGCCAGCTTTTAATCCAGAATGTGAAAAAAAAATTTCAAAAATAATTAAAAGCAAAAAACAGCATACAAATATAAAAAAGTAAATTAGTCAACAATTTTTATCATGTAAAGCATATAGCTATTAATTTCCTAAGGCTGAGCAGTAGGCGGCGTGGTGTAATGGCTAACACATCAGTCCGGTCTACTGAAGATGCTGGTTCGCTCCCAGCCGCCGAATAACCTTTTGCACTAGCTAAAGGAGAGAAATAGCTATAGCCCAGCTGCTTTACTGGTAGCACCGGATGGTTCAGCGAACGCTGAACGAATGACGATCCATCCCATAGGCCCTGGGTTAGAGAAATGAAATTCCGCCAGAGAAGGCGATGATTAAGCTACCCCGCAGGTGAGAGAAAAAGCGGGAAGAGGGCAGATAAGAAGACTAGGGACAGTCTTCCCTGGGGATGGAGGTGTAAAGCATATAGCTATTAATTTCCTAAGGCTGAGCAGTAGGCGGCGTGGTGTAATGGCTAACACATCAGTCCGGTCTACTGAAGATGCTGGTTCGCTCCCAGCCGCCGAATAACCTTTTGCACTAGCTAAAGGAGAGAAATAGCTATAGCCCAGCTGCTTTACTATCACAACAAATTTCCAGTCGCAAAAAAAATCCAAAAAAAATCGGAAACAATCAAGTCACAAAAAAATTTCTTAATACATTTTACGTCAATTATATAAACAAATAATTTAATGCAATATATTTTTATTGGAGACAATCTAATTCTATTTTTTATTTAAATTCTTATCTAACGCTTCTTGAAATTGACTTTAAAAGTAGATGGGGTTTTATTTTGAAATTCTTTAACAGCCTCCAAATGTTTCCGGAAAGTGTTTTCTCGTTCAAGCATAGACTTCTCCCCGTTTGCATGAACGGCTATATAAAAAATAGGCCCAGGGCATCCTTTCGGCCAAATTTTTTTTCACCTGTTCGATCTGAAATAGTTGTTTTGCTCCACTCGTTTTTCACGCTCCTCCCGCTCTCTACAAAATAGAAAAAATTCAAAATAAAAAAGAAAAATCTAAAGAAAACCTTTTTGCACGGTCAGCTTTCTCCCTCAACAAGTCCTCGCGAGCTCTCTTAACCTGATCAGCCTTTTCGTCGATTTGTTTCAATTTTTGAACCTTCTGAAATGTAGTATTGAGAGCCGCCGGCGTTTTCGCTGGGGTCTTTGTTGGAGTCGACGGTTGAGTCTTCTTGGGAGTAGCGAAAGTATTCTAAAATTTTTATTACTTTAATAATTTTAATAAAATTCTTTACTTGAGTGAGACGAATAATAGGTAGCGGCTCAGGCATTCTAACCTGCCCTTCTGGTTTCGTAGGAAGGGGAGTAAAGTCAAGTATTTTCGGATTATCAAATTTAACTTTTTTTGTGATTTGCTTTGAAACCTCTGAAAATTAAAAAATGCAAGTTACCATGAATTTATAAATCAAAATTTAAAATATCCAAATTCTACTTATTAAAACCCCAAAAATTCAATAATTTGCTGTTAGACTGACAATTAAACAACGAAGATAACGGAGAGCTAAGCTTAATTATTTCCCAAAATGTGAAAATTTTCCTTAAAGCTCCAATTTTACTTTTTTTTCCAATTTTACTCCGCCATGGGTGGTTGGCAGGAATTGTAGCATTCTATGATTTTTAATATTTTTAATAAAACTCATCTCCCCGTTTGCATGAACGGCTTGATAAAAAATAGGCCCAGGGTATCCTTTCGGCCAAATTTTCTTTTTTCATCTGTTCGATCTAAATAGTAATAATACCATTAATTTGATTTTGGACAGAGATTGTATTTTTGGTTAGAAAAGAAAAGTTACTAAAAATTAAAGCTTAATGGAAATCAAGAAATGTGTATGTTTATGACAATATAAAAATTATCCTCTTGTACTATGCTGTTCAAACCCAAGACTCAAAAATAGGAAGGCTATAATAGGAAGTCTGCAGAAAATTTAGAAGAATAGGAAGGCTTTAAAAATTGAGCAAATTTGTTAAAGTGAAATCTGTAAGTTTTGTTAATGTTTCTATTGTACTATAAGTGGTGTTTAAATATTTGTTGAAAGTGAATTGTGAAATTATCAAAAAAATAAAAAAATTAGATTCTTGAAAATAGTAGATAAAAATTTCTAAAAATGAAGGGGAAGAGAGCGTTATTTCAGGTATTTATTGCTGATAATATAGATTCACTTCCAGGTTATTTTTACATCTAACTAAAAATCTAAAAAATCAAAAAAGAATGATTCACACATTTTATTTTTATTTAATAACCACACAGCACAAAAAAATCTACACCAATAATTATAAATTTACTAATTTTCATTTTCCTGTTGATTAATTAAAAATTAATTTTAACTAAACTAAAAATGTTTATTATCCCCTTTATTAATTTAATTTTAATTACCCCAATTATTGGTAGTAAATATGTGGAAAATAAATTCATTACATGCCCAGCTGTCAACACTAAAAATGTTGGCGATTTTATTTCTGAATGCCAAGGGTGATAAAAAAATTTTAATCAGAAAAATCGACATTTGCGAACATCGACATTTGCGGACATCGACATTTGCGAACATCGACATTTGCGAACAAAACTGAATTTTATTGAAATTGGAACAAATGGCCATTGGGTCATGTCCACTACTATAAGCACATTCATATGGTACATTTTATTGGCATTATGCCCAAAAATTCTATTCTACTATAAAAAGGCTTGGTAAATGTCCGCAAATTTCTGTTCGCAAATGTCGCCTAAAGATTAATTAATTTTTAAAAATTAAAAGACTGCTTATATGTTATCAAAGCCAGCTTGGACCCAATTCAAATAAAAATTATAAATTTAACAAACTTTATGAATTAACAAAAAAGACAATTGGAGACGGTTTTTGTGAACCTTGTATTAAAAATGGGCAGTGTCAAAAAAGTGAAGGAATTGAATGGAGAGGAATTCGAGTATTTTATAAAGGGAAAAGAGAGAAGAAAATTGTGCAGATACAAGCGGATATTTTTAAGCATGGGTTTGGAATTTGAAAAAATTTTCAAAAAAAAATTTTTGAAATTTTTTTTGAAAATTTTTTGAAATTTCGAAAAATTTTTTTTCAATTTTAGAGAAAAATTAGAATTGTACTATCCAATTAATCCAAACGAATTTTTAACTTTTCTGGCTGGCCATAATGATGAAATTAATAGTAAATTATTTTTAATTTAAAAAGCGAAATTTGCGGACAAATTTTGCGGACAAAATAAAAGTCCCTTGAAATAGGGTCAAAAGACGGGCATCGAAGTTTAAGAACTTTTTGACATATGTCACACCATTTATGCCGTAATATAGAAAATTTAATGAATGTTCGCAAATGTCGCTTTCTCAACTGTCTTGTTCGCAAATGTCTTGTCCGCAAATGTCGCTACTTTTTCAATTAATTTTTTTAAAAATTTAAAAATTTTTTTTAGAAAAACTAATCAAAGCAGACGATATTTCTTTCGCCTATTTCAAACAAACAAAAATGCACAAATCAATTTTATATCCATTACTTGACGATTATCCAGGTATATTTGCCTTGAAGTTGGACATAAATGTTAAGGCGACTAAAACAAGTAGTAACCCAACAAAATTTATTTTGGCTAAATTAAACGATAAAAATTGTAAATTTAATAATACACAAACTTGAGAATTTTTTAAATAAAAAAAATATTTTTTTTTGAATTTTTATTTTCCCCTTTATTAGTTAGCTACTCGATATTTGTGTACCGACATTTGCGAACAAACTCTATTGAATATTGAAATTGGAACAAACGATTATCAAGTCATGTCCAGTATATCAATCCGATATCGGTTGTACTTACACACAAATTTAAGCCCCTCTCTAATTGTACGGACAATTTTTAAATGTTAATTGCCCACTGGGTAAATGGGGAAGCTGTCTATTGGAGGAAGCTACCTAGACAATACCTCCAATTTTACGTACACCTCTCTTTTACGTACATATACTTCAGACCTAAATGTGCACGTACAACCGAGAGTCGACCTTTTTTTACTATTTTTGTTTTAATCACCTCTTTAAATAAAGCTATAAGATAAATGTTCGCAAATGTCGCAAGTCATCAAATGTCGCACAGCCTCATTATTTTCCCTAAAATTAAAGAAATTTCTTTTTTAATTTAAAATTTTTTTTCGAATCATTTTTTCTCCCACGCAATAACGCACACATTTTCTTCTTTTTTATTTATTTTTTCCTTTATTTGTAGCATAAAATAAAAGTAGCTGTCAGTCAAATAAAGTAAATAAAAATATTTTTTATTAAATTATTTTATTCTTTCTTGCTTCCGGAAAATTCATAACAAGAAAATACGTTTCCGGAAAGTTTTTCTTAAAAATAAAATATAGTCTAGTACTTTATTTTGGTAGCCAATACCCTCACAAAACTTTATTTAATTATAAAACTGGGTGGGTGTTCGCAAATGTCGTTCTCTGGTAGGTGTTCGCAAATGTCGTCCTTTGCTAGGTGTTCACAAATGTCGTTCTATGCTGGGTGTTCGTAAATGTCGTTCTTTCGTAGGTGTGTGTACGCATATGTCGTTCCTTTGTGGGTGTTCGCAAATGTCGTTTTTTGGTAGGTGTTCGCAAATGTCGTTTTTTGGTAGGTGTTCGCAAACGTCGTTTTTTGGTGGGTGGACGCAAATGTCGTTCTAGATCCCTATTGTTCATCTTCCCTTAATATGTATTACTGTATTAATTTTCCAAAAAAGGCTAATTTAGTAAAAAAAATTTTTCCTTTTTTCCAAAATTTCTCCCTTTAGAATCCTTGTTAAATGCTATTTTTCACCTAATTTATTCTTCCAATCTTTCCCATCCAAAAAAAAATTTTTTGGTATTGTCTGAACAATTATATTTTTACTTTATGAAAAGGCCTTTTATCCTTAAATTAAATTTAAAAAAATCCTTCTTTTTAAAAATCCATGTTTATTCAAAAAAAACACACACACAATTTTCCCACCTACACACATAATTTATCTCTTTTTTCACTCTAATTGGCTTTAAGCTTGAATAATTTTTTTTAAAAATTCTTCTCGTATTTCGCACTTTGCTAGAATATTTCCGTAAAAATTATGCAAAAATTAGCTAATGAGTCTGAAAGTGTATTCGAATGAGATATTACCCGCGGGGCTCCCGCGGGGCTCTAGAGCAGAGCTGCGTCGAAATAAAAAAATCTTCGAAATTCGGAAATCGAAAATCGAAAGAAATCCAAAATTATCGAAATCGAAAATCGAAATTTTATGAAAAAATTCGAAATTCGGAAATCGAAAATCGAACGAAAATCGAAAAAACTAAAATTATCGAAATCGAAATTTTATGAAAAAATTCGAAATTCGGAAATCGAAAATCGAAAGAAAAAAACGTCGAAAATCGAAAATCGAAATTCGAAAATCGAAATTTTTTAAAATAACTAAAAGAGTATCAAACAATCCGCGATATGGAGATATAAGGGTTAATCTTGAGATATAAGGGTATTCAATGGATTAGGGGAAGTCTTAAGGGATATCAGTGATCGGTTGCGTTATACAGGATTAGGGGGTTGATTAGAGACCAATTAGATCCGCACACTAGATCAGTTTAAACCCTTATTCTTACGATATTCTCCTTACCCTTTGATACCCGTAATATCCAATCCACATATATTTCTCTTATTAGTGTAAGGCAAATGGATTAATTGAGATACTCGGGTGGGAGATTTGGGTAGATTAAGGGGGATTTTATGATATCAGGCGAATAAGAGGGATTTCGCGGAATTTGGGCGGATTATCGTGGGATTTGGGTAGATTAAAGGGATATCGTTGTATTTACATAATATCGCTTATTCTTATCCCTTCATCTTTCTTAACCTTTTTTTGCGCCGCAGGCGAAAATTTTGAAAATTTTGGAAGATCCTTAAGCCAAAAATCTTCCTTTCTCTGCGCCGCAGGCGAAAATTTTGAGAAATTTGGAAGATCCTTAAGCCAAAAACTACCATTTTCAGCGCCGCAGGCGAAAATTTTGGGAATTTTAGAAGGTCCTTAAGCCAAAAACTTCCATTTTCAGCGCCGCAGGCGAAAATTTTGAGAATTTTGAATGGCCAAGTAGCCAAATTTCTTCATTTTTTGGCACCGTAGGAATAAAATCTTAATAGAAAAGATAATGCAATTTTGCAAAAAAAAATCGAAAATCGAACGAAAATCGAAAAAACTAAAATTATCGAAATCGAAAATCGAAATTTTATGAAAAAATTCGAAATTCGGAAATCGAAAATCGAACGAAAATCGAAAAAACTAAAATTATCGAAATCGAAATTTTATGAAAAAATTCGAAATTCGGAAATCGAAAATCGAAAGAAAAAAACGTCGAAAATCGAAAATCGAAAGTCGAAAATCGAAATTTCGACGCAGCTCTGCTCTAGAGTCAGCGTTAACAGGCTATGGTGTCTTAAGACTCTAATGGACCCTGATGTGAGACTAATGTGAGACTCTAATAGGCTCTAATATGAGAATTCGATATGACTAATATGAAACTCCACTGTAGGCCCTAATATTAGAGGTCGGTAAAATCGCATTCCCGGGATCTCGTAACGGGGTTTTTTTCAAAATTTTGTACGGGACGGGATCCCGCGGGGTTAATCCAGTAATCCCGTTTATCGCTAAAAACACGGGATTCCGGAACGGGATCCCGTAAAATCCCGTACTGGGTCCCGTCCCGTACCGATCTCTACCTACTAGATTTATTTTGAGACTCTAACGGAACTTTTACCAGACTCTAACCGTCTGGATAATTAAAAAGTTGATCTTCTGGATCTCTGAAAAAGCCGGGATTTTTAGGTAAGAGAACAAAAGAAAGAAAGGAAAACATAAGGCAAATTGATGTGCTACTTGCCTAGTTTTTAAAAAAAATAAGTGAATAAAAAAGGTTTTTTGTGGCTAATATAAAAAATAGGGAAAAGAAAAGGAGAAGAAGAAAATTTCCTGAGAAAATGTGCCCTAAGGATTTTTTTATTTATTTTTTCCTCTGACTGACTGGATTGCCTTTATTTTTTCTTCTTTAATACACTCGACCCTTAAAGCTTCTCTCCAGAAAAGCTTAAAATATAAAATTGTGTTGTTTTTTTTGAAGGAATGTCAAAAGAAAGAGGGAGATCGATTAGTAGGCCACAATTTATTTTTTAATTTATTTTTTATTATTTTTTGGGGGGATTTTTACTTCCGTCTTTTTTTAATTTATAGAGACGTCCAAGCTAGAGATCGGCCTAGGGCTGGGCCAAGGCCTGGGGTTTTCCTGTACCCAGAGTCCAGGCCCAGGCATTATTTGATCTTACTCGGGGTTTTCCTGGGCCTGGGTTTCCTGGATTACAGACCCAGGATCCGGACCAGGTCAATAAATCAAACCTAGGAACAGGCCCAGGCTTTTCAAAAATACCGAGCTCTAGTCAAAGCCTCTTGACCTATGTCAGGACTTGAGACTTTTCTTGGGGGTTTTTCGGTTAAGGTCTTAGAGTCCAGTCCAGTCTTGGTCTCGAGTTTGAGTCTTGGAAAATTTTCCGTCTTGGACATCCCTACTAATTTAATTCTTTGATAGGATTAACTTTGAAGGAACGCGTATACGGTGATTTTTCTAGTCATCATTTTTGGGAAACTTCTACTCTGATGGGACGCTTAGGGGATGTATGTCCTAAACTAGAGCCTTTTTTAATTTATTAGTTCATTTTTATCTTAAATTTTTTTACTTTCCTTTTTAATTTAATTAATTAATTACACAAGAGCGCATTGATTTAAGACAATGATAATTTGATAAACTTTTTTTTCTTAAATATTGAAACAATTTAAATGTCCTTTTTTTAAAGTTAATTTAAACCACCCAATATTGTAACTGATTATTAAATCTTAATTTTTAAAAAAGATTTTTCTAAAAAAAATATGGGTAATGAATCAACTGAAACTTCAAAAGGTGCTGAAACCTCAACACAAAATAATAATTTAAAACAACCACAAAATGAAGAAAATAAAAATAATAATAAAATAATTAATAATAACACTATATTTGTTCCTCAACAAGATGTTGATTTTAAACAAATTTTGGTTCCATCATTAAAATCGACACATGAACAAATGGTAATTGAATGGGGATTTTTTAAAAATTTTTGTGGGGGGAAGGGGAATTAATGCAGACTCTGGGGTCTGTAAGGTCTGGCCCAGAGCTGTTTTTTTTCAAGAAAACGCGAAATTTCAAAGCAGCTCTAGTCTGGTCAGGGCTGTGCGCCAAAATTTTCGCGTGGCGCGCCAAGCGCCAATTTTTCAAATTTTAAAAGCACGCCAAAACGCAAAACGCCAAAAATGGGCCAAAAATGGACGCCAAAACGCAAAACGCCATGACGCACAGCCAGGGGTCTGATCTTGAAAGCTCGAGAGAGAGAGAAGGGGGATGAAGCAACAGCGACACTTATTCCAGAACAGCGACACTTTTCTCCAATAAATGCCATCCTAGCACATACATATAACGAAACGACTTATCGTTATAATGTTCATTCCAAAGGGGACATATACTAAAATTGGAACAATACGGACAAGAATAGCTTTGCCCCTGCGCATGAAATGACAAAAAATTTGGAACGCTTCACGAATTTGCGTGTCATCCTTGCGCAGGGGCCATGCTAATCTTCTCTGTATTGTTCCAATTTTAGTATATGTCCATTTGGAATGAACATTATTGCACTCATCTTTTCAGAATATATACTAGGATTAAAATTTATTAGAGAAAAGTGTCGCTGTTCTCGCATGTCTATATTGTTTGTTTACCTTTCTCTCTCTTTTATTTTTTATCTCTTCTCTACTCTCCTCTATTTCTGCTCTCTTCTGTATGCGTTAAATGCGCACTTAGACAAATTGCCAGCAAGGAGAAAAGCGACATTTTGTCATGCGCAGACAAATTGCCAACAGGGGGAAAAAACGACATTTGCCAAGTAAAAATTGCCAATAAATTTGAGGATGAAGGCTGTTTTTTTTTTAATTTCATCGTAATCCCATAATTTCCAAACACTTTTTCGGACCTTGTTATGTTCCTAACGTAAAGATATTGTTGTGGCTGTCAAAAAAATTTTTTTTAATAATTTTCTTTTAATTTTTCAGCGTAACTGTATAACAATAGACTTACTAACTGCTTGTCAACGAGAAATAAACTTCCTCAGAATGATTGACAGAAAAGCCCCTGTACTTTATGACCGAATTGTTGTAGCTTATGCAATTAGAAGATATGAATGTTTTTGGTTACCGGCACAGGTTTTTCTGAAAATTTTTTTTAAAAATTTTTTTTGAAATTTTCTAGGCCTCAAAGCCAGATTTACTTAACATTCCCCCATTGGATGTACATTGGGTTTGGCATGTTCACATGCTCTCTCCTGTTTCTTATAGAGAAGATTGTGCAGCAATTTGTGGTACTGTGGTAGATCACAAATTGTTGAGTGCTGATGAGGTTATTTTTTTAATTGGTGGAGATTTTGCGGACTCCGATATTTGCGGACAACCCCTCATCTTTTTGCGGACTCCACTAACAATAAGTTTTGCTTTGTATTATTACACGGAAATAGTATCGTGTGGTTGGATAACCAAAGGCCGTTTCAAGGGCTCTGGATGTTTGTCCGCAACTTTTTGTCCGCAAATATTTTTCTGTCTGCAAATTTTTTGTCCGCAATTTTTTTTATGTCCGCAAATTTTTTGCTATCCGCAAAATTTTGTCTGCAAATTTTTGCTGTCCGCAAATCTTGTCTGCAAATTTTTTCCGCATTTTTTCATTGTCCGCAAATTTCAAATATCGTTTAACTTTAAAAAATTAATTTTAGATTCAACAACGTTATGAACAAGTAAATCTTTGCAGTAAAGTTATTTTTCAAATTTTTAAATTTAGTCAGTCTCAGCGTGGAACAACTTTTGCCCTGAAGAGCCTTATGAATTTTTATCAAGTTCATCCAAACCTTACAAACAAAAAAGTAAATATGATATTGTTGAAGCTGTTCAAAGGCAGAGGAATTTTAATTATCAAGTTTTTTTTTAAATTTTTGGTGGGGGAAACAAAAAAAAATACAGTGAATCTCGCTATAAGATACCCCCCCCCCCTCCCAAAATTGGATACTCCTCTATTTAAGGACCGTTTTTATAGTAACGTTAGGTTTGCCCCTGTGATGTACCCACTGGCCTTTTCAAAAGACTGCAAGTTTTGTCCGCAAGTTTTTTCGTTGTCCGCAAATTTTGTCCGCAAGTTTTTTCATGTCCGCAAATTTCGAATGTTATTTGAATAAATTTCCCAGATCCACCAATCCTTGGTGTGCGACCTCCACTACCTTCACGATGACCTCCTATTTAAGACTCCCTCTTTATAGGGGGATTTCCAGCTTCACTGGAGTATCTTATAGCGAGATTCGACTGTATTTTTCCAAAATATCTACTAAATTATTTTAAAGATATCTTTACCTCACTATACTTCTCCACGTTTTTTAAATGATGCAATTGATCGTTATATTAATTTTCTTCAACTAAAACAAACTTACTCGGACCAATTTTTAACTCCTTGTTATGATTTTGATCTTGTTTGGCATACACATCAAGTTCACCCAGAAGATTATTTTAGGGTTATTTTTTAATTTTTTAAATTTTTAAATAAAAATCCTGACTTTCACACATCTGTGGGCTGAAATTTTGCGGAGAAACTAAATAAAGTGGGGAATGTCCGCAAGTGTAAATCCGCAAATGTCTCCCTTATGTCAGTCAGTCAGTCAACTCCCGACAAAATTCATTATTGAATTGGATTTTGGGACTAGGATTCCTCACCTTCCCAACTTGTTTTCTGATTCCGAAGATTGTTAAAACAGGAAATGTCCGCAAGTTTCAGTCCGCAAATGTCTGCAAGCCAAAATCCAACTGATTGTTGAGGGATCCCAGTCAGACCTGGGCGCAATTGGAAAAAAACTCGCAGCCGCAATCCGCAAGTCAAAAATCCGCAATTGCGCCCAGACCTGATCCCAATCTCGCATTCAGTCAACTCCAGGCAAAATTTTTGGATTTTTACTAACCAGCCAGGAACATGTAACCCAGGAAATGTTCCCTTGTAAGCCAGGTATTCCCCACCACTTTCCCTAACTCGTCCTTTGATTCCATTCCAAAAAATCTACTCAAATAAATTCAAAAAAATTTTTTAAAGAATTGTGTAGCAATATTTGGTTCTTTACTTAAACATGATGATTCTATTAATGACCGTAACAAAGGAAGCAAATTACTTCGTGGCGAGGCTTTTACTAAAAAAGCTTGGGCTTCTCATTTCAAAAATAATTTTTGGCGGAGAGGTTGTATGTTTCGGTAAAAATTTTTTTTTTAAAAATTTTTTATTTAAAAATTTTTGCGGACAAAATTTGCGGACTTTTTTTGCGGACAAAAGTTGCGGACTTTTTTCTCTTTACTTTAATTTTGAGTTTACCAGGAAATTCCAAGGTTTAACGGAAACAAAAAAAATATTTTTAAAATAATCCGCAAAAATTGTCCGCAAAAGTAGTCCGCAAAAAAAAAAGTCCGAAAAAAATATCCGCAAAAAAAAGTCCGCAAAAAAAGTCCGCAAAAAATAATCCGCAAAAAAAGCCGTAAAATAATTTTTTTTATTTTTCTCAAAAAAGTGGACACAATGCACCAGCCTTTCTTTGCCTTGAATCTGATGACGAAAGTAGTAATAATGCTTCTAATCTCGCTTACGGAAATGTTCATATTCCCTCAATTGTATTAAAAGAATTGCCTGTTCAGAGGGAACAATTGCGGCTTAAGCTTCGTTATGGCGGGAAAAAGATAAGCACATTTAGTGCTCAATTGTGGGATAAACAGGTTTTTGTTTCTTATTTTAATGATTTTTATAATCGTTCGAGGACCTCCGACTTCCTATTGTGAAGGAAGTCGGAGGTCTTTATGCGGAGCAGGTCAACTGACTCACGGCCCTATAACTCAAGAAGGGGTTGACCATTTTTAATGTTCATGGTACCAATGGATAGAGCATTGATTGGACTATATGATAGCAAAAAATCAAAATTATCGATTGATTAATAAAAAAGTTATGGTCTAAAAACTAACCTTTTTCCAAAAAATCTGATTTTCGGCACTTTATCGATCAGAACTTTTTTGTCATTGAATCGAAAATTCTGATTTCTTGGTATATTATAGCCTATTTAATGCTCTATCCAATGGTACCAAGAGTAACAAAAAGCGTCCATCCCTTCATAAGTTATAGGGTCCGGGACGTAGTTGAGTCGTGACTCAATTGAGGTGTACCGTTTTTCTTCATTTTTTTAAATTTTTATAAATTCTAATAATTTTTCTAACAAAAAAAGGTAACAAGACCTTCATTTTCTCTTATCTGGCAACCAAATCCATGCGGTCTAAAATGTATACAAAACAACAAAAATTTGACAACTTCCAACAAAACGCAAGCTAATGGACATTCAAAAAATTCAACAGGTTCAGCTTCCTCAACATCAACAAGTTCATCTACATCCTCAACATCTTCCCAACAACAACCATCAACCTCTTCTTCAAATTATTTATCAACAATAATTAATTCTTCCTCCTCAACACAACAAATCCCTTCAATTGTTAAATTCCCTTTTGAAAGAAAAACGGCAAAAGAATTTGTTGTTGAGTTGGAATTGTTTGATAAAGTTTTTTTGCATAAGAGGGATTTGGTTAAACTTAAAGTAAGAAAAAAAAATTTTTTAGTTTAAATTTGGGGGGGGGGGGGGATATAAACGGATACGGATATTGACCTCATATACGGACAATCCGTGTCCATGCACCAGTCTGCTATAACTTGGTCTTTTTAGGAAAAATCGTCCTTATAACGAAGGGTGCACTAAATTAGGTTAATTAATTAAAAACCTAACTTTTAAAACCCCACTTTTTTCTCTATGATTTATTTTCTTTTAAAATCCCCTTGGGTTTTATATTGGGGTTAACCCTTGGACTTAAGTCCTCCAGCCCCTAATGGTTTAAGTCTCGTCCTTATAACGAAGGGTTATAAGGACGTTTGTGTCAAGCTGCGGATTAACCTGAAAAAAATTTTTAACAAATTATTTATTTTCTTTTTTTATTTTCAGGGTCGTTTGCCACTTGATAAGGTATACCTAAAAAATTAAAAAAATATCCCCCTCATTATTTCAAGTTATTACCCCTCCAAATATCATCAAACATAAATTCAAAATCTTCCCAAAACGTAGTTCAACTTCAATTAGAAAATGTCAATGGAGAACATGCAAAAATAAATATAACAACAAGCGTGTCTTTAAATCGTGAATTGGAATTACAAGCTGGGGAATATAGAGAACAACAGTTAACTACAGAAGATAGCCGTCTTTGGACTTTGTGTCAAGCTGCGGCTTTAAATCGGGCTCAATTACAGCCTGGAGCAAAAATATATGTTGCTTTACATAAGTAAATGGATAAATTTTTTGGATTAAAATTGTACTAGGCTAGGGAGTTAAAAAATTTTTGGCGGGTAACGTCGATAGCTTGAAGTGAGACAAAATGGTACACATGGCAAGAAACGACAATATAGTACACAAGGCAAGAAACGACAATATGGTACACAAGGCAAGAAACGACAATATGGTACGTACAGGGAAAACGGACAAAAGTATACAAGCCGTTTTAGAAATCTGCCATTTCCACTAGTTCTCTATTTTAATCCTCCCTAAGGGAGGAATGCGCCGTTCCCGGAGGTAAGTGCAAGACCGGGCCGACGCGCGGCAGAGAGGAAGCAAGCTTCCAACTCACGCCCCTTTCCAAAAATTGGTTAATCTCTTTGACCCCGGTAGGGGTCGTTACGGAGATTAAGCCGTAAAGAACAGATACTACACTTTGATCTTAGCCAAAAGGCCGAGAAGCGATGGCAAAAATGGAAAAGTAACTAATGAAATGAATTTTCGATTAAACTAAAATGAATGGGGAGTAGAAAAGGTAGAGAATTTATTAGGAGAAAATATGTGAGAGAGAATGTTTTCTATTTACGAAGATAAAAGAGGAAGGAGAATAGTATAGTGAAAAAGAAAAAATAAATGTTATAGAGAATAGGAGAGACAGTTAAAGATTTTTCTTTATGAGACAAAATGTAATGTGAGTGGCTATTTTGTCTATTTTTGCCTATGTACCATTTTGTCTGTTTTGTCTCTATGTACCATATTGTCGTTTTTTTTGCGGGGAGTACCATTTTGTCGTTTTTTGTCGCGAGTACCATTTTGTCGTATTTATCCTCAAATACTAAAGTTACCCCAAACACTCAATTAAAAAAATTTTAGGATATAGTGTAGTGTACCGGTGGTAAAAGTTTGGGACGTGACATATGTCATTCGATTCGTCTCGGCGAGCTGAGTCGAACGGTACCACTCCCTACTTTAGGAAATGATTCTGGACCGAGTTATAGGTCCCGAAAAATTGAAAAACCATAGGGGGGGAGTAAGCTCGATTTTGGGGTGAAAAATTCGAATATGCAAATAATAGCTCATTCGAAAGAGCTCATCGAGCTGAGTCGAATGACACCAAAATCAGCTTGATTGAACAAAATTAGACAAAGTTACGACACAAAAACAAACAACGTATACCTATGGGGCGTCGGCGAGGCGCTTGTGCAAAACTCCGCGCTTCGCGCGGAGTTTTGCGGCACGCGCCTCGCGGGGAGTCTACGGGCGCTGGGTCTGGGTTCGTAACATAAACCTATTCATATTTCCCTTGCTCTAGACGTAACTGGGGCCTCCGTAGCAGCAAAAACCTCCATGGACACCATAGGTAAGGAGCTAAAGCAAACGAGCATAACTTTGTCAAATCAAGTCGGATTTCGATGATTTTGGTGTCATTCGACTCAGCTCGATGAGCTCTTTCAAATGAGCTATTATTTGCATATTCGAATTTTTCACTCCAAAAAAGTGCTTGGTCCCCCCTTTGGTTTTTCAATTTTTCGGGACCTATAACTCGGTCCAGAATCATTTCCTAAAGTAGGGAGTGGTACCATTCGACTCAGCTCGCCGAGACGAATCGAATGACATATGTCACGTCCCGAACTTTTACCACCGGTACACTACACTACAGCCAAATTTTATTTTCCAGTTTGGTCGATGTTCGAGATGGCACAAAATATTTTGTACAAGTTGTTCATAGTGCTCCTTTACTACTTTGTATGTTTAATTTTTTTAATTTGTGGACAAGAAAAAAAATTTTTTAAAGCAATGATTTTGGTTTTTGGAACAGAACAACGCCTTTTATGTATGGCACATTTAATTGGGGCAGATTCATTACCATCAAAACAACAATTGGATGAAAATTTGCAATTTCTCCCAAATATTTCTCATCCAGCAGCAGATGAAAGGGCATTTATTGTTCTTAATCGTGATGGGGATTTTGCTATTTTAAAAGGGCGTTGGCAAGGATTTGTTAGGAAACAGGCTGGTGATCGGTATCATAAGGCGAGTTATTTTTTCTTGACGAGTTTGGGTAGAGACGTGACCAAGACGAGATAACGAAAAATAATTTCGGGTATCGAGAATTGAGATTTTGCAAGATTTCGATCTCGATTCTTGTATAACCTTCCTCAGTTAACTGAGTCAGTTTGAGGAACCGCCACCCTTAATCAGGGCCGTAGCCAGGGGGCAGGCCTGCCCTTAACAATAAGCAGTCTGTTTTTGGAGCTTAAGGGTCACAGGGCCCTAAAAACGAACAAAACGTTAGAAAATTCGAAATAAAAATTTTTAATTTATAGGGTATAAGCGGCTCTCCAGGCGCATTAAACGTAGAACTTTTCAATTTGCTGAGGAATACTGTTCAAAATTTCCAACTCCCTGGAGCGAATGGATCAACGGTCTTCAGCATTGGAGGTATTTTTTGAAAAGAATTTTTTTAATTTTTTAATTAAAAAAGATGCCCAAGCCCAATTAAATGGTCGTAGAATGCATTGTCGTTCAACTCAGACAGCTGAACATTTGGCTTGTATTTTTGGAATTGGCACACTTTTTATTCTTTGCAACCCGGGTAATTTTTAATTTTTAGAGGGAATTATTTTTAGATTTGGGGTGTTTTAATTAGAGGGGGGGGGTAATTTTTAAATATCCTTGGTCCAGGTCGATCTCTTGTATTAGGCATTTTATTTTAAGAGAACCACTTTGTCCGTTTTGCCAAATGTACCGTTTTGTCTTTTCTGGCCAAAGTACCATTTTGTCTTTTTTGCCCTTTGACCCCATTTGTCTATACTTCACTTTATTGGGCATCAAACAAATTTTATTGAAATATTTTTCAGATAAGGTACGCAGTGTAAAAGATACCAACAAAATTGGCCATCAATGTCAACGTTGGCCGATGACTGTTGCATGCGGCTATGGTTAAGAAAATGTTTTGAATTTTTTAAAAAATATTTTCAGGTCGTTCATTACCCACAAATCGTTTAATAAGTGCAGCACAAAGACATCACCACGATTTTGGCGGAACAGAATTTTTGCCACTTTTGTTGATGAATATGTGCAGTGGTGCTGAAGGGGGTGGTGGTGGTTGTGATGGAGGGGGAGATGGGGCTGGTGGTTCTGCATGTGGTACGATTTTGATTAATAAATTAGCACCCAACTCGCCTGTAGATGAGTGGGTATTTGCTTCTAGGAGTTGCATTTATGGGTTGGGCCCAAAGTTGACCTTATGGATATCCCAAATATTATGGGCCCAAAAAATCATTCAAAAAATTACCCATTTTTTCGTAATGAGGAAAATGCCCATTTCCCCAAAATTAAAAATATAGACCTCAAAATTTTCAAATTATAATCTAAAAACACTAATAAAGGTGCATGCGGTGCTTGTGGAGCCTGTGGTGCTTGCGGCGGTTGCGGTAAAATTTTTTTAAAAAGCTTCTATAATTTTAAAATCAATTCTGCCTTTTACAGGTGGTTGTGGAGGATGCGGTGGATGTGGTTAATTTATTTTTTAAATCAAAAAAATAAAACTTTTAATCTTTAGGTGGTTGCGGTTAAGTGTTACTTTAATGGGCAGAAAAAAAATCTTTTTTAAGAGCTAAAAATTTTTTTGTTATTTTATTAATACTTGCTGCCATAATATTTTTTAAAATGAAAAAAATTGTTTTTTTTTCAACACTAAAAATGAATAAAATTTTCAATTTTATCACAAATTTAGAAAAAAATTTTTTTGAAAATTAAAAAAAAATTTAATTTAAAAAATAGCATCTAAAAAATAAAAAAATATTTTTAAAGTTAGTTACACAGGTAAATTTGAATTGCCCACGAAAATTTAAATTCATCTTTGATGTTGAATCCCTCCACTAGTTTGCGAGTTTTGTTGAATATTTGAATGTGGTGAAGGTGCTACTTGTGGTTGATAATGATTTTGCTGTTGTTGTTGCATCATATGATGATGATACATTTGTGCTTGTGCTGAAGATTGAGGATTAAAGCCTTGTGGATTTGGTTGTCCTCCATAAAGGGCATTTGGTTGACCTAGAAAATTTTATTTTCAAAGTATTCAGTGGAAAAATTATTGGATGGAAGATGGGATAAAACCATCATGGAATGAGCCCAGACCAGGAATGGGGAAAATTTTGTTACGATCGCTCCTTCTTGCCCTTTTTCCCTTTAATTTTGTCTCTTTTATGAGCGAAAAAAATTTTTGACGCCCATACCTGGCCTACAGGGAAGGACTTTGGTCTAGCCCATCCCGGGCCTAGACCAAAAGCACAACTGACTGTGCTACCACCCAACCCTATGATGGGTTATTTTACGAATTTATGCCCTCTCTGCAAGTGCGGACATAACACCAAGTCTTTAAAAATCTAAAAAAAATAACCAGAAAATCCATATGGAGCAGCCATTAAAGAATTTTGTTGTTGATTGTGAGAATGTTGTTGTTGTGGTTGTTGGGCAACATAAACATGAGGAGGGACAATTCCATAAGGAATTTGCCTTTGCTGAATATATTGCTGTTGTTGAGGAGAAACAGGATTTGGTTGTAATTGTTGCTGTTGTTGACGTTGTGAAGGCTATAAAATTAATTTTTTTTATTTGATGGACGAAAGGGTTGTAAAAAGAAATTTTGGGTACACCCCGATGTACCGCGAGCCCAATGTACCGCCGAGCTATAACTTTGTCCAAAATTGTCGAATCCGTGGCGCCCTGATATGGTTCGATGCGTCTCGACCAGCTGAATCGAACCATACCAAGGCGCCACGGATCCGACAATTTTGGACAAAGTTATAGCTCGGCGGTACATTGGGCTCGCGGTACACTGGCCTGCTCCCGGAATTTTTAGTGATTTTTTAGAACAAAAACAACAAAGCAGACCAGCGTAAGAAAAAAGTCAAGGAAAAGACAAGAAAATGGTGTCCGATCTGGTAAGTTAAGCAACGCTGGGGAAATACGGTTGGGGTTTTCGAGTCGGGCCGACGTTCGAGTCATTTTTATTGAGCCGGTCCGATCGAGTCTTTTTCGAGCCATAATTTTATGCCCGACTCGATCCTTCGGACCGGACCCCCAACCCTACTGGGGAAGTGAGAAAACTTTAAAAAAATACAGAGAAGTGTTGTTGTTGATTTGTTGGCATATTTGGTTGTTGTGCATTAATATAAAGTTGTTGTTGTTGGGGTGGTTGTAATAATTGTTGTTGCTGTTGAGGAGGAATTTGATTAATATTTTGTTGTGTTACTTGTTGCTGGTTTGGAGAAATATTTGAATTAATTAAAGGCTGGGAAGGTGTTCTTTCATTTTGGGGAGAAGACTCGTTAGGTTGTTGTTGTTGTTGTGGAGGAGGGATAGAATTATTTGTAGAAGAAGGTTGTTGAGTTGATACAGGTGTTGGTAGTTGTTGTTGTTGGACTGTTGTGGAGGGCCCTAACTCCTTTAAAAAAATTTTTTTTGGATTGATTTGGAGAAAAAAAATTTTTGTAAAAATTTTCAGGAAAATTTTTCGAAAAATTTTTGAATTTCAAAAAAAATTTTCAAAATTTTTTGAAAATTTCAAAAAAAAATTCAACAAAAAAATTTTTTCAAAAAATTCGAGAAAAAACCTGAATTATTTGGGCACCACAATATGGCTCAACTAGCTTGGCTAAAAGTATCAAATTTTTGCGAAGCGTTTCCTGGCATTTTAATGACTCCTGAAAATTAGTGTAATAGAAAATTTGTTAGAGTCGAAAATGGAATTCTCCCCAAAATTTTTTAAAAAATTCCAAGAGTTTAGAAAACCCGAAAATAATAAAAGGACCTCCCAGAAACCTCCCAAAAAATAAAAAAACCTCAAGACGTCCCATCCTCTGACAAGTAGCGGCGGTTTCGATAAGCTGTCCATTTTCAATTAATAAATTCTTTACGCTTGTTTGATCAGATCCAAAATTATTTAGAACCTCCGAATTATTTTCTGTAGACATTAAAATTTTTTTAGTCTAAAAAATAAAATAAAATGCCGTACATGTAGGCACTTGTAAAAAAAGTTGGTATTTTGCGGACACTTTTTGCGGATTTTTAAATGAGAAAAAATATTTTTTCTCATTTATTTTTAGATGTAAAATACCAACTCTTCTGTATTTGGTATATACAGCAGGGATCGCACCGACTCAAAAGCAAAATCCCTGATTTCGGGAATAAGGAATTCCCGAATTTTTTTCAATTCCCGATTTTCGGGAATAGGGGATTCTGTCGGTGCGAGGATGGGTCGAGTTGGAAAAAAAGTTGTCGTTGGGTCGGGGTTTCAAAATTTTCTTAGGATCGGATTTCAGGTCAAAAAAAGTCCTGGGTTTACGCCTTAATGTATCGGGCAACCTGACCCATCCCTGGCATACAAGTGTCAAAAATTAAGAGAGAATTAAAAAAAGAAATATTTTAGTTGATTAAAAATCGAATAAATTTTAGACAAGAATATACAAAAAAATTTTATTTAAAAAAGAAAAATCCGGGAAAATACACTAACAGAACCTTTAAACATATTCCTATATATTTTTTAATTATTTAGTCGAAACCCTCGTTCGTTTATTCCAATGAAAATTAGAACCATAAGCTTTTGGCACAATTTTTCGCTCCTCAGGTTCACGTATTTCATAGGCCCAACGATTTTTGTCACAAAAGTTAATTGCATCATCTTTTGAGGCAAATGACAAAGCCATATTGATATTACTCAATGGATCTCCACTAGAAAAAATTTTGAAGAATTTTTTTAAGTTAAAATTTTTTGGCTATGATTTGTTAAGATTACAAGATTATTTATAATTTAGATTTTTGTTACATTCCTTATCTGGCATAGTTAATTTAAGTCAGCGGGAAGAGAAAAAAAATTGGGTAGGATTTCGGATCGGAAAATTGTCCGGGTTTCGGGTATCGGATAATCCATAACGGGGGTATCGGATAATCCTATTTCGGATACTCCGTGACATTCCTATACCAAACTCAATGGCCAACGAAAAAAGTCAATGGCCACACAGTCAGCCACAAGTCTCTAAAACAAGGAAAAGCATAACGGAACTCAGAATTAACTCCAGACCCAAAATCCGAAAAACTCATTATTATGGGACGTCTAATCACATCTGAAATCGTCTATTGAACTGAAAAAATATACCTGCTACACCAACCAATCGTCTGATCCTCCCAACGTTCTCGATTGTCTAATTCAATCTTCCAAGCAACAACATTATTCCAACCCGATTGCATTGCATTTCTGGCAGGTTTATAAATCACTGCGCGTCTTCCCTATAAAGGCGGGTTGATTTAAAAAAAACTTTAAAAAACCTCTCGATGCTCTTCAGGCACTCCCCCAATATCCATAACTTCTTTATTCGAGTCAGCTTCAACTGGAATAACCTCAGGCAATTTGTGCCTTTCGCCAAGAACGTCTACAGTCTCCTTCCCGCTAGATTCAACAACCGGGATGATAGCTGGTCTTTTATTATATTTTGCTTGACCCTTGAAAAGTAAGTCGAAAATGGTCAAGAAATTAAAAAAAACCTCAATAGGAGAATTCAAAGGAGTTGCATCAGGAGGTCCTTCTTCAATAAGCGTCCGAGTTGAGAATACAAACGGTCTGGCACATCTTTTTGCAATGGAAGAAAAAGCAAACATTTTCTAATTTCAAAATCGAATATTGCCAGAAGAAAATTTAGAAGAAAATTTTAGAAGATTTTTAAAAATTAAAGAAAGAAGAGTGTAATGCTTAATACGAGAGACAAAATTAGAGAAAACGAGAAAAGAAATTTAACTGGAGAGAGCCCTTCCGTTCGACTTTTTGAGAAAAAATCAACTGGCTGTCTAGTTGGTAGTTGGTATTATGAATTAACCAAACAAAGAAGAAAGAGGACACTAGAGTCTGGGGGCTGTCAACTAACGAATCTAATTTTTTTGTCTAGACTCTAATAGCCTTTTTATTTTTGTTCAATTTTGTAATTAAAAATGACACTAGAGTCTGACTCTGTTAATTGTCAAATTTTATTTTTGGCTAGACTCTAATAGTCTCTTTAGTTTTCTTTAATTTATTTTGACTGTTAGAGTCTAAAATTAAAGAAAACCAAAAAGATTCTATTTTCCCGTCTGTCTCGTTCCGTCTTCCTTTAATTTTCTCCTCTACTTTTCCTCCTGCAAAATTTAAAGATAACAAGATGAAAAAAAAGCTGCTGCACAGCTAAAAAAGAGTTGAGGGAGGGACACTTTTGCTAGGACATCTTTCCTTTTTTCCTCATCATCGATTTTGTTGCTCTTTCACATTTCCGTCTATTGTTGTTTTGTTGTTGCTCTCTTTTTTACACTTGTTTTATACCCCCCTAAATTGCCAAGTCTTTCTCTCCCAAAGTCGTCAGAGTCAGCAAGAAAAATATTGGCAAGACTAAAAGAAAAAAAATTTTTTTTTACTTTATATGGCATATTTCTATAATAATCTCCCAAGCTTTCCTTTTTTGACTTGCTTTTTGTGTGATTCCAAGTTTTTTTTATTAAAAATTTTTATTTTTTTTTGTTAATTTTTCTTTTTAATTTTTGAAAATTTTTTTCGCTTATTTTCTCTAATTTTTAATTTTTCTTTTTTTTAGCTTGTCTGTTTTCTACCTTGACGGTTCTTTTAACTAAAATTTAACAACACTTACCAATTCACATATAAAATGACGTCACTGCCTTCTTCGAGTACTGCAGCACCTTTTGTGCCTGAAACTAAAAACAACATTCTACAGAAGGTTTTTTAGAGTTTTTGGAAATTTTTTGTCTAAAACAGGGGTACACCCTAACCTACCGCGAGCCCAACCTACCGCCGAGGCTATAACTTCGTTCAAAATTGTCGAATCTGAGAAACCTGGTATGGTTGGATTCAGCTCGTCGAGGCGTATCGAACCATACCAAGGCGTCCCGGATCCGACAATTCTAAAAGAAGTTATAGCCTCGGCGGTAGGTTGGGCCGCCCCTCTAAAACAGGGCTGGACGCAACTGAAAAAATTTTTCGCAGATGCAGTCCGCAAGTCCAAAAAACACGCAATCCGCAGTTGCATTCAGCCCTGGTCTAAAATCCACTTAAAGTTTATTTCAGATGGACACTGTCCTCCTTCGGATTCTCAACTCTGCCCACCTCAAAACTCACAAATACTTTCGTGTTTCAGTGCCTCAAGCTATTACTGGCCAAGTTTTGGTTCAACATATACATAATGCTTTCTATGCTTCTTCCTCGCTTTCTTCTTCAAACCAGCCCCCTTCAACAGTTATGACGGCTGAAGATGTTGGGGAAGCTGTCCATTTTGCTACAATGCTCTTGCAGTATGGCTACATCTTTCCGGTTATTGATGTGCATGCGCAGTGTGTTAAGGTTCGTACAATTTTTGATTTATTCCTGCACATTAAATTGGCTACCCACTGTCAATAAGGGATGTGGCGAGCTATCCTAAATCCGAAACTCTGTCTTTTTTGGCCAGATACCCGGCCGAAAATTTTTCAAAAATCTGTCCCGGAACCCGGACCGATTTTTTCTTAACCCGTGATAGCCATGCTTTCAATCTGACCACTCCTTAAAATTCATCGCTATTTTCTAGTGGGGAACATGTTTAATAAGTGTTGCTTGGTTTGAATATTTTTGATAAATTGACACGGAAACGACTGGTTTAGCTCCTCTGTCCCTCCTCTCATACTTATTGTTAGAAATCAAAAAATTCACACCAACCAAAATTTACTTCATTTCCAATTTTTTTTATCAATTTTTAGGAAGATGGAACTCTATATAGGATACAACTTCCATATTTTTGGCCATCACATGCTCAACAAGCTGATAATGTTGAATATGGTTTTCTTTTAATTTTTAAATTTTAATTATATTTTTCCCTTTTTTAACAGCCATATATCTTTCAAAACGTCTTTTACGCAATGAACTGAAACATGGACTGGACGAGGAAGAAGCTGATGCCTACAATAGGTCTTTCGAACTTTTAAGCCATATGTGGACTTTCATCTCTGCCCAAGCAGAACTTCAACTTAAAGCGTTAAAAGAACGCAAAAAGGCTGAAAAAGTTGTTTTTGACACGGAAGAAAGAGCTTTTTGGAGGACGAGAAGGCCAGGTTATTGTTATACGGATTTTATAAGTGTAGGTTTTCACTGAAAATCAGAATAAACGAGAAATAAATTGAATTTGTGTTTTTTGAGACGTTTAATTTAAGGAGTAGTTTTTTGGCATTTTAGTGTTCGTGTCATGGGAAAGGCTTGGGTTGGTTTTACAATTAGAATAAGACCAGTCCTGTTTTGGCGGAATAATTTTGTGTTTCATGATTATGTTTTTTCGATTAGGGTTGGTCCCCGTCCACGCCTCCTCCCGTGGCGCTGTCTCCCCGAAAAGTTTTCCCCGTGGCCCCCCTCGGTGACCAACTCTATTCTTTATCCTTTTCCTTAAATTTTTTTTCAAAATTTTTTAATCGTATCTTTTTAGGTTATTCAAACATGGTCTTTGAAGAAGGTTTACAAAAGCTTGGTTAGTTTTACTTACATTTATTTTTTTCAAATAATTTTTTTTCTTTTAGACCGCAAAATTCGTAGGCCTACTATTAGCCATGTAAATTTAAAAAATAATTCTTTAAATATTTATATTTTTTGTTAGCTTCACACAACAATTGAACGTTTACGATTAGCTCTAAAAACTAAGCCTTGGTTAAAAATGCTGAAAGCTAGTGAAATGTAAGAAAGATTTTTCAGTAATCTCTCGCTTTACTGACCTCAGAAAAAAGCGTGTTAGAAGTACTTTTCTGATATTAATGAGGTCTGCCAGTAGGCTCCTATTTGCCTGGTAGGATACATCCTACTGGCATCCTACTTCTACTGGCCAGTAGGCATACCTAGGCATCCGACTGGCAGACCTCAAAAATATCGAAAAAGTACTTCTAACACATTTTTTCTTGGGATCAGTAAAGCGTAAGATTACCATTTTTTCTAAAAAAAATTTTTTAAATTTATTTTTTTAGAATGACTAATTGGACGGAACAATTTGCAGAATATGACCCTTTTCTTTCATCACCACAGCCTTCGAATCCTTGGATTTCTGATGACTCAACACTTTGGGTTTTAAATGCTGACAAGTTTGTTTTGATTTTTTGATGGTTTAATTAAATTTTCTTTTTTTTAAGTGTTGAAGTGCCTACGGAAAGACGTGTTAAGCGTTGGGGATTAAGTGTTATCGAGTTGGTTAGAGATCCTATTGGAAGACAGGTTTTGTTTTTTTAAGGGAAGAGTTAGTTCTCTGTAAAAAATTTTATTTTGTTATAAATTGGGACGCGTCATAATGCCAAAAGCCGAGGTACCACCCCTCTAAAGCTGCCAAAGTACTAAACACATGGGTCTGTTTCAACAACTATGAGGGTTCCATCAACGTGGGAGGTTGTTAACAATCCACATTTTGGTATTTCTTTGTGTATCATATATTTTTGCAGGCCTCTAATAAATTTTTAGCTTTTGAAATTTTTATTTCTCTAATTTTTACAATTTTAAGGTGCTAGAATCATTTCTCGATTCCGAATTTTCTTCCGAAAATCTTCGTTTTTGGATGTCTATTCAAGATTTGAAATATTCGGCAAATTCACAAATAGAAACTAAAGCTCAATTAATTTTGGATGAATATTTGGCTGCTGGTTCTCCTTGTCAGGTTTTTTATTAAATTAATTTTAAGGGCTAAAAATCATTTTTGGGTACTTCTCTGATATGTCCTTTCCCCAAGTTTCAGTATTAGCTATGTATTCTATAGTTGATTTGTGGTTAGGGTTGCCGTTTTCAGTTCGAGCTGACGTTCGGTGCATTTTTTTCGAGCTTGGTTTATTTTATTCGGTTCGCTTGCGAGCTGAAAAGCCCCGGTTTGCTCGATCTTTCGAGCTTCGGTTCGAGCGAGCTGGCAACCCTATTTGTGGTCATTTCTGGCCAAGCAAAAACACTATTTTTACGATTGCACTTACATTTCGCTTACATATTTTACTGGAGAAACTTAAGCAGATTTAAACTGGAGAGGGGCAGATATTTGAAAAAACTTTTTAAAGGTTAATGTTGACTCTCGTACTCTCGATGAAACGCTTAAATGTATAAATGAATCTCATACTTCTAGACGTTTTGCCTTTTCTTTAGCTGAAGAACACGTTTTTACTTTAATGAGTAAAGATTCATATCCACGGTTTTTTTTCAATTTTCTAAAAATTAATTTTAATTTATATTTTTAAAGTTTTCTTCGCTCTCCAATATATAAGGGTGTATTGGATGCTGCAAAAGCTAAAGGTTAAAATTTATTTATTTTTTGACTTGGAAAGGGTTACAGAAATTGGCCAAGGGACTGATATGAGAGTCTAATGAGCCGCTAATTGTAAACTTATAATTTAGTTCAAGTTTAACTAGTCTCGGACGACTTATTTTTAGATGATTTATGTTTGGTCTTTGACTCCCTTTTCCGTCCGACGGATGTGTTTTTAGGCTATTCCCCGACATCCCCATTCCCCTAGAATGTTCTTCGATTTCCCCGTGAATGTTCTTCGGATTTATGGTTGGTCTCTAACTCCCCTCTTTGTCCGAATATGGTTTTTGGGCTACTCCCCGACATCCCCATTCCCAGAGATTGTTTTTCGGAGAATGTTCTTCGGTTTTGCCGTGAATGTTCTTCGGTTTTGCCGTGAATGTTCTTCGGATTTTTGGTTGGTCTCTGATTTCCCTTTCCGTCCGACGATGGTGGTTTTTAGGCTATTCCCCAACATCCCCATTTCCCTAGAATGTGTTTCTTGACAGGCCGGGGACCAAAACCTAATATCTCGTACTCCTGATAAAGTGCTTCTCGTTGAGCTGAATCGAACCATTTCTAGGGTTTGGTGTCTGGGATTAGATACATAATGTTGAACAAAGTTATATTTTGCTGGTATGTCAGCCTTATTAGGGAGTACCCATTAACAAACTTTTCGATCAAAAAGAAAAATTTTCCAAATTTTTTAGGCAAAAAACGCATTTTCGATGTCATAAAAGAATTGAGCAACGTTAGTGTAAGCACCAAACGTACACCAATTCAAAAACATCACAAAATGAGTAGAAGTAGTGCTTGTGTTGATGTAATAGAAGGAGGAGGAACAACATCATCATTAACAACACAATCACATCAAACATTAAATACTGGAACAACAATATCACCACCACCAGGCGGAGGAGGTGGAGGATTGACAACATCAACAACAATATCAAAACAAATAAGCTCAGATTCTCTTCCATTAATTGCTGGAGGAAGTAGTAGATCACCAGTTTCTTCTTCTCTAAATTTATCTCCTCCAATGTTAGCTGGTGGGGGTACAACTTCGTCGACTACAACTAATACAAGTGATACTTCTGGTACTTCTAATAAGGAAGGAAAGTAAAATTTGTTTGTGTGAATTGGTATATTTTTTGAATAATTTTTTTATTTTTAACTAATTCATAGAATCTCTATTTTATCCCGTCTTTACCCGAACCCCGGACTTTTTCCAACCAAAATCCCGATCCGAAAAAAATTTTGGAAACTAAATTCGACTTTTTTTTTCTCTTGTCAACCCGACCCATCCCTGATGCATTAGTTATAATACTAAAGACTAAATCTTCAAAAGACAAAGAAACCCGGTAATCCTCCATTTTCTAACTGACCGAATGGAAGAATCAAACAGAAAATTTTTGGGTTCCATAACCGATAATCTTACCAGTTACTCTAGGAACTGACTAAAATTCAAGAATATAAGCTAGCGGATTTCGTGAATATAAGTCTTGAAACTAAAAAGATATTGAGGAACCTAAACGTTATGGACTTAAATTTGTCCTTATGGGTCGCATGTAAGCTACAATAACGAGGGGCATACCTGTCCACTAATTTTTTTTTTGAAAAATCATGAAGAGGGATATAGTTTAGCGATTCTATTTTTTTTATAAATAATTTAATTTATAAATCATTTACAATAAAAAAAAATCCTCAAACTTTCATTTTTAAACAAATCTCTTTTTTTAAAAGAAAAAAATTTTTTTGTTGTTTTTTTTTCTCATTTTTAAATTTATTTTTTTTTAATCTTATTTTTTTTTCATTTTTTCTATGTGCATAATCGACAAACAAATTTTATATTTTATACATTTATATACAGAGCACAAAAATATCTATATAAAGAATAAAAAATTAATTTATATAAAATTTTGATTTTTTTTTAAAAAGTTTTTTTGGCTCTTATTTTTATTAAAAATTTTTTTTTAATTTTTAAATTCAGTTTTAGTTATTTTCCACCAAAAAATGCTTCCTGTAATTAATATTTGCCCTTATTTTATTCTTTTATTTATTTTGGACATTTCAAGTGCCTTTCGTGAATTCTCTGTACCATTGGAATATGCAATAGAAGGTTTATTTTTTAATTATTTTTAGAAAAAATTTTTTTAGAAAAATTTTCGGTACACCTCAATTGAGTTCCGATTTAACTGAGTCTCGGACTTTATAACTTATGAAGTACTGGTCACTTTTTTTTCTCCTGGTACCATTGGATAGGGCATTAAATAGGCTACAATATACCAAAAAATCAAAATTTCTGTCCGACTGCTAAAAAAGTTATGGTCGATAAAGTGCCGAAAAATCAGATTTTTTTGAAAAAGTTAGTTTAGAGATCATAACTTTTTTAACGATCAATCGAAAATTTTGATTTTTTAATATATTGTAGTCCATCTAATGCTCTATCAAATGGTACCAAAAGCATTAAAAATTATCAACCCGTACTTGAGTTATAGGGACGGGACTCAGTTGAAATGCTGCGAAAAATTTTAGTTGAATTTTTGTCCGCAAAAAATTTTTTCCAAAAATATTTTTTATATTTTTTTCTTCAAAGATATTTACTTGCAACTTGGCCAAATCCGCATAAAACCTTTTGTTGGAAGTCACAACATTGAAAATATTCTTCCTGCAACAGCAGAATTTATTGCAACGTCAACAGAAGTAATTACTCAATGGAAAAAAGATTTGGAAACAAATCCTTTAAATAAAGAATATAAAATGAAAAGTGGACAAATATTTAGCAGTAATTCTGTTGTGAGTTTTTCTGAAATAAATGGAGGAGAGGTTTGCTTTTCTGTTTTAGTGGGGAGAAATTTATTTTTTTGTCTTTCGGGAAGGGATACTTTTCCGAGACCAAAATATCTTCCACGTGAAACTAGAGTTCAGAGAAATCTGGAAACTTGTCTGAAAAACGGAAGCGACAATCCGTTTCAGACAAGTCGGGAAAAGAAAAATTTTTTGTCCGCAAATATCATCAGCAAATTTTTGTCTGATGGGAAGGGATACTTTTCCGAAACTATATATAGTGTCTTTCACGTGAAACTAGAGTTCAGAGAAATCTGGAAAAGAAATATGAAAAAATAAAAACTTGTCTTTCTTCGGACAATCCGTTATAGGCAGGTCTGGAACAATTTTTTGTCCGCAAAATTTTTTCAGACTCGTACTGAAATTCATGACCCACTAGCGTTTAATACTTAAAATATAATAGACATATTGTTAGATTTATATCCACAACCCACTGACCATGTTTAGTTCCAAAGTGAATATGTAACTGCTTAATTGAAGAAAAAAATTTTTTGCGGACAATAAAAAAAATCTTGCGGACAATATTTGCGGACATCCATATTTTAATACCTTGATTGATTCCGAGCTTCTTCGGAATGTATTTTGGTTCTCGGTGTGTCTTACAAGTTTTACTTAATTTTATTTTAAAGGAGGGCTATATTCAATCAAAATATGTTCATTTATTGGTTATTACTGCTGATTTGGACAATCAACGTATCCATTCCTTGACACATTCTCCAGCGCCTCTAAGCGTAATAAACAATTCTACCAATATACAAATAAATGAAAAATCGCCGTCTCCATTAATTCTTATTAGAGTTCAAGGAATTGTTGATCTTCCAGGGTAATTTTTCATAAATTGAAAAATTTGGGAAAATTTTTAATTTTTGCGGACAACTATTTGCGGACAAAACCTAAAAGCGTGTTGAAATTGGGGAAAAACGTCCAGTTAGTGTCCTGTGCCATCGTTTAATTATATAAATTTTTTGAAGGTTAAAAAATTTTTTTATCCGCAAAAAATTTTTTGTCCGCAAAAAAATTTTTTTGTCCGCAAATGTTGTCCGCAAAAAATTTTTTGTCCGCAAAAAATTTTTTGTCCGCAAAAAATTTTTTTGTCCGCAAAATTTTTTTTCATAAAAATTTCTAGTCCTGATACCGCAACATATTTGCGTAGAGTAGAAGAAGAAAAACGTGCTCGTCAACAAGGTGCTACACAAGACAATCGAAGTTTTCTTCAAAAATATTGGATATATTTTGTTCCAGTAATTGCTTTTATGGTTTGTATTTGCTGTATTATTTTAGCTGTATTATTATTAATTTGGCTAATAAATCAAATTAATGAGGACATGATAGAACACGCTTTTATGTATGAAAATTAATGAAGAGGAAAATTTTTGAGATTTTTTTTTGACTTTACCAGATTTTTTTTTAATTTTTTTAACCGTATAAAGTTGCTCGGTCGGACAATTTATAAGCTATTTTATAGTGAATGTCCGCAAAAGTTGTCCGCAAAAAAATATTTTTGCGGACAAATTGGGAGTCAACGTTGCTTGGTCGGACAATTTATAAGTTGTCTTTATAGTGAATATCCGCAAAAATTGTCCGCAAAAATTGTCCGCAAAAAAAAATAAATTTTTTGAGTGTCTAAACCATCTAAAGTCAAAGAGCAACTTTAGTATATTTTGACATTTTTCATTTTTAAACGAGTGTTTTTCAAGAAATAAATTTTAATTTTGCAGGTCTTGTCAAATGTCCTCAACCCAGAACCTCAAGGAGCTGAATAATTATTATATTTAAATTTTTTAATTGAATTTATTATTTTTTTTTTCTTTGAAAACCTTCCCTTTCTCTTTATTTAATTTATCTTTAATATTCCATTTACAAATAACTGAGAAAACACATTTTGCCAATATCATATTTCGCCAATAGGGCTAAAAGTCCACAATTTGTCAGCAAGCTTATTGGCAAAATGTATGTTTTTAGCCTTATTGGCAAAATATGGTTTTGGCAAAATGTCGAGTCTTCTCCAAAAGCGCGACGAAATTTGGGCACACAACCGTCTAAATTGAAAAATTTAAATTTCACATTATGCCAAGAAAATCAAGTTATCGTATGATGCTTTATCTTTCTCGTATTTTTCTCTCTAGTGATTCGAGAATTATAAAAAGATTTTTTATCGATTATTTGTTTCAATGTTCATTGCTAACTAGCGAGATTAATAAATTGTTTAAAACGGTACAGCCCAACTAGGCGCGCGGCCATAACGGCGCAAAGCCATAACTTGCTTCAAGTTTTCCGAATCTTACCAATTTAGTATTAAACGATTCCTCTCATCGAGCTAAAGAGATTGATACCAAAATTAATAAGGACCAGAAATTTTCGGTAAATGTAAAGATTACTGGTCCCGAAAAAAATGTGGAAGAAGTGCTTTTTTGACATTTTTGAGGTTTGCCAGTAGGTAATCAAGTGTGCTGAGTCCGAATCTGAGCTTAGAATTTGTTTATTTCGAACCCCGAACCCAAATTCGACCAAGTCGGACTCGGGGTAAAAATTCGAAATTACGATATTATGGTTATTCTGACTCGTCTCTTTATTCTGAGTCGAGTGGTATCAAAATTATTAAGTTTCGACCATTTTAAACGAAGTTATAATCAATTAAATACACGTAGTATAGACTTCTGTGTAGAAAACCGTAATCATAACTCCGTTTAAAATGGTCGAAATTCAATAATTTTGATACCAATCGACTCAGCTCGAATAGACTAGTCTGATTAGACATAAAATTTGAAATTTCGAATTTTTACCCAAAATCCGACTTTGTCGAATTCAGGTCCGGGGTTCGAAATAAGCAGATTTTAAGCTCAGATTCGGACTCAGCACACTCGATTACCTACTGGCAAACCTCAAAAATGTCTAACTAGCACTTTTTCCTCTTTTTTTTCTAGGGACCAGTAATCTTTACATTTACCAAATTTTCTAACAAGTAATGGCTTTGCGCCGTTATGGCCGCGCGCCTAATTGGGCGTGTCCCTGATTAAAATGTTAAGTACACAAACTGGCTTTTTTTTAAATTTATATTAGAGTTTTGCTTGAAACTTTTATATTTTTTTTGTTTAATTCACAAAAATAATCTTTCTAATCATTTTTAGCTTTCAAAAATTTTTCTGTTAAAAAATGATCTTCACAAGAAAGTTTGTTCAAAGTGCAAATTCCATCATAGCAGGATGTACTATGAAGGCTGCTGCTCTTTCAACATCTTCAAAATTGTCGGCTTCTAGTGCTGAAGTTTCTCGAATTTTGGAAGAAAAGATTCTTGGACAAGAAACAAAGATTAATTTGGAAGAGACGGGAAGAGTACTTTCTATTGGTGACGGAATTGCTCGTGTTTATGGACTTAAAAATATTCAGGCTGAGGAAATGGTGGAATTTGATTCGGGAATGAAGGTTGTTATTTTTAACTTTTTGAGAGGGTGTTTAATTTGGGAACTCTCTTGTTGTTTGGGCGTATTTGGCTCCGGTTTCTACCTCTTTTAATTCTTGGTTCCAGCTTCGAAATTTTCAAATTCTTGGCTCGAATTGGTGCAGGTTCCGAAACTTGTTTCCGGAGACTTGCCCAGCACTGCTCTCTTGGGTTTTGGTATATGATTGCAGATACCCACTCACACTTTAAAAGATAGACTAGACTAGTTTTCGATTTGACTGGGCTGGTCGTTTTCTAGGACTAGGACTCAGTCTATGAAGAACCGTGTTTATGAGAAATATTAAACTCTAAGACTCCCGGGTCCGAATCTTGGAGCTTGATATCTATTCTAGTTCATCTCTAATCTGACCAAGTCCTCGATCCAGATATCTAATCAATTTTCTCTAAAAAGGGAATGGCTCTAAACTTGGAACCTGACAATGTTGGTGTTGTCGTCTTTGGAAATGACAAGGTTATTCGTGAAGGAGACATTGTTAAACGGACTGGGGCTATTGTGGACGTTGGTGTCGGTGAAGAATTGTTGGGCCGCGTTGTTGATGCTCTTGGAAATCCGATTGATGGAAAACCTTTAAAAGTTTCTCAACGTTCGCGTGTTGAAGTTAAAGCTCCAGGAATTATTCCGCGTCTTGGTGTGCGTGAGCCTATGTTGACAGGAGTGAAAGCAGTTGACTCTTTGGTGCCAATTGGAAGGGGACAGCGTGAATTGATTATTGGAGATCGTCAAACTGGGTTTGTATTTTTCTGTTGATTTTTGGGTTAGATTAGGATGACAAATTAGAGGGTGAAGACTAGCTTCAAGACGAATCGGTTGGGATAATTTGGGTGTCCGTTTTGAACTCTAAGTTTGCCGCACAACCTGTCATAGCCTCCGAAATCTCAACCCTGAATATGCCCTTGCGAATGATTATTGTTAAATCGGCTGGGAAAATGGTAGGCATAGGGCACACATTAGCCGTTTTACACTTGTTTAAGTATTTGAAGTCACACACATACTGAATTGCCCGATAATTTCTATGTATTTGAAACCTAATTCTTCCCCAAACTTTTTAGTAAAACTGCAATTGCTATTGACACAATTATCAACCAAAAGCGTTTTAATGCCAGCAATGATGAGAAGAAAAAGCTTTATTGTATTTATGTTGCTATTGGTCAAAAGCGTTCAACTGTTGCTCAAATTGTGAAGCGACTTACTGATGCTGATGCTATGAAGTTTGTTTTCTTTTTTGTCTGTTTATATTCATTTTTCACATCCTTCAGGTACACAATCATCGTTTCGGCTACCGCTTCTGATGCAGCACCTCTTCAATTCCTTGCACCATATTCGGGAGCTGCGATGGGCGAATTCTTCCGTGATAATGGGAAACATGCATTGATTATTTATGACGACCTTTCAAAACAAGCTGTAGCGTATAGACAAATGTCACTTTTGTTGCGTCGTCCTCCAGGACGTGAAGCTTATCCAGGTTTTTTATATACACAAAACTTTGAAAGTTTGCGGGCCCACTGCTAACACTTACTGGCATGAGCACTCCACTGAACGTAGCAGTCGCGTTTTGTTTTGGGGTTGGCTCTTTTCCACGGTGGTTCTATTCAGTCTCCCATGCATTCAATTTTGCCGTGGAGTCATTTCTCTGTCTAATACTACCAATTATTATTTTTAGGGGACGTTTTCTATTTGCACTCTCGTTTGCTTGAACGTGCTGCCAAAATGAATGAGACACACAAAGGAGGATCTCTTACAGCTTTGCCAATTATTGAGACTCAAGCTGGTGACGTGTCTGCATATATTCCAACAAACGTTATTTCAATTACCGATGGACAAATCTTTTTGGAGACTGAATTGTTCTATAAAGGTGTTAGACCTGCAATTAATGTTGGTTTGTCTGTGTCTCGTGTAGGATCTGCTGCACAGACTAAATCTATGAAACAGGTTTTTCTTTTTGAATTTTCGGGATGTGAAGTGTTGGGGACTTGATGTTTAAATCAAGTCATCAGAGCCGAGGAGATCAGGGTCCGGTTCGACAAACTCATTCAGGATCGGGATCTAGGCTTGTATACCTGACATCGGTATGGAGGAGGTCAGGGCCAGGGATCGACAATACAATTCAGGACAGGGTCGAACTCTGGAGGGGTTCAGGGTCGATAATTTAGACAAAAATTGTCGGGTGTAACGAGGTCGGCGACCCTATATTAATCTAAAAAACTCACAGGTTGCTGGTTCAATGAAATTGGAACTTGCACAATACCGTGAGGTTGCTGCTTTTGCTCAATTTGGTTCTGATTTGGATGCGTCAACGCAACAACTGCTCAATCGCGGTGTTCGTTTGACTGAGTTGCTCAAACAGGTTTTTTTTGAAAAATTTTTAGAATTTTGCTTAAAAAATTTTTCTAAAGGGTCAATATGTCCCTATGGCTATTGAAGAACAAGTTGCTGTAATTTATGCTGGTGTCAAAGGTTATTTGGACAAAATTGACCCTTCACAAATTACTCGTTTCGAAAAAGAATTTCTTGCACATATTCGTGCACATGAGCAAGAATTGCTAAAAATTATTCGTGAAGAAGGCCAAATTACTACAACAACGGATGATAAGCTTAAAAATTTGGTTCAAACATTTATTGCAGCTTTTAAGCATTAGGGAAAGTTTTTTGGTAATTTAATGAAGTGAGAAGGAAAAATTATAGAAGACATAGGATATTTTAAAATTAAATGTTATTGTTTTTTTTAATTTAGTAAAAGTAAAAAATTGAATTTTTTTGGTTGGAAGAGCCCCTCCTTTAAAAAAGTGTTCCTCCAAAATTTTCATTTGTTTAAGTTTTTTGTCTTTTTTTTTGTCGTTAAAAATTCTGTTGTTTTATTGGTTTTTTAATAAATTTTTGAATGAATTTTTTTTTGAAATTTTAATGCGTTTTTAAACGTTTATTGATTTTTTTGTAAATTATTTGATCAAATTCTTTGAAATTTTTGAAGTTGTAAAATGGACTCATCAGAAAATTCGATTATCAGCAATGAACAAAAAGACGAGCTTCATTCTATGCCTCAACAGATGTATCACAACCAGATTGGAAAAAGAGTTATGGGAGATGAGACCACAGGTTTTAAATTTTTTTTAGGCTTGGGGTTGAAGGGAGGTGTGGGAAAGGTGTGCCGGGATAAAGGTATCGAGTAAGCTGATGAAGGCACAGGTTTTAAAATTTTTTGAGGCTTTGGTTTGAAGGTGGGTGAGGATAAGCGGGGCAGATGTGCAGGGATAACGGTATTGAATGAGATTTCTCATTTTTGATATTCCCTAATATTTTGAAATAAGAGCGTATCCAAGTTTAGGATTTCAACTTTTAAGAGGTGTGTCCGCCCCCTCGCAACCCCCTTGAATTCGACTGTTAGATTGAAGGTAGGGTTGGGGACCCGATCCGGCCCGTTCCGAAAGATCGAGTCGAGCACTGAATTTTGGCCCGAAAATTGACTCGGTCGGGCCGGCCCGAAATAATGACTTTGTCGGCTCGACTCGAAAACTTTAACCCTATAGAGGGTTCAAAACTATTTAACAACTTCCCAACCAAATTCTTTTGGTACTTCAATATATTGCATTATTTTTAGGTTCCATGGAAAGCCTAGAAAATCCAAATGAACCTCGTCGTCGTTCAACCAGAGACATTAAAAAACCAAAATTTGATGATGAATTGGTAGAAAGTGTTGTACTAAATAAACAAACACCTAAACGACGACATTCAAACGAAAAACATATTGTGACAAATGTTAATAATAATACTACAATAAATCCGCCTATCAACACATTTCCGAGCAGAATTCCTGTTACTTGTAATAACAACAATAATAATGTTGCTACTTTAGGTGGAAATGTTCATTTATTAAATGCTCCTTCAAATGAGGTTTTCTTTTAAGTTTTTTTTTTAATTTAAGAATTAATGAGGGGGTCTTTGGAACATTTTATAAACTTTTCCATTCCATTAAAGACATTTGGTCCAACGGAGAAATTTTTTACTAGATAATTTTTAATATAATGCCGAAGGCTTGAAATTCCAAATCCTTAAAAGCCCTCGAAATACCAAGCTTTTGGGATTGTTGTTCTGTGGGTGTTGTCTAATGACAGGAAAAGGTTCCCAGTTTTTGTCGCTGCATAAAAAGCCGGGCGTGTTGAGTAGAACAACGGCCAATATTTAAACTGAACCGTCCCCTAACCATTCTTCGTATGTACTACATACTAGAGATCGAGATATTTGAAAAGCCTGGACCTGTTCCTGGGCTCTGGGTTTGATTTATTGACCTGAACCAGATACTGAGCCTGTAATCCAGGAAAAACCCCAGGAAGGTCAAAAAATGCTTGGGCCTAGACTCTGGGTATAGGAAAAAATCTAGGCCTTTGTCCACCCCCAAGCGATCTCTACTACTTACCTTAGCTTCCAACAATCCTCTCATTTCCAATCAATTATTTTCAAATTTAAGATGGATAAAACACATCAACAATCAAATAAAAATAGAAGAAAAACAACACCAGAAGTAAATACTTCAATTATTAGAAATTTACAACCTTCTATTGCTTTATTAAATCAATGGACACCTGAAGATGATATTGCTTTAATTGCTGCTGTGACACACGTTAATTAAATTATTTTTTAAATTTTTATTAAAATTTTATTTAGGTTGCTGATCTCTGGATTGTGTATACTCAAATGCGTTTTTCTCGTCGTTATACGCTTGAACAAGTTAGTTTTTGAAATAATTTTTTGAGTTATAATTTCAAGCAAAAATTGGGCAGTTCTCCTAAATCCTGACTTTTTTCGACCTGAAACTCGATCCAAAGGAAATTTTTGTTACACACAACTTTTGATGGTTCCTAATTTCCAGAAAAAATTTTTAGCTTCTTCCAATCCGTTCAAGACATTTGGTCCTACGAAAAAATTTTTACTTTGGGTAGACCCAAGGATTATATCAATTAGTCGGTTCTTAGAAATCCGGGCTATTTTTGATCCGAAACTGGATCTGAAGGAATTTCTGAAAAGTCTACTCAAATAAAAAAGCACTAAAGTCTACTCAAATAAAATTGACTCACACACAACTTTTGATGGTTCCTAAATTCTAAAAAATTTTTAACTCTTTCTGCTCCATTAAAGACATTCGATCCCTCGGAAAAAATTTTTTTTAATGCCAATAATTTTTATTTAATTTTTAGATAGAAGAGCGTTGGTATGAACTTTTATATGATGAAGAATCAAGTTTAATTGCAAAAAGAAGAATGGAACAAATGGAAAAACAAAAAATTATATCAATACAAGAACGAATTCCCTTCTCCTTATCAGAAGAAAATTTATTGAGACAAATTCCTTCTTCTGCCCCGCAACCTATAAGTTCAATTTTGTCAAAAATTTTGGAACAAAATAGAGACACTACTTTTCATTATGCTAGAACAGTTAAAATATTGGAAGAACATTGGAGGGAATTGAGGCTTTATGGACTTTTGAATGATCAAAGGGCAGCAACAACAACACAGCAACAATTAAATAATTTACAACAAGATGAAGATAATTTTGTAAGTTTTGACGTTTTTGCGGATTTTGTTGACATTTGCGGATAAAATTGAAAAAAAATAAATAGGTGTCCGCAAAATCTGTCCGCAAAAATCGTCGAAGTTTGCGGACAAGAAATCAACCCCCTTTATTAATATTGAGGCTTAACGATCACCAAATAATGGCTGTTGAGTCCATAAAACCCTATGTTTTTCAAAACCCCATGTTTTTATATAAAAAAGCCTTAGAGCTGTGTCCGCAAATGTTTGTCCGCAAAAATGATTTTTTTTTATTTAAAAATTAATTTTTTATAATTTTCACACAGACTTTTGATCTCTACTCATTAGGTTCTTCAATAGATGTTAACAACGGTCAACAACTTCCAATGGTTTCTTTTTTAAAATTTTTATTTTTTTTTTAATTTCCAAAAATAGGACGTAGAAGAACGCCAATTTACTCGAAACGCAGCAATTTGTGAACGAGAAACAAAAGAATGGGAAGGGGCGGCAGTTTTAGTCTCTAATATTATCGGAATAATGCCTAGTGAACCAATAATGTCGCCTGAAACTGTTGGACTTTTTTGTGGACGTTGTACAACTTTTGATGTTCGAAAAGAGAGGGTATTGATTGGGAGAAGTACAAAAAGTTTGTTGAAATTTTTTGAAAATTTTTAAAAATTCTTTTAAAGGACACAATGTTGAGGTCAATTTAACATTGGAAGGACCAACTTCTTATATTAGTAGAAAACAGGTTTCTTTTTTAAAATAAATTTAAAAAATAGGGTTGGGTCTGGTTTTTATAGGTTTTTCTATGAGAAGACAAAACTCTCCTTGTTTTATTGTTAACTTCTCATAGAGAAAAACGGATCGGAAATGTCACGGGTTACCCAAAAGCAGGACTTTTCTTGGCCCGCAACCAGATCGGAATAAATTTGTTGTGAAGATCCGACCCGAAACCCGAGCGGATAAACTGTGTCGTTAACCTCCCATGGAAAAAAATGCACCAGAAATGTCACGGTTACCCAAAACTAGGATATTTTTGGACTAGGAACTCGATCCGGAAAAATTATAGTGAAGATCCGACACGAAACTCGACCTTATTTATGAAATTTAGAGTCAAATAAATAATGAATGGTCCTTTTCCTTTATACCTTTTTTTGGATTTTCCTCCCTCAAACGTCCGCAAATTTTGTCCGCAAGTTTCTTCTTAACCTCATTAAACCCGTTTTCGTTTCCATTGAAGAATAATATATTTTTTGTAGAAATTTTGATGTCAAGGGTTACCCGAAACTTTGGGGAGATTTCTCAAAAAAATATTTTAATAAAATAAATTTTCGCGGACAAAACTTGCGGACATTTTTGTGAGCTTCCAAAAACAAAAATTTAAAAATAAACTCTAATTCTCTTATTTTTTAATTAAAGGCAATATTTAAACTGACAGAAAATAATAATTGTTTACTTCGAAATATTGGAAAACGACATATTAACGTTAATGGAAGAGCTCTTTTACAAGGAGAAGCAATTGAATTAATTAATAATTCAATTATTGTTATTGCCCTAATTCAGTTAAAATTTTTAAAAAATTTGAATTATCGAGGAAAAGGAGGAGGAGGGGGAAGTAGCAGCAACAGCACTAACAATGGAGCTGTTGAGGGTGGAAGTAATTCTAATGTTAAATAAATTATTTTGGAATTTTGTCACTATTTATGCATAAATATTTTGGAATATTTTTGTGCTTTATAGAACGGATCATTGGTGGATTGACATCAAGCATGATTGATCTGATCAACAAACAATAAGTTAGTCAATAAAGCCCGCTCATATCCAGGGCTTCCAAATGATAAGAGATTTATTCGATTTGGTTGAAACCCCAAAAAGTTATGGCCCAGAATATGGCCCAGGACTCAAGGATCCCAGGGCCATCTCAAAAAGTTTAAAGCCTAGGAATCGTTACTCTATGGAAGCGGGAAATGGTTAGGCTATCCCTTACCCGACAATTTGTCCTAATTAAAGTGACGGTTGGGTATCAGGCAGAAAAGAGGCCTTTTTTCAAGGTCGTCAAATCAATATTAACTGATTTTTCGAGATTTACCAACTTTAAGAGCATCAATTTTATATTTTTAGAACAGTTTAAAATAATACATTAAAGTCCCTATGCAACATAAAGTGAATAATAATAAAAATATATATGTATTTTAGCATTAAGTGTATAATAATCTATCTTATTTAATAAAAAACTGTTCTTTCCTCTACAATATATTGTCCAAGCACATATTTAATAGGCGTGTTTAGCCACAAACAGAGACTCAGCAGCGGAAGCAGCTCCTTCTTCACCAGAATATTTGCCCAGTTGAGCGTCTCCGTTAGCCTTTAAAAATAAGATTATTGAAGTTTCTAGAGAAGACTAAGGTCAATTCCCACGGATCTCCAGAACTTGACCCATCAAAAAATTAGAAGCCTAGAACCCATTACGGGAAGTGGCCAGGCCAATGGACCCTTTAAAAATTCTTCCCAGCCTAGTCGATAAAGACTAGATAGACAGTGGGAGTTGGTCAGGCCGTCTCACTCAATCATGGGACCGAGGCATCCTACAATGTTCCCAGCCGAAAAGAAGTCCCACTACTCCATTCTAACTTTTCCCTTCCAAACCTTTGCACGATGAAGCAACACCTTCTGCGCCTCAGCAATATTAGCATCAGATCCCTTCCAACTCTTCAAAACAGAAGATTGCAAAGCACGACCATAAGAGAAGGTCAAAGTCCACGGACGAGGGCCCGGCACACTGTTGATTGCATTCAAATTTTGAGTGGCTTCAATCTCTGATTGACCTCCAGACAAGAAAACGACTCCTAAAAAAGATTAAAATTAATTTGAAAATCCAGGCAATCCCGGAGAATAGGGGTTTCTTCGAATAAAAAGTTTAAAAATAAGAAAAAGGATTTTTCTAGGGTAAAAAAATCTGCTGATTACGAATCTGAGCTCGGATTTTGAAAAAGTCGAATCCCGGACCTGAATTCGGACATTCGACATTTTGGGAAAACTTTCACAGAGCGCAAATTGATCAAATAATAGCTCATTCGAAAGAGCTCGACGAGCTGAGTCGAATGACACCAAAATTACCGTGAATGAACAAGAACAGACAAAGTTACAACACAAAAAACATAGGTTTACGTTGTTTGATTTTGGTATCATAACTTCGCCAGATCTTTTTCAATCACGGTGATTTTGGTGTCATTCGACTCAGCTCGTCGAGCTCTTTTGAATGAGCTATTATTTGCATATTCGAATTTTTCACCCCAGAATCAGCTTGGTCCCCCCTATGGTTTTTCGATTTTGTAGGACCTATATTCGGGTCCGGGTACGACTTTTTCAAAATCCGAGCTCAGATTCGTAATCAGCACATTTTTTTACCCTAGAAAAATCCTTTCTCTTATTTTTAAACTTTTTTTTCGAAGAAACCCCTATTCTCCGGGATTGCCAAAATCCATTTCCAAACCAGGAACAGCAATCGGAACTCCACGTCGAAGAGCAGTAACGGTAGCCAAACCAATTTCCTCTGGAGTAGCCTTTTTAGGATTCGACTGGCCCGGAGTCACCATGTTGGGTTTAAGCAAGGTCCCTTCAAGATAGATGTGATGATCAGCCAAAGCTTTGTAGGTATAAGCAAGAGTCATTTCAGTAACCTAAAAAGGATGTTTGTTTGTTTTTAGACTGTGTACTACCCAGTACCGGTCCAACCTCTTAGGCTAACTCAAACAATGTAAGGAGGAAGTGTCAGGTGTGTGTGTGGGGGGTTTAATATAAAAGCAGCCAGCGATTAATCTTGGTCGGGCAATTGGGTCTACCACATATTCCTTCCAAGCCTATCGCCACCCTAAAAGGTTTGAGACCGCCCTAGGACACAACCGAAGCTATCCGAAATCAACCTCTCCTACCCCTATCACTTATTCCCCCGTCCCTTCAAATTAAAGCAGAAATCACAAAAAGAAACCTTAGCACATCGGTCAATATCATGATCACCATCACACAAAACTTCTGGCTCGACAATAGGAACGAGCCCATTCTGCTGACAAATACTTGCATAACGTGCAAGGACATTAGCATTCTCCAAAAGAGCCAAATGAGAAGGTTTGTGAGGGCCAATGTTGATGACACAACGCCACTTTGCAAAGTCACAACCGCCCTTTTTGTATTCAGCACAACGTTGAGAAAGATTGTCCAAACCTTTAAAGAAAAAGATTAGAAGATAAAAAATTTTTGGTTTGCCCATTCCTGACCAACTACAAAACCCCGGTTTAGTACATTCTTCAATTCCTAGGCCTTGGAGGAAACCTTCAAAACTTGAACAGGAACCAAAACCAGGCAAAAAAATCAGAAATAGCCGCGGAGGGCCGCTCGAATTTTTTAAAACGGGGGAGGACTACCCCAACCCTTGATACCAAATAGGCTAATCAAGACACGGACCAATCCTTAACAACAAAAGAAACCTTGAGTTGTTCCCTCATCAAGAGTTCCAGCCAACTTAACAACTCCAGTATCCACTTTAATGCCAGCAACTGCTCCATTCTTTTTAATCAGATCGACAAAACGTTCTCCACTATCCGCTTTCTAAAAGGCAAATTTTTTGTAAAATACTTTGTTAAATCTTTAAAAAACCTGTCTGAAGGTTTCATCAAAGAGAATTACTCCACTAATGTTCTGTCCAAAATTTGGAATAGAAAAGAGAAGTTGACGATATTTGCGACGATTTTCCTCGTTGTTCTCAACACTAATGCCCTCAAAACGTTTACCAATAGAGCCTAGAATTGAAAAAAATTTATTTCGTGCTTCGTTGGTTAAATTAAAAAAATTACTAAGGGAGGGTATCGAACCTGAGACCCCTTCACCCACAAGTTGGAAACATTACCACTACACCACCGAGGTACTTGCTTAATGTTAGCCCAAAATCATTTTTACCCAAAAATCATTCTAATTCACCTGTGCTTTCATCCGCTGCCAAAATTCCCTTCCCAGGCTGAAGAATCTTCTGGGCAATAGCACGCAATTCATCTTTTTGCTCTTTGCTGAGAGGATCTTTATAAGAATCCATTGGAATTTTTAGAAAATTATTTTTGTTTAACTAAAAAAAAGGGTTATTAAAAATGCAAAATAACCAAAAAATAGGAAAATAGAGGAATGAAAGAACAGAAAAACGCATCCTTAGAACACTTCAAAAAATCAATAAATTTCACAAGTTTCAAGGAAATGAGCAAAAAAATCAGAGATAACGTTCCTATGGTAAACAAATAAAATAAATACTCTCTCGAAGAGAGCAGAGAATAGGTCAAGGCTATAAAAACAAAAGTAAAAGAGAGAGGGAATGTATGTTTGGGTACAGCCCAAATAGGCGCAAAGCCATAACTTGCTTCAAGATTTTCGAATCTTTCAAAATTTAGTATTAAACGATTCCTCTCACCGAGCTAAAGAGATTTGAACTAAAATTGTTAAGGTCCAGGAATTTTCCAGGTAGTTATGGCTTTGCGCCTTCCTGGCCGCGCGCCTACTTGGGCGTGTCCCTGTTTATTTGCTAAGAGAAAAATGAATGCTTGAGAGTAAATTTGACGTTCTTTTATATCTTTCGAGAAGTAAAAATAACCAAAAAAAAAGTCATGATATTAAGGACAAGAAAAAATCAAGGACAAAAACAACCAAAAATGTGACGAAAAATAAGCAGATTAGAGGAAAAATACAAAAATAAAATAGCCCCAAATTCAAAAATATACAAAACCAAAATAGCCCCCCCCCCAGTAAAGTGTTTACATTATAATACGCTAGAGAATAATATCGAAATTTCCGTTAGGTTACGAAAAAAAATAAAAATTACCTGCGATTAAATGGCTTTTGAATAAACGACTCCCGCGAATAAACGGCTCTTTTGGCGAAACGTCTCGCGACTAAGTGGGCTATACGCAAAGGGACACGCCCAGGTAGGCGCGCGGCCAAAGCCATAACAAGCCATAACTTGCTGGAAAATTTCTGGCCTTTATCAATTTTGGTACCAATCTCTTTAGCTCGATGAGAAGAATCGTTTATTACTAAATTTGGTAAGATTTGGAGATCTCGAAGCAAGTTGTAGCTTTGCGCCTTTATGGCAGCGCGCCTAAATGGGCTATCACACACTGACGGAAAAAGAACAGTAGAGTCTGGGCTTTTTTTTAAATTTATCGGAACACATTTCCTTTTTATTTTTCCTCAGTATTTAAGGCTCCTGATCATAGGCAAAGATTTAATCGCCTTACCATAATAAAAGAGAATAGACAACTCTTCAGAAAATACTCCAACGCCTATTAGTCTAACCGCCACTAACTAGAAAGTCTAGACTAGCTAGACATAGAACTAAGAGAAATAGCGTATTAATTTAAGAGAGACAGGTTATACACAGAACCTTTTTTTTGTCGGAGAGGGTAAGCCCAAGTAGGCGCGCGCCCACAACGGCGCAAAGCCATAACTTGCTTCAGGTTTTCCGAATCTTACCAAATTTAGTATTAAACGATTCCTCTCATCGAGCTGAAGAGATTGGTACCAAAATTTGTTAGAGCCAAAAATTTTCCAGCAAGTTATGGCTTTGCGCCGTTATGGCCGCGCGCCTATTTGGCATGTTCTTTTTGGAGACTGTTCAAAAATCGTTTCCCCCGTAGGAACGCGTTGATTTACTTTTTTTGTTTTAATTCTTTTTTTACTTACTTATTTTTTTGTTGTTTTTCAGTTGTTTTTAGTTATTCTAAAGTATATCAATTCTCATTTCTTCAAATTATTTTCTTACTTAACAAAATGTTTCCGCGTCGTTCTCGTTCAAAAACGCCTGGAGGGAATGGTATGAATTTAATTTAAAAATACATCAAATTTTTTAATATTTTCAGCAAAAGAAGGACTTTACGTGCAGACGTTTAAGCCTCTTCCTTCGATTCATAGTAAACAACGAATTAATGTATGCATAAATTTTTGTTTTGTTTACAATAGGTTTTATTATTGTTTGTCCTTTTTTGGCCTGTAGAGCCCATAAATAGCGTTTAAACGGGGAATGGTGTGTCTCTCCTTATTTTCAATACTATTTTTAGTTACCTGACAAGTTTATGTAAATAAGGGTTGATGGGGGGTATTTTTCTCTACAGAGCACCTTTTGTTGTTTTCCCATACCTGTCCACTCTCAAAAGGGGAAGGAAATTGACCAGTGCCCGGTTGGGGTTAGGGAAGAGTCCCTTCCTTGCCCTGGTATGGCTGTTTCCTTTTTGTAACGCGGAAGAGCTTCCCTAATCTAGGAAGAGGGCGTCTTTTGTACGTTGCGCCGAAATACCAAACCCCAAAAAGCCGTAGAAATACCCACTCTCCAATGGTGGTTATACCATTTTAGAGTGATCAGGCGCTTTGAGGAGAGTCTCATGGTTAGAGAAGAGTTTCTTACTTGCTCTGGTAAAGCTACGTCCTTTTTGTAACGGGGGAGAGCTCTAGGAAGGTGGGTCTTTTGTACGTTGGAGAGCGTAGCGCGCCGAAATACCAAACCCCAAAGTCGTCGAAGTGCCTACGCCTACTATAAAGTGCCTACGCCTCCTGATCACTCCCATGTGAGGGTGATCGATCAGCGTTTTTGGAGAGGGTCTCATAAATAGTCCAGTTGACAGTCAAGTTGTCCCTAACTTTCAAATCAATCTTTTTTCAGATGTTAAAGAATAAGACTACAGTCAATGCTTTCCATAGCAGTCATTCAGCTGGTGTTGCTGGAAAAGGAATTAATACATCGGTGATTTTTTAAAGGTTTTTTTAATTTTTAAATTTTAGGCCCCGACTACTACTACTCAAAGTGTTCCTAAGCCACGTGGAACTCCTCTTGTACATGAGGCAACCTATTTACAGAGAGGGGATCAACGTACAGTCGAGGTTTATTATTTTCTTTTAAATTATTATTTTTGGGGATTCTTGCTTTCGTGCGATTTTCAGCAAAATTTTTTGTCCGCAAGTTTGGTCCGCTAGGTTTTTTTTCAATGTCATTTTTAGTCACATGACAAAGTTTATGTAAATAAGGGTTGACGGGGTATTTGTCTAATAGTTCTCCTGTGATTGGTTCCCTTCCTGTCTACTATTAAAAGGTGCGGAAAGCTTCGGTGGTCAACAGTGGATTTTCTTTAAAGTTTTTTTTAACTTTAGGCACCAATTTCTTCTCAAAGTGCTCCTAAGCCACGTGGAGCTCCTCCTTTGCATGAGGCAAGCTATTTACAGAGAGGAGATCAACGTACAGTTGAGGTTTATAATTTTTTTAAATTTTTGAGGATTCCTGCTTTCCTGGGATTTCTAGACAGAATTTTTTTGTCCGCAAGTGTTCATGTAAATAAGGGTTGACGGTGTTTTTGTCTAACTAAAGATCCGCCTGTTATTGTTTCCTTTTTTTATCCACTCTTAAAAGATAGGGAGGACTATTCGGTTGTCAACCTGGGTTTTACTTCTTTATGTTTTTCCCAATTTTAGGCACCGATTACTCAAAGTGCTCCTAGGCCACGTGTCGTTCCTCCACAGACTTCTACACAGCAGACTACTAGAGCTCCAGTTGTTCATCCACAAACTGCTAGATTTTCAGGGGCTGCTAGTGTTCAATCTTCAAATAGTATGGGAAGGCAAAACGTGCGGAAGGGTCCACCGAGTGATCCAAGGCTTCAGAGTGCTCCTAAGCCACGTGGAACTCCTGTACATGAGACGACCTATTTACAGAGAGGAGATCAACGTACAGTAGAGGTTTATTTTTTTAATTATTTTTGAGGATTCCTGCTTTCCTGGGATTTTTAGACAGAATTTGTCCGCAAAAATTTTTGTCCGCAAATATTGTCCGCAACTTTTTTAATTTTCTAAAATTTAACCAAAAATTAATTGTTTTTAAAGATATCTTCTTCATCGACTTCTAAAAAACGGCAACATGAACGTCCTCCACCAATGGACAATAATGTTATTCGTCAACAAAAAGTTTGTCCGCAAATATTGTCCGCAACTTTAAAAAATTATTTTTAAAGGTAACTACTCAATCACCACCTTCCAAACGTCAAAATCAATCTCAACAACGCCAACCTGAGCAACTTCTTCCAACCCCAAAATTACAACAAAATGATGTTGGTGGTGGTCGGCAACAACGAGAAGAAGAAGAAGTTGTTCGTCAACGATCTTTAACTCCTCAACAAAATAATGGAGAAATTTTAAAATTTGTTCAAACTATTTCTGAGCAGAACGACCTCGTTAAAGAAATGTTGGTTTATTTTTTTATTTATATTTTAGAGCTGGGTTGGGTCTTGATTGTTTTTATCCCTAATTTTTATTGACTAGTAAGTGGGTTTTTAGTTTAAGGAAAATTTTTATGGGCTCTGTTAAATTTCAATTTGTTTTTAATTTTGTGTTCAAAATTAACAAACACCTGCCCCTGGATATATTCTTGTCGAAAACCCGGACCACCCCGAAAAAAATTTTGGAACACAAAGCTGAAATCTGACCCTACTCTTTTTTCTCAACCCGGCCCATCCCTCTGCCAGTTACCTTATCTCTCCGGCCCCCACTCCTCTCTACGACTTTTCTTTCCACAATTTTGTCGCTTGACAAGCACCAACCCCTGGCTATGCCCTTGTCATAAACTCGGACCGATCCGTAAAAATTTTTACACCCAAATCCTTCCGGCTCGCACTCCTCTCTATGGCTTCTTTCCACATTAGGGGACATATTATAGCGAGATTCCACCTTATTTTTTTAATTTAAAGAAATCATCACTATCAAATCGTGGTGCCAGAGAAGATGAGAATGATTAGTGAAATTACTGAGAAACTTGCAAAATTTGCGGAGGCGGTTAAAACAAGAATTTAACGAAGACTATTTTTATAATAAAGAATATTTATTTAAAAAATGCTTTTTTGGTTTTTTGAAGAAAATATTGCCATAAATTTACTTTTATGTAAATGTGAATAAATATTGAAAAACTTTATTTTCTTTAAATTTATTTTATGAAATTATCATTTTTTTAAATACCCGTAAAAAATATTCTGTTTGTCCGCAAATTTTTTGCGGACAAAATTTTTGTCCGCAAAAATTTTTTTTTGTCCGCAAAAATATTTTTTTTTGTCCGCAAAATGTTTCTCTTTTTTTCCGTCGTCCGCAATTTTTTCTTTCGTCTGCAATCTATTTACAAATTAATTTTTAAACTAGAAAAAATTTTTTAGCTTCAAACACACCTCTAAGCTTGTGGCATGGCTCGAGCTCACAAGTGTGATGTTTGTGGAAAACGTTTTAAAAAACGAGGAGATTTAATACAGCACAATCGAATCCACACTAATGACCGGCCTTATGTTTGCCAGTAAGTCTTTTAAGTTTCCAAAAAATTTTTTTGTCCGCAAGTTTTTGCGGACAATAATTTTTATCCGCAAGTTTCGTCCGCAAAAATTTTTCTTTTTTAGATATTGCCCAAAACGTTTTAAGCAAAAGAGCCATGTTGAACAACACGAAAGAATTCATACGGGCTCTAAACCTTTTGCATGTCAATTTTGTGGCCATCAATTTCGTCAAATATCTCAACAACTTGTACATGAGGCAACCTATCATGGAGAAAATCAACGTGAAGTTGAGGTTTAATTTTTTTAAAAATTTTTTTTGAGGATTCTTGCTATTTGTGGAAGACTAATCAGAGGTCGACCGCGGTTTTATCTCTTTAAAGAGTTTTATTTTTTTAATTTTAGGCCCCAATTACTCCTCAAAGTGCTCCTAGGCCACGTGTTCCTCAACAAACTTCTACACAAAGCACACCAAGAACTTCGGTTGTTCATCCGAAAAGTACAAGACGTGCTGTGGCTCCTGCAGTTGTTCAACCCTCAACTAGTAGTAGAAGACACGATCCACCCAAAAATTCAAGGCGCCAGCCTCAGACAGGTTTATATCTAATAATCACTAAAATTGAGGAGTGAGAATTTAGCCTGGGAAAGTCTTCCAAATTAAGGTTGTCGTTTCCGTTTTTTCTGAACGGAAAATTTACGGTTAAATTCAAGAATCTAAAGAATTACTAGAATAGACAACCCTAATTCCAGATTCACTGGTCCCTTCTTCCCTGAACTTTACGGGGGTTCCTTCCTTTTCTCCTTATTCTTCCATCAACTTGGAATAGGATCAGTAGTCTATAGCGGTATATTACCCCCAATTTATTAACAGCTATCTCCTTAAAATATTTTTTAGAAAAACGTCGTTCCCCAACTCGTTTCATTCCAATGCCTCAAGTGCCGCAAAAAGCTCCAAATCTTAATTCCAACAAAAATTCCAGTCGTATTCAGAAAATTGAGGTTTTTTTAATTTTTATTAATAAAAAATTATTATTTAAAGTCTTCACCGCCTCCCAAACGGCGTCGAGAAAGACAACGCTCTGTACCTGCTCCAATTGTGCAAAAAATTGTTGTACGGCGGTTTGAGGTTAAAAAATTTTTTTTATTCGATTGTTGATTTCCCCTCTCCTCTGCTCCCCTTAGAAAAACGTTGGTTCTCTAATTTTAATCTAGAATTGGACTGAAAGTCCCGCCAAAATATTTTTATACCCCCAGAACACGATGACCATTATTTTATTTTTTTGTCCGCAAATATTGTCCGCAACTTTTAAGTTTCTAAAACAACCAAAAATAAATTATTCTTAAAGATATCTCCATCGACTTCAAAAAATTCACAACATGAATGCCTTCCACTATTGGACAATAATGTTATTCGGCAACAAGAAGTTTGTCCGCAAATATTGTCCGCAACTTAAAAAAAATTATTTTTAAAGGTAACTACTCAATCACCACCTTCCAAACGTCAAAATCAATCTCAACAAATTCCACCAACCCCAACAATACAACAAAATGATGTTGGTGGTGGTCGGCAACAACGAGAAGAAGAAGAAGTTGTTCGTCAACGATCTTTAACTCCTCAACAAAATAATGGAGAAATTTTAAATTTTGTTCAAAATATTTCTGAGCAGAAAGACCTCATTAAAGAAATGTTGGTTTATTTTTTATTAATTTTTAGATATTGGGGTTAAGTCCGATTTTCTTTGGGGTTTCTTTTGATTTTTGAGAATCTTTAATTTAATTTATTCAATTTTTGGGGGCTGTCCAACTTTACTTCCCACCTTGCCAAGGGGGTGTGCTAAAACGAAGTTTCGACTTTATTTCTTTGCTTTTTAAGAAATCACCACTACCAAATCATTGTGCCAGAAAAAATGAGAATTATTAGTGAAATTACTGAGAAACTTGCGAAATTTGCGGAGGCGGTTAAAATAAGAATTTAATAAAATAAAAAAATAACAAAAAAATTTTTTTTTAAAAACTTTCCATAATTCACACTTTTATTTTTAAATGTGAATAAAACAAAGAATATTCTCTCTAAATTTCTCTCCTCTACCACATTTTTCCAAACAAAATTTATTTTTAAAATTTTTTGTAGAAAACGATTCTGAAGACGAAAAGAAGAATTTGATGAAGACGACAAAGATGAGATTGAAGATAAGAGAAAATGAAGAAGAAAAATTGAAAGAAGAATCTTCTAAAAAAATATTCATCAAAGAAGAGAACAACAACCAAAAAAGAACAAGATGAAGGTAACTTTGAAAGTTTAAAATTAAAGAGGGAAATTGAAGAAGAGTTTGAAACAACAGTGCTCGACTTCGATCTGAATTTAAAGAAGACGGTTAACTGTCCCCTACTTCCTTTAAGGCCCAGACTCCGGAAAAATCCGACCGGATCAGGTCCGGCGCCTGGCATAATTTTTAATAACTGGCGCTGAAACGTGCAGGCGCTAAACTAGACTGGCGCTGAAACGTCCACCCAGGGAGAATTACTCTAATTGTCTACCTCCTCTTCTTTTTGCAGTCTCTCTCTTCAATTATTGATTTTCTTCTCTGACCATTGCTTAGACAAGCAAAAACATGAAGGGTTAGAGAAGTCAAATTTTTATTTTTGTTCACTTTACCGTGTGAAAAAATAATTCTGACTTCTCTGACCACTACATGATTTTGTTTGTCTAAGCAATGGTCAGAGAAGAAAATCAATAAAAAAAGAGGGATAATTGGGAAATCAGAGAGACGTTGGTTTGCTTTGTTGGCTCCGGTACAAAATATGGAATCGTTAAAATATGGAATGGTTAAAATCGCGAATAGGCTAAAAAGGGGTTAAAATACCGAATCGTTAAAATATGGAATCGTTAAAATATCGAATCGGGTAAAAAAGGGTTAAAATATGGAATCGTAAAAATATGGAATGGTAAAAATGTCGACACGGCCAAAATGGGTCAAAATGTCGAATTCTTTTAAAAACGGGTCAGATTTGTGCCATACGTTGATTGTTGATAATTTTATCAACATCAGTTTATTGATGATAAGTTGATTGATAAGTTTGGTAAGTCGTAGTCCGTCGTAATCTTTTCTGTCTGAGTTCACTGTACTTTACCGAGTAAAACCGGACCGGATAAATCAAGCATAATCGACCGGATCCGGTCCGGCATGATCGTACGGATCCGGAAAACATAACGCGATCCTGATATGGAAAAATTAGAGTGGTATGCATTAGTTTTTAGTTAAGACCTAAAGTTTGACCTTACCGTATACGGTATGGAATACCGAAAAATAACGGTCAGCTTTTAAATTTTATCGGTCGGCATTCCGTACCGTACAACCGACACGGAATACCGAAAAATACCGTCGGTATTACGGTAACGCCCGGATTCAAGGTTTTGGCGCATCTTTAAAAAAATTCGACATTTTGACCTATTTTGGCCGTGTCGACATTTTATCAATTCGATATTTTAACGATTCCATATTTTAACCCTTTTTTAGCCGATTCGATATTTTTACCATTCCATATTTTAACGATTCCACATTTTAACCCCTTTTTAGCCTATTCGCGATTTTAACCCATTTTTACCCGATTCGAGATTTTAACCCTTTTTTAGCCTATTCCATATTTTAACGATTCGATATTTTGTCCGGACACGGCTTTGTTGCGTTTAATAGAGAAAAAGGTTATTGATTTGTTTGCGTCTCTTTTCATTCAATAACCTTTTTGTTTACTTTTTTGAAAAATATTTTTGTGGACTGAGTCCAAAAATGATTGTCTATTTATTTTTTTTCTAAAAACGATTTTTTTTAGTTAACAAACAATTTAAAATTGATGAAGTATTTCATCAAAATGCTTCAACAAGTTCTTCAATCAACAGCATTTTATTTCAACGCCCTCCAGTCAATGAATCATTCATTTCTCCATTAAAACAACAATGGAAAGGATTCTTGTCTTCTTCAACTTCTTCAAATGTCAAAAATTGTTTGAAAGCACCTTCACCTTCCCGAATGATGAAACAAGCTGTTGTTTGAAAAATGTTGGGAATTTGTTGCTGATGACTTCAGGTTTTGTTTTTTACTTTTGTGGTTCCTTCTGGGGATGGGGATATTATTAGAACTTGTTAGAATGGGGATATTATAACTGTCAAGCATCGATCCCTTGTCTCGATCCTGTGACCTGATGCATCTGTTGACCCATCTGTTGATGGTGCATCCAGGTTCCCTCAAGTCAGGATTCCTTCATTCTGTTCACCTATTTTCTTTTTTGCTGACAACGGATAATGGGGAGTCAGGTTTATCAGGGAACGGGGTGTTCTACGAGCGTTTTTTCTGCAATAAAAAATTTTTCTTTTAAATGAATCTTTTTCTCTTTTTAGACACTGCGCACAAAGAACAGCAGGAAGAACGCTAAGCAAAGATCATCATCATTTGCCCTTCACTCCCCTCCCCCTTCCCTTTTTGTGGACAAAACTTGCTGTGTTTTAATTTAACAACATTCCTTATATTTTTTTATTCAGTGCTCTGCATGCTTTGGAACCAAAGAAGGCTGCTGCATCTGGACTTCATCAATCTGGTTTTGTTTCAAAACGTTAGTTTCAGTTTCCTTTAACTTTAGAAATGAAATCATTTTTAGCAGTAGAGGCGGATGTGGAGCTCTCTTCTCCAACATCAAAAGCACAAGTCCCCTTTGGCATTTGCGTGCGTCCTTTAGGTGTGTTGCGTGGGTTTTAGTTTCGTGGAGGAATGTTCCGGCAATGTACGGGGGAATACCATGCATCTGTGCGAAAGAATTGCGACAATGTGCGAACGTTCCGTCAGATGTTCGGGGGAATGTTCTAGCATTTGCTTCGGCATCTGTAGGAGTTCTTCTGGCATTTGTTTGGAGTCTGGCTTTGTTGGAGTTCTAACGGCTGTTGTATGATATTCTTCTGGCAGTGTTTGGAGTTCTTCATCTGTTTATGTGGGGGAATGTTCCGGCTAATGTGCGGGGGGATAACCCAGCAACTGTGCGAAAGAATTGCGACAATGTGCGAACGTTCCGTCAGATGTTCGGGGGAATGTTCTAGCATTTGCTTCGGCATTTGTAGGAGTTCTTCTGGCATTTGTTTGGAGTCTGGCTTTGTTGGAGTTCTAACGGCTGTTGTATGGAATTCTCCTGGCATCTGCTTGGAGTTCTTCCTTCTGTGTGGGGTTGCGAGGTCTGGCTGGCATTTTCATGGGACTTGTTGCTTCTATGGTACTTTGATAACTGCTCATCAGCTTTATGGTTGGTTTATCACTTTGCCTAAACAAACTCATTTAACTTATTTAGTGCCATGCCTCTAAGAATTGTCCAGCAGCAACAAACAAAAAGAAGAACAAAAACAAAAATCAACAAAAAGAAGAACAACAAATCAAAAAGAACAAAGAAGAAATCAGCAAAAAGAAGAACCAAAACTCAACAGAAGAAGAAAAAAATAAAAAGATCATCAGAGCACTTTGGACGTCCATGGAATCTTCTTAAAAATTAAAAGGTTTGTTTGTTGCTTTTTTTCACACCAGCAAGTTTTGTCCGCAAACAATCCCTGAGTTAATCCGTTATCAATCCTCTTGTAAATTTTATTAGAAATTATATTTAGCAATTGTCTGGTAAAGGGAAGGGGTTTTAAACATTTTTAGAGCTTTCAGTATGTAGCTTGAAGGATGACAGAACTAGTTCCATCATCTAGCAAACTTGGAAAGAAGCCAAAATGGTATTTTGCGGACGATGAGCTTGCTAGGCTTCCATCTAGAATGCCTATGGATTCGTCTATTGAACTTGGATATTGAAGAGAAGTTGCAGATTCAGGTTTTTCTGTTTGTTCGGTCGATATAGGATTTCGGTTTTTAGGAGTCAGCATGCCTCTTCATGTTCAGGTTTTGGGGTTCATCGTCAGGTTTTGGGGTTCCCTCTTTGGGGTTTCTTTGGGTGAGTGGTTTCTTTGGGTGAGGTATCTCATCGGTCAGTGCCTGTGAGTATCTCGTAGGTCAGTGCCGTTGAGTTTTCTCAATGGTCAGTGCCTGTGAGTTCTCGTAGGTCAGTGCCGGTGAGATATCTCATCGGTCAGTGCCTGTGAGTATCTCGTAGGTCAGTGCCGTTGAGTTTTCTCGATGGTCAGTGCCTGTGAGTTTCTCGTAGGTCAGTGCCGTGGAGTTTTGTTTCCTACCTTTGGGGATTTCCCGTTAATTTTAGCATTAGACCAGTACCAACAATAACAACAGAACCGTCAACAGGAACCGACGATCAAAAGATATAAAAGTTGCAGAGTTTATTAGGGTTTGGTTTGGTGTATTCTGATGAAATAAAATTATATTTTTTAGGAAAGTCAACAAACACTTCTGGGGAATTTTCTGGCAATCTGGTCCAGCAACAACAAGTTTATCATCTATAAATCAATTTTTGTTTCAACGCCCTCCAGTCAATGAATCATTCATTTCTCCATTAAAACAACATCGTGAAGGATTATTTTCTTTAACTTCTTCAAATGTCAACAAAAATTGTTCAAAAACACCCTCACCATCTCGAATGATGAAACAATCTGTTTGTAAAAATGTTGGGAATTTGTTGCTGATGACTTCAGGTTTTGTTTTTATTATTTTTGGGGTCCTTTCTGGGAGTGGGGGGTCTTTTTGTAAATTTGTGTAAGACATGGCAAGCATAGATTCTGGACTAGATACTGTGACCTGAT